TAGGTTGAGCTTAAATTATTTACTTTATCTCGATAAAGGTGCTTTATAGGAAGTCAAGTACATCGCCATATATCATCATGAATGAGAGTTTCATTCATTCATTTGGAACCTTTTCAGATTGCTTGCCTTCGTTGTTTCTTTTAATGAGAATCAAATATTTGAGAAGGTACTTTAGGAAAAATTATATATTTTTATTTTTAGTAATCCATTGTATTCTGGCTTGGAAAAATTGGTGGCGAACCGAATTCCTAACCAGCAACAAAAGATGGCTCGAAAATAATATTCAACATTCTGCGAAAAACTCAGATGTTGAAAAATAATGGTAAATTAGTGATAACTGTACGCATGGTGAGTATCTACAACGCACCTGTACGCAAGTCCATCAGGTTATCAGGTAGTTGTCATTATATTTCGTAGAGATTGTTTTCATTGCGTAGTTAGATAATTTTAGTATTCGCATGTTTGTTGGTTCCATAAGAAATGTTTATTTGTAGAATTGTAGAAAAATTCATTAAATATATTTTTTTATTACTAAAAATATTCATAACCATATCTTATAGGACATAATACTAATTTGGATACATAACAAAAATTTCCTAAATTATTTACAGTTAATGGTAAGAAAAGAATAAAAACATTTAAAAAAAAACAATAAAGACAAATGAAAATTTGACTTTACAGATCTTGTAGATCACAGTAGATCGCCGATCTAGGACAAAAACAACTTTCAAAATATAAGAAATGTAATATATCATCCTTCTTATAGATAGTTGATGAAAAAGTGGCCTAGTAAAATTTCCAAGTTCGTTTAAACTCACAGTAGAGTACGGAAGAGAGAGGTTTAGGCGAGCAGGTCTTCATCCTCACTAGTTAACAAATAGTTCCAGCATTACTTTATTTATAGCTCAAATCAATGCATGTGTGCGTTATTGCTTAAGACTGCTTTTGATTTTTCAATTTTTTGAAATACATAAATAATGCTTCTTTTTTTTCTGTTGGCATTATAGACAATGTATATCTTTTGCCACCTTAACAAGCCTGCTCCATCTCTGCCTGTCTTGGGATATTTCTTTTGCATTTATCTGCAGGCAGCTCTGTTGTATCTTTGTTGATTCTATCTAACCTTCCACGTGGTCTTTTGCCTTCTTCTTTTATAGAAACATTTTGCTAGCTAAAAAGTTAAACAATTATAATTTGTCCTCTTTTGGTTTATTATTTTCAATAATCAATAATTCAGAGGTCACCGAGGATGATCCTTCTTCATCGACATTACTATCCGCCTTTTACTTTCAAAATGGCGGCCTGCGTTGCTATAGGCTGTAGCTCCTAAACGAATGTACCGATTTCAATGAAATTTAGCTAAAGCCATTTTCTCTAGGCCCTTTAAATTTATCGATATAACATACTTCAACGAAAAGAATCTGAGAAAAAAATTACGAGGGATGGTAAAATTAAATTCCGAATAACTCAAAAAGTTTGTACTTTTTTGTCGATATTGTGATAAGATGTTTCAAAGGTATTTAAATTTCCTAAAAAATGAAGGAAGTTTCATCGAAATCAAAGCACTATTAGTAGAGATATTGCGATTTTTAAATATTTTGGTTTATTGTTTTCAATAATCAACGCATTGTGATCGACCGAAAAATTCAAAAACTTAACCCCCCTCAAAATTTGAGGTTTCACGTTTCAGGACGCGTGGAATTCGAAAAACGAATAAAAGAATTTTCGTCTGTCCGCCGTCCGCACATTTTCTTTGAAACTACTGGACGGATTTTTTTCCTGATTTGGATATAAACTCAGAGGTCACCCCAGGATGATCCTCCTTCATCGACATTACTATCCGCCTTTTACTTTCAAACCTGCGTTGCTATTTGACTGTAGCTCCTAAACGAATGTTCCGATTTCAATGAAACTTCGCTAAAGTCATTTTCTCGACGCCCTTTAAATTTATCTATATAACATACTTCAACGAAAAGAAGCTGGAAAAATTTACGAGGGATGGTAAAATTAAATTTCGAATAACTTGAAAAGTTTTAACTTTTTTGTCGATATGGTATATGTTTTTTTTAAGTTTACGGAATTACCTAAAAAATAAAAAAAATTGGACAATTAGGAGCTAATATATGGTCTTCAGTTTTTTTTTATATGTTCTACTCCAAATGTTATATCCTTTGTTTGGTTTTTAAATTTTGATTGTGTTACTGAAGTAATGCTATTTTTTTTTTTAGCATATTACAAATCATTAAAAAATAAAGTTTAGTCCAATAATTGGAATCACCTTTTATTTATTTTTCTTTGTAACTAAGAAGGAAATGTTACTTTAGAGGTATAATTGTTTGGAAATAATAAACCATTGTGAAATAATTTGCAGCGTTTTAAAATTATAATGTATTTACAGTTATTAAATGTTAGAATGTTTAAAGAAAAATATAGAAAAAATCAACTCTAAAACCATTACTGTTCCTGTAATTATGTTTTTTTATTTTATTTTTTTTTTTTTTTAAGGTCTTCTAGGACCATTTAAATATATAATCCATGGTACAGACCCCTTTTTATCAAATTATTAACGAGTACATCATTTTCTTAATTTCAAATATTTACATTTAAATCGATTCATTGTCAATTATTTTGAAGATTCTATCGAACTCCAAAGAGCAACGACATTCTAAAGGAAACGTCAAGCTTTCAATTTGCCAGTTAACGGATTGGTTCTGTCTTGTTTAACCCCAACCTTGAATGTTGAACTGCCATTGACCCAACCTCAGGGTTCTTCAACGAGACCATCATTCGTTAATGATCGCTCCTATCATGTCACGTTCTTATAAATTGTTGATTTGTCCAATATTGGAAGCTTTGGGATATGGAATAGGATGAAACGAATATCACTTAATATTTCAAATAATGATAATAGTAAGTGTGTCAACTATAATTTAAATACTGCCGTAAATAATGCGAATGCAAGACAACAATCTATCCATCTGCTGTTTGGTCTTTGACGTGGTCTTTTACTTTTTATTGAGGCATTCATTGTTAGAAATAGAAATAGAAATAGAAATAGAAAAATAACTTTATTCTGGGACACAGTCCCTTGAGAATAACAAATTAGAACAAAATTAAAATATTACATCTGGCCAAAACAAAATAAATCGAAAAAAAGAAATAATGTAAAAAAAATATAAGGTAAAAACTCTATATACAAAACAAACTAAACTATATACAAAACCATTAATACTATTACAAGAAACTTAAAGCTATTTAGACCAGTATACACTTTTCCGAAAAAAATAAAGAATTAAAAAATAAAAATATATCAAATTCTCTATTAAAATCCGCTCGAATGGTTAGCAAGTATCTGACTGTTTTTGTGATAGGAATAGGAATAGGAGGGATTTGAATGTGAATATGGAGGGGGAATGTCGAATTTTGATAGGGAGGGAATTCCAGATATTGACAGAGCGAACAATAAAGGAATTTTGGGATGAGGCAGATCTGTGAGAAGGCATGTAAAGGTCAGAAGGTCGAGATCTTGTGGACAGGGAATGGACTGAGGTTTTGAACTGGAGAAGGTTGTAGGCGTAAGAAGGACGATGGTTGTTGATGATTTGGTAGAGGAACGTAGAAACTTCCAGATGGATTGCTAAGAGCTACGCCCATCTTAACCTCCGTGCCTTCATATCATGTAATATTGATTGACCAGTTTCTATATACACTTCTTTATTGGACCTCCTCCTCCATGCGTTAGTATCCTGATCCCCGATCGTTCCGGTTATCGTTTAGAGGATTTTTCTCTTAAATTTTTCAGTACTTCTTTTTCTAGGGTACTGGTTAGTGTCCAGGTATCGGAACCAAATTTAGGTATCGTAGCCAATTATTTTTTCTGTTGAGATGTAATTATTGGCTTACTAAATATTTTGTTTTACCTTTATTTACTTCATTTAGTTCAAGAATATAAACTTATAAATAATGTTCAACAATTATTCCAAACATCATAACCTCCACTGAGAAATATTTCTGCTTTTAAGTATCCGAACTCATCTCAAAAACATCTGATGTGTCCACTCACACGACTTTCCTACCTATTTCAGAAAAGTTTTTATATCTTTACATATGTCCATCAAGAAACAAAAAAAAAATTAATTAGATTTTTTTCCTGAAAATTGAACAAAGAAAAGATTTGAGTACGATTTATTTGATAAACTAAAGTAATGTAAACCGGCTTAAGGTAGATTAGTGTAAAAATTTCAATACTCTAATATTATTGATCAAAAACTTTTTGCCATTGCTTAATTTTGTTAAACAATAATTTCTGTTAAAATTAGAGGAAATAGTAAAGCTTGTGTGATGCGGGCAACAGATTTTCTAACTTTCAGTCATCTTTTTTCTCTCATTCACCCCTTTCTGACACCAGGACATGAACACATAATCTTACATTCAATTACAGACAATAGGCCCCATAACATTTTTCTTTTCTTTATAACTTTTTTTCCTGAATTCTCTCGGGAATTCAGTTCACATACGAAAATTGAAAGGACATTTATTAGAACATTAGAGGAAATTCACAGGGGTCATTAGTCAAAACCCTACACAATAAAAAAAGAAGCAACAAAATCGGTTCAGTAGTTCCCGAGAAAATCTTGGCACAGACAGACAGGTCAATGGCTAAAAATGTGTTTTTCTTACTCAGGGGCTCTGAAACGTATAGATCCGTCGAAAACCGCGTATCGGAAATTTGTCCCGATCGAAATACTTAGGTTTGTTTTTCTCTCGTGCTTGTTGAAGTCCGACAGTCATGATTTAGTTAAAGTTATAATAATTATTTTAATTATTGGTGAATTATTATACCTTACTTAAAAGGCGGTCGTACTTTTTATTAAAGTTGAGAGATAAAATTTTAGTACACTTAAAGTTAATAACTGAATGATTAATTTAAATGAATGTATCAAATATCATACAACAATAAATAATTTGTATACAGAATAGTAATATACTTAAAACCAGCTGGAAAAGTGGCAACTATCATTAGAGTTATTATAGATAAAGGTTACTATAGTTCTTCCATACTTATTTGCAACTATCAGGTATAAGATAGTCGTTTAGATGTCTAGAAAGACAATGAAGTTTGGTAGAATGACGTAGATTTTCATAACCATTGGAGTTTAATACAAGTGAAGTTCCTGGTGATGATGTAGAAGTCCTAGTATTGCAAATTTCACTTATAATAGAATGTACCCGATCAGTGGCATAAATAAAACCACCGCAGTGTGGGAGACGGGCGCCAGACAAAACAAGAAAAGAAAACGGCCGATTCAAAGGGGTAATTTTAATTGTGAAGGGGCATATATTTCTTGCTTATAATGAGTAATAAGATTAGTAAGACAAGTTCAAATGGTCTAGGGATATTGAGAATCGATCAGTAGCGGGTCAGAGGTCTTAGCGATGCCTTAACTTTTTTTTTATTAAATGCACTCCTTTCCTTTGCATTGGGGGGGGGGAGAGGAGAGGTTGTTCGAGAGGTACAACCAAACCTATTCTAACTAGAAATGGAAGGTCGAGATTGATTCCGTGAGTCCACCATGAAATATATTTCAACCCACCCAGACTGTATTCGATCCGACGCCGGTAGACTATTAAAGCAGGCTTACATTTTATCACTCTCAGACATCGCTACCTCTTTTTTGATGATGAACTCGATTACTGATAACCGATCCTATGAACATTATAATAAGAACTGAGCTTACAGCTTACTCTTCTTAAACTCCCACCATCCTCTCTTCTGTTCAACGATCTCCTAGGTACAGCTCCTTCTCTTCCTCATAGAATGCTTAAAGTGTGGGTAGTTCTTTTTGGATATTAGCTGAGAGAACTCGTTTTCCCTCAATAGTTTGGCTCTCCATAAAGACCACAATGATTTACATATGGGATAAGTGTTCTTTTCGTGTTTATTGACCCTTGTTTGGCAGTTCAGGCTCTTCTTACATCTCAAGTCTTCAATTAGGAAAGAGAGCCTTCCATAATATGGAGATCTTCTCAGAACTGGTCCTCTTATCCTTCTGCGGGCACCATGATGAACTGGACTGAACCCACTGCCTTCTTCCAGCCATAAATGAATTCCTTGAACCGCCGGAAGTCCTTCTCATTCACCAACCTAGGAAATTCCTCCTCAGTGAGGATGTAAATTCCTTATGTTCATGTTATTGATACTTAATTCGTCAAACACAATTCAGGCCATTAATACATGCTCAATAGTATCCACAACACCACAAAGGGAGGATTGAGGATTTATGTCCTGGCCTAGTATGTGTAACTTGACTCGAAAATACCCATTCCTGTGTGGAATTGTGAAACCCAATAGATCGGGTTGGCCCATTTTGCTTGTTAATTAAATTGGAGAATGGGAAAGTATTTTGTCTAGGTACTCCCTTTCAGGGTTGTCATCCACTGTTAGCTCCATTCTTCAATTGTTTTCTGCTGGATTAATTTTTCCATCTATTAATTTTATATCTATTCCTCATCCATGAGTTCTACCTAAGACCTAGCAGGAGGACATCGATAGGCATCTCCCCTACTGGGATCTGCTCCGCTTTGTGCAATGTTGATCTGTATGCTCAGGTTACCACAAGCGAAGCTGTTCTCTGAGTCGATCATAGCCTATTTTTTTCTTCTTTGTGTAAGGTTCCAGAACCAGAATGGAGATGCATACTTCAGGATACTCTCCAAAACTCCTTAAGTAATTGGGGCTGGATATGTATGGCTTCAGGGTGCATTCCCTCTCCCCCGTGTGATTTAGACTCTTCATTATTCGTCTACATTATTCGTTAATAATGATAAAAAAGTTTTCCATAGGTCCGATACTTCAGATTCAGGTATTGGTATAGTCTGCTTGCTATTCAATACAAGTACAGGAATAGCACAAGAATCAACAAACTCATCAACAATATGATAATTATTACATAAATGCTAACATTAAAATAATTACTTTTTTTTGTTATTTGGCAATGATTATTTCCTATTAACCACAATTGAATTTATTTGTTGTATTATCAAATTGCATGTTTACAAGTTAACATTTCGGGATATTTACTCCTATCTTCAGAACCACAATCCCAATGATCTTGTGGATACATGGCTTAAATCCAATGTGCTCCATTGTCAAGTTCTAATTCAAGTTATAAACCTGATGATGGAGCACATTATATTTAAGCCATGTATCCACAAGATCATTGGGATTGTGGTTCTGAAGATGGGAGTAAATATCCCGAAACGTTAACTTGTAAACATGCAATTTGATAATACAATAAATAAATTCAATTGTTGTTAATTGGAAGTAATCTTTGCCAAATAACAAAGAATATCATACAACTTCCCAGAAAAAAGAAAATAATTACTTATGTAATCATAAATAAAAATTCAATTCAATTCAACAGGAATGGAGAACAGTGACATTTGTAGTCCTGGTAGGATTACACACTTCCATCATAGCCCTGACCACTGCAAGATAGCTTTCGATTCTATCAATAAGATGCGTCACAATATTCAAGTGAGTTTACTATTTTAAAACAATTATTGGATAATATGCTTAATTTTAGTTTCTAATTATTTTTGGCAATGTTTTATGTACGAGTGGCATCATACCAAAGGCCCAAAAGCAGACATCTATCATCAAAATCAAAATTGGGTACTTGTGACAGCCATTTTGAACATTAATTGATAATTCTGATACTGATAAATAATACCTATCTGTGTATTCATATTTATCGAAATTGAAATTAACAAAAAGAAATTTGATAATAACAAAGCACTTATATTTTACAACATTTATATATATATTATATATATATATATATATATATATATATAAAAAACACTTTTGTTTTAGATTTTATTTATTTTGGGAGACAACATACAACATATATAACACTTTATATATACAAAATATATACATACATACTTTATATATTCAACATACGTACATATAAAACACTTTTATTTTACATTTTATTTATTTGAAACGTTTGCTTCATCCAGTTGTTGGGCGTTGTATTCTTTCCAACAATCAAAATATACGGTGCTTCTCTCTTCTGTATTATTTTTAATACATTCAAATAGAGTTGTTGCTTTTCTGTCATTTATTTTTGCCATAAAATACTTGTACATTTCTTGGCAAACTATCCATTTGGTCTTCCTGTCAAACTCTATTTCATGGCTTTCTTCACACAATTTCACCTTTGGAATTATCCAGAACTTCTGAAAGTATCTGACAGCTTCTTCTTCCGAAGACAGCAAGTCACAAGTACTCAAATATTGTGTTAGAAGTTGATTCTCATATAATTTTTCTTGCTTTTTTAAGTGGTGGAATTAGTTCCTATTAAAACAATATGTATAATTGGTTTATTGCAAAAAGTCTTTTAAGTGATATTTTATAAAAAAAAAAAATTCCTTAGTACTTTGTTGAATTTTCTTTTTATGCAATCAAAAACATATACATTTGGTATGACTGATATTTAAAAGGGTTGGTGTCATAATGGCATACTTATAGTGAGTGCTGTATGCCCATAAATCAGTTCAAAATTCACAAAAACATACTTAGTTTGAATGTTCATTTAAAAATGTGCTAAATGACATTTTTCAATAAACTGACAATATGTTCAATATGGAGGCCACTCGTATAATTTTAAATTAATTTACTATATTTTCATTATTTCTTTTTAATATATCTCTTATTTAATATTCATTCGTATAACTGTTATTAACTAACCAACAATATTGCAGATGACAGATATTACTCTCAAAGTTGGTGATGTGAGTATCCATGCTCATCGTATAGTCTTAGCCTCGACTAGTCCCTACTTTTATGCTATGTTTAATGGTAAGATATTTCTTTTTTGCTTTATTCATTTGCAAATGAAGTATAGAAATTTCATAGTATAATCAGTTCATAATTTGTAAGTAGAAATTGTTATATTTATCTCCATGTATTTTGTTCCTTTTGACACAAACAAATAAGTCTTTATACAGGGTTAAGTGGCCAAACTGAAAATATGAACTAAGGACCTCAAAACAAGACAAAAATTTCCTCTGAAAGTATGTCTGCAAACACTGTGTTGAGGAGATATTCACAAGAAAGAAAGATGCCGAGTCGGTCTTAATGCTCAAGGAAATCACTTTGAACAACATTTAATATGAATGTTTATATTTAATTAATAAAGTAGTTAGAACAAATAAATAGTTTTTATTTATTTCATTTAATGTAAATAATTCATAACAATGGAAATCTTTAGGTGTGGATATCTTCTAAACAAAGCGTTTGCGGACATACCTTCAGAGGAAATTTTTTTCTTATTTTGAGGTCTTTAGTTCATTTTTGCATTTTGGTCACTTAACCTGAAGCACCCTGTATAAAAAAGCTGAATATAAAAATATTGTAAATGCTTTCAAGTTGTAATTTATTTATTATCTAAACGCTATTTGAAAGTATAGGAAATTTCCTCAAAAATATAGTGCAAAAAATAATTAAATAGGAGATTTTTGATTTCTTAAATATGTTAAGTTAGCATTAAAAAAGAAAAATATTTCCTCTTGTATTAATTGCCATCCTTTCCTCTTGAGGATAAAAATCCTGTAGTAAAAGATCAAAATCTCTAAATTAATTTCACAGCTATAAAACAACAACAAAATATTTTTAAAAGATCCTTTGTTGAAGGGATTTATAAAATTTTATATTTCCCCAACTTTTCAGTTAACATTGGAAAACAAAAATACTTATCGTAGTGGGTACGAAATTAGGCATTTAGCCATTTTCACTGTGTTGCCGCACTTACTGATAGCCAAATTAGTTGAGGCTTTAAACTAGTCTATAGTGACAATGTTGACTGCCCCTTATTCCCTAGTAACCCTGTTTCTAATAAACCTATTAAATCTTTCTTCACTAAAGGATAAATTATGGAGTTATAATTTGTAAATTTGTTATAATTTATGGAGTTATCTTTCGTTGAACATAATCATCTTTTCAATATTCAATCACTTCTTTATTTAAGAATTGGCCAGTATTATTTCAAACATTTAAAACTTTTCAACATTTGGATTCTTGTAAAAATTGGTACAAGTGATCGAGAATATTGAAAACTTTATTCTCTTACAATATTTCGAAGAAAAATAAAATCAGATTTGCTGCTTTATTATATCTGTATTTACATATTAACATTTTTATTCATTATAATTATGTTTGGAGCACTTTGGCAAATAGTAGTCAGGAACAATTAAATTATCTAATATTTTTCTTCTTTGTTTTCAGGTGATATGTCAGAAAGACTATCAAGGGAAGTCGTTCTTCACGAGGTTGATGTTATGGCACTGCAGCTCTTAGTTGATTATTCCTATACCGGTGGAATACTCATTACCGAAGACAATGTTCAGGTACCTTTATTGAAAATTATTTATTATATATCTGTATCCCGGAGGTTAAGAATACCGTGTCCATTTTTGTATTTGTTCGGGAGAGCCAATATTATAATTTAAGGGAGCCAATATTCTAACTTTGAGCTATTAAAATTTGTTTCTTAGTTACTAAATATGTACTCCAGAGATAAAGAAAACCATTTCATATGTTTGTATTTGTTTCGGAAGCTAATTTTCCATAACTTTGAGATATTAAAATTTATTTCCTAATTATTTAATTTAAAAAATGGACTCCTTTAGAGATATGTATATATGGTTTTGTTTCTTATATTCCTCTACTTCAACTGTAGATGTGTTTAACGTGGCTAATAATAAACTACTTTTGATTTGTTTGTTTGGTTTTTTTGTCAACTATATCAATGGCTGTGTCTAGGTCTTTCTTATAACGACCCTATACATAAAGTTGCAAATGGTGTTTCCTTTCTTTCTGCATGCTTTATTATTATTATTAGTCAAGGCGAATCTGGCACTGCCTCGCTAACTTAATCTCTTTGGCCTAAGAGTCGTTGACACTTCTCTTAAATCCCACCATGACCACTGATGTTGATCAAAATATTTTTATTTTTAAATAAATTGATTTTTGAAGTGAAACTTCTTTAGGCGCTTTCTTTTTGGAGTGTGAATTAGATTGAGCAGTCAGATCTCCATTGTGTATTGCTCGGGTAAAGTTGGCTGGTTTGACTAATTGAAATGTTTATGCATATTGTTAACAAGAGAAATGTTCATAACTTTATCATCTTTGTAATGATCTATTATTTAAAATTGTATCTTAACCCAAAGTCATACTAAAGAGATGCAAAGAGAAAAAATAGTGTCGAAAATGAAATGATAACAAGTTTTATTGAAGATATGGATTAAAATATCTAAGAAACTAAAAATTGGAACTACATACTGTAAGCAAGGGAAATGTTCAGCATTTCATCCTCTATATAATGAGCTATTATTTATAATTTATATTTCATATTATTATTCTCACATTGCTGATGTTTTCACTTATATCGTGTGGTCTAAAGCATACTCCCTAGTTTTTTTTTAACTGCAATGTTTTATAACTGGTTTTTAAAAATTAAAACATTAACATTGTATTTATGCATCCAGCAATGTTATTTTTCGAGAATACTGTTCATTTTCATATAAGGAATGCTCTTGATTACTTTATTTAAAATTTGCTAAAATAAAAATCAAAGCAAATTTTTGTTCTAATAATTTAAAAAATAATAAGATTTATTTTTATTTTTTGAGCGCCAAATATTCTGATATGTTAAAAAATAATAATAATAATTTTGATTCAAGTTTTATAAATGGTTTCTCTCACTACTATACCTCTTACTCCAACCTATTATGATTTGTGAAATTTCAAATTTTTTTTTTTAATTTTAATGAAATTTACAACTGTATAACATTAAAAATACAACAGGTAAATGTGACATTGGTAACATGACATATAAAATATGAAGAGAAACTACCCATTGGTATAACTCAAATTAAAGTTCTATATTAGAAGATCCCGAGGCCATCTTCTTTCCAGACGCCTCGGAGGGTTATCAGGGATCGAGGAGGAAGCAATGTTTGAAACAAGAGGGTTCGGATGGTTCTGCAGTTTGTTATGGAAGGATAGGTATCTGGATTGGGCCAAATCGGAAACATATGGAACATTTAGGTCTTTATGGATGATTTTGTTTGTGACAAAGTATGGAGCGAATTTAAAGTTCAGATTAATAAAATCACATTTTACTTTCAGAAAGAATAAGAATGAGATATAAAATATTTCTAGTCAAACGATTTTGATTAAACTCCTTTTTTTTTCAATGTAAAATTGGATGATCTACAATCTTACTTTCCTATTAATGTAGATTTATAATATATTGTTAGGATGTTAACATTTTTAGAAAAATTTATTTCTAAATATAAAGTTGTAGAAGTTGGAGAGTGACCAAAAGCTAAAGGCTTTTAATTGAGGAATATAAAATAAAACACTAAAAAAAATTTAGTTTCTAGCATTGTAAAATATTTTACCTCATAATAATGTAGTACAGAAACTTTTTTAAAAAAATATAATACCTGTAAAGTGGATTTGGCTGGTTTCAGAATTTTACATTTCATACTATTTATAATTTATTTATATTTTAGGTTTTGTTACCAGCTTCTAGTCTTTTACAAATCGTAACGGTACGAGAAGCATGTTGTGAGTTTTTAATGGGACAACTACACCCATCGAACTGTCTCGGTATCAGGAGTTTTGCAGGTACAAGCTATAAGATTATACAAAAAAAAGTAATTTCTTATATTGTTATTATTTCAATATTAAAAATGAAATGGTATCATTGAATTTTTTTAAAAATAATGAATATGTTTATTTCATTATTATTTTTTAGATGCTCATGGTTGCAAGGAATTGCATAGTAAATCTCATAAATATGCCTTGCAGAACTTCCAGGAAGTTATGTCGACGGAAGAGTTTCTTCTCTTACCTTTTGCAGAGGTATCAAAAATTAATTGTTAAATGAAAATTTATTTTTATGATAAATCTAAAATAGATTCATAAAAGTTTTAAATAAAATTAAAAGGCAGATAAATATCAATGTTTTCTTTTTTTTTTTTTTGGTAATTAGTAAGAATCCAAAGAGTAGTAAGTCCATTTCTATAGTTTCTATTTAACCTTAAGGTCAGAGGCAGAATGAATAACAGATAAAAAAATATAGCTCTCAATGAAATAATTTCTTACTGTTTATTTGTGCTGAAGTTATTCTTATCTATTTTTTTCTTGAAAATTTATTTCTTAGGTCTGACTGCGATCTAATCATATTTCTGTTCTATTTTCGAAAAAACACATATTGTTTCTCATTGGAATTTGCCTTTAACCATCCTTTTTTCAGGCTCATTAGGCAGACCAGCAAGTCTCTTATTTGTAGAGTATATAATAATGAATGATTTTTTATCAATAAATAAGAAGAAAATTTAAAACTTTAATGAGTATATTCTAAAAATTCTATAATTTCTAAAAAAAAATTTCAAAAACTAAAAATAGTGGTTAATAGCTCAGATATTTTAGTCTAATCGATATTTAGAATAGGATTAATTAGAAGATGTGCATGGGCTGCTGAAATCTCAATGTAGAGATAGAAGCTTGTTTAGAATTTATTATTACATTAGGGCATTAATTATATTAACTTACATAATAGGATTATATTACAAAATATAGTCCTCATAATCTCTTCAATATAAAGGAAATTAAAAAAATATTTCTAAATCATTCATTATTTCCTTTCCTAGAAGGAATTTCCTTAACCTTAGACATGGTTGACTAAGATCAACAATTTTTTTTTGTGAGGAGTTAGTCGAGGGTGCGGTCAAATAAATAAGAAATTAAAATATATTAATTATTTTAATTTTTGCCGATGTTTCAACCCACTTTGCAGGTCGTCTTCAGGGCGTAGGATGTGGCACTGCGGGAGGCAGTTGAAACACTGCCTGTGTGTTTCAATTGCCTCCCGCAGTGCCACATCCTACGCTTTGAAGACGACCTGCAAAGTGGGTCGAAACGTTGGCAAAAATTAAAATAATTAATATATTTTAATTTCTTATTTATTTGACCGCACCCTCGACTAACTCCTTCTCATATTATATCAACGGTCAACCATCTCTACATCAATTTTTTTTTTTATCCTATAGTTAATTTAATAACTAATTTATTAAGGTTACACTTTATTTTAATGTTCATAAAAACAATTCATAAAATAATTAATGGAATAAAGTAAAGTATATCAATATTTTTAAATGATATTTTTTATATTTACTTTAAAATATCACTATAAAAACCAATATTTCAAAAAAAAAAAATTAAAATGTCTACAAGGAAAGCCACTTCACTGTTTATTAAATAAAAAGATTATTTTAAAACAAAGCATCTTGGAAATATCAGTTTATTTTTTATATATCTTAGTAATAAGTTTTTTGTTTTTGTTGGTTAATCTCTAGAAAAACATAAATGTGATTTAACCACATTGGAAACTTAGTTATAATAAAATAACTGCCATTGTTATTTTCATTAAATAAAGCTTTTTTCTTTTTTTTTTTTATGAAGCATGAACAAATATTGCATGTTTTCTGAATTGATCAGGTAGAAGAACTTATTTCAAACAACCAACTGAACATTGCATCCGAAGAAAAAGTTTTTCTGGCAGTTCTCAATTGGGTCAAACATTGCATAGCGGATAGAGTACAATACATAGCCAAGGTATGTAGCAGTTTGTCTTGCTATCAAATAGATTGACACAAATTATTTTTATAATAACAATAATTAGAATCATACTGTAGAATATTAGATTATTATTTACTAGAATATTAGATTTAATATTTTATAATAAACTCTCTTGTGATAGCGAACTAGGTTACAACAACAGAGAAGTAATGTAAAAATAATTCATTCGCTCAAAATTCCAGAAGCAAGTCTAATTTTTTTGAATATCTTTGAATGAAATGTGTGGTTAAGAAATAAAAAAAAACTCATGCTTCCTACCAGTTTTAAATTCCATTTATTTAAAAATCAAAAAGTTAAATAATTAACCCATCCTATAAAAAAATAAAAATCTTATGACAAGAAACTTATCTAGCCTATCATATTGGTAAAATTCTGAATTTTTATATTAATGATTGCATAATTAGTACTTGATTAATTTCCACTGTTCTCAAAGAAAATTGAAGCTATTGTATGGTAAACAATTTGTCCAACAAAACAAGCATAGCATGACTGTCTGACTTAAGATTAGATTATAATTGAGTCCATGATGACGGGATGTCTGCAAATATAGGATAATGGGTAGTACAGTGATCAACTCTGAACGTTGTGGGTTTGATTCCCACCTGGGTTGGTTAATATTTATTTCTCGGTGGTCCTGAACAATGAATCTTGACATTTTCACTCTGGTACGTACGTAGCGGATACCTTGAGGTTCAGTGTAACAGGTTGGCAAAAAAAACCATTTGGCCCGCTTGCCGGAATAATTCTCTCCACCGATACCAGTATCAGTAGTTAAGTCCTTATGATAAAGAAATTGTTCTTAAGCCCTTGGTAATTGATGACACAGCTTTGTCCCTGAAATTAATAAATTTCTGTGATTTTAACGTCCATGCATGAAACATAGCTGCTGATATGAAACAAATATTCAAATTTGAATATAATTTTCTTCAAGTTTAGTCTTAACTTTTCTTAACATTAAATCAACTCAACTTGAACATGATATAGAAGCCACTGCTTCAAATATGTGCAGATTTTCTATCTACAAATTTCAAACTACATACATATACATGCGACTGTGCAATACATTTTGTTTTCGAAATCTCAAGAGATAAGCATATAACCCAGTATTACACCAAGTTGAAGTGGCTCTATCTATCCAACCGCCGTCAATTCAAATATTCCATTCAATCCCGTCTCACTAGATCGCGTACCTCCGACCTCTATCCACCTCCCCACCGAACTGCTGCGTTTGACAAATCCTTTATAATTCAAGCCGTCTCCTTCTGGAATACCATCCCTCCCGATATCCGACATGTACAATCAGTTTCCTCATTTAAATCTCTCCTTTTTAACCACCTACTCCTTTCCTAACCTGATTGATCATGAAATGTAGATAAGATAACTTTTAAAGCTCTCCCGGAAATGATTTTCTTTACTTATGCTATTTGCCACATTTGTATTATACATATCAGTATGTTTTTAGTGTAATAGTTCTATTTTTTGTTTTATTCTTTTTCCAAAATCTTAATCTTAATAATAATTGTAAATAATTAATTTTATGTATGGCCACACAGGCATTTATTCTGGAACTGTAATTTGTCCTAAAGGGACAACAGTCCCAGGATAATAAAAAATATTTCCATTTCATTTCATTTCATATACAAAGAATATTGTACTGGCGTCGGCAAGGTGACCATTAAATGTGGAAATAAGAAGTCTAAAGGAAGCCTTTGCGTTTTATCATTTCATGTTGACTCTATTATCAGGATAGAATGGATTAGATTAATAAACAAATCCTTGGTTGAAATCAGGTTTACTAGACGTTGGAGAAACAAAGTCACTCTATTTCAATATAATACATAATATAACACAGCAGGATTCAAATGTTCTCTTAAATTGAAAGGATCAGTTTTCAAAAGACCTAAACCTGTTTGTTACCCTTACCCTCTGTGAAGTGAATGAAGAATAAAATCAAGCGCATTGAGAAGGTGACTCACGAAGACTGCATGCAATAACCAGAGTTCTTGCAGTCATGTGGACAATGTTTATTTTTATTTTAATTCATGATACCATTTATTCAGTATTAACCAGGACTATATGTTAATCCTAACAAATCGCACAATAGGCCTTGAAGGTCACGGTGCATTGTCTTAAAAAAAAAAAATCCTTATAGAAAAAGTCTGAGCTGACATCAATGCTTTACTGTGATTAATTGATTATACAGAACGATCTAATGTTTTTTATAATAGTGGATAATTGTTGACTGTAGCAGATATATTAGAGAAATTGGTTGGGGTTTTCAGTCAGTGTAAACACGAGGTTAAAATAAATAAAGTTAACAAACTTGACTATTTTCTCAATATTTATATGTCATCTTGCCTTTGCTTAGCTCTGATAAATAAGAAATGATGCCAAAACATGGGCACAAAGAAAATAAAAAAATATATAATTTATTTATTTTAACTGACTGAAAACCCGAACTAACTTCTCTTCAATATGTTTTTATAATTATTAATGAGGTTTAATTGCTATGGAGTGGGTGTTCTGCTCTAGCAGATATTTTATGAAGTAGAATAAGTGCTGTGCTCTAGCAGACAGGTAGAAAAGTAATAGATGAAAGATTAGAAGTTTTAAATCCATTGTTTACACTTAAAGAAAAAAATTAAAAATACATAAACAATTTGAAAGTCAAATTCCACGTTTACATTTCAATGAGAAGATTAAAACTTCAAAATTAATTGTTAGCACTTCAATTAAATATTTAAAAATTATATAGATTAAAAGCTCAAAGTATATTCAAATATACCAAAATTAACCACATTTTTGAAAAATAATATGGAATGTGGTCTTCATTCACAATATCTCTTAACTTACTTCTATATTTTCACAAAATAAGCAGATTTTACTTATTAACAATCTTATTTTGTTTATAAAAAAAATTTGTTAATGTTTTAGCTATTGAGCCATGTGAGGCTTCCTCTGATGTCACGTGACTTCCTTATGACAACGGTCGACACTGAAGTGTTGGTGAGGGACAGTGCGGAATGTAAAGAACTCCTCCTCGAGGCCATGAAATATCACTTGCTGCCGGAGCAGAGGTCACTCTTGATAAGTGAGCGTACCTGCCATAGGAGGCCTGAGGGGATTGAGCATTACGTCTTCGCAATAGGTAAAGCCCAATTCCTATCTTCAGCAGAAGTATAAAATAGCTAACTCTGCTCTGTGATTTCACTCACCATAAAATTTGGATTTTGCAAGTTGCTATAAACTCAGAGCTAAACTCATTGATGCCATCGTTTTTCCCAGTTTAGAGACGTATTAGATGCATTTAGGAACTTGCCCATTACTTATTTCAATTAACAATACTGTTTTTTAATTCCCTTTAAACTGTTATTTGTATTTGATGTTTTATAAATTAGCTGACTGGTTTTATATTTAAAAATTCTAGTATCAATTATACTTTGCATTAATTGATTGATTTAATGATTTTTTTTTCAATTTTTAAACACCATTTTGGTAATAAATTCTATTGCAATAGATTTACCTTTCGATTGCAGTGAATCGTTCTTTTATTTTATTCTTTTATAGCATTTACAACTTGGCAGTACTGTTTCCGGCAATTTTGTTTTTAGAGTTTATCGACCAATAATTAAAATTTGGTCCGACCAGATAGCAACATTTATCAGTCATTGCCATTAATAATTAGTAAATAATTTCTATATGGTTACATTTCTTTTCCTAACAATTTCAATATATAACATAGTATAATAATACAATACAGTCTAATGATATATTAAAATATAACATAATGCTAATCTAATCTAATATATATTAAATATTAAATGACAATATATATGAAATCTATAAGATTATGTAATAAAATATAAAAGATAATTAAGGTTATCTGTAAATATGAATATATAACAGTAATGATTTAGAAGATAATAAATAGAATAATTAATAAATATGAAAAGAAGTATATGGACAACAATTAGAATAATAGCATGACTGGAAGGAATAGAAGTTTATAACACACATCAATAATTGGAGTGACTAGTAGAAGAATAGACATAAAGCCTATAAGAATAAAGTCTAATAATAAAATGTAATAATATAATAATAATTAAGTTCAAAAATAATGTGAAATAAAATTAATTAATAATTAATGGGGTCTAATACTATATAGAGAAATATGATACTATAATAATAGAAACAAATTTAATGTTAAATAATTAGTTTCTGTGAATTTTTTTTTATTTATTGATTATTGAGTGAGTTATTAATAAGCATAAGTTCTCTGGACCATTTTCTTTTTAACCTGTGTCGATAAGTTAATGGGGAGGAGGAAATTGATGGATCAAGTGATTTTGAGTTGAAGAGTGAAATGTTGTGTATTTATCGTGAATGTAGGATTTTACTATAGAAATGCTCAAGTCATTGTGTATAGTGTGATTTGAAATTCCACTTTAACTATTTTTCGAATAATTTTTTATTTTGTTTATGTGTGTTTGTTTTGCTGAACCCCAAAGTTCTGGACCGTACGTCCAACTTGGTCTTAGTATAATGTTATAAAATTAGTCGCTTGTTTCGTAGTTAAAATGATAATATTTAGTTTAAAAGATGTGAGAGTTGATTATATTGTTTTATACAAGCATTATTTTAAAAACATGCTTTATTATAATTATTAATATTTTATAAATTATTTTATGTGGTTTAAAAGATATTGCTACTCATTGCAGGTGGAGGAAGTTTATTTGCTATTCACAGCGAATGCGAAGTGTACAACCCGAGATCTGACAGATGGTTCCCCATTTCCCCGATGATTTGTAAAAGGAGCAGAAGTGGAGTTACTGGGCTGGGTAGGATGCTTTATGTAGTCGGTGGGTAAGTATCCTTAATTATTAATCTACTAAAACCAAATTTGAAGTTTATATAATCTTTATTTTCTGAAGATATGACGGTGCCACTGACTTGGCAAGCGCCGAAAGTTACAATCCTCAAACGAACTCTTGGACGAGTATAACATCGATGGGAACTAAAAGAAGTTGCCTAGGTGCGTGAATTTTTTCTATATCTGCTAGGTCATCAGTGGTTGAGTTATTATCCAAATTAAAAAAAGAAAAAAAAATTTTGATGTGTTGAAGGGATTTGTAGCTTCGACGGACTGGTTTATGCTTGTGGAGGCTACGATGGAGCATCTTGCCTCAGTAGCCTGGAACGGTACGATCCGTTGACTGGAGTCTGGAGCTCTTGTCCTGCAATGAACACCAGACGGAGATATTGCAGAGTTGCAGTTGTAGGCAAGCTCTTTTACTGATTATATTTAATTATTTTATAAAATTAATTAACTTTTTATTATTTTTTATATATTAATAAAAAGAAAAACAGTTTAAAAATCATTTCCTTACATTTTAAATACATCAGGATTGATATATAATTTTTTTTTAAACGTATTTAATTTCAATTTATTTAATCTATTGTAATTTACTTTTCGATGACTAGCTTGATACATGAATATTTTCATGGCTTATGTTTTTAATGTTTTTGTATGGCAATAGGTTCTTGTCATATAGGTTAATTTAATATTTTTCTATCTTATTTATAAGTTTTTTTGTTTTTGTTCATAACGATGAAAATGTAATAAATTTGATTTAATTCAATTTTGATTTTCTTCCAAATTTTTTTAGCTGCAAAATTCATTTTTCATTTTTCTTAGTAATAAATGTTAATAATATTATAGATTTTTAATTATTTATTCTATATTAGTTTAATTTTTAATATTAATTTAAATTAATTTTCTTTCATCCTTCATAATGTTTTTATTTATAAACAATTTGATCAATTTTTTTGTCTTGTTTGTAATCATTTTTTTTTAATAACAAATTTTAATTAATTAATACTTTTTTGTGTAAGCTATATATCATTGGTTTTTTGCAAAAAGTCAAAATTTTTAATTGTTGTATTCAAAGTTAATCCTCTTCCTTTTATTTCAAAGATTAAAACTATCCAAATCCAAAATATCAACCTCTTTTATTAATATTTCAATTTTTGTTTGATATTTACATCTCTACTCTTTTCAAAGATTGAATACATCAAAATGGTCATATTTGGAAATATGACTATTTGTTTTAATTTTCAGAAAACTGCATTTATGCTCTTGGTGGATATGATTCAACAAATTATCAAGCAAGTGTGGAACGCCTTGATCCTCGTGAAGGCAAATGGACAGGAATGCCAAGTATGAGCTCTCGGAGATCTAGCTGCGGCGTCGCCTCGGTGGATGGGCTGCTATATTGCATCGGAGGCAACGACGGAACTATGTGTATGGCTAGCGGTGAGCGTTTCGATACCAGGAGGAATTCTTGGGAACCAATAGCACCCATGCATTCGCGAAGGTTTGGCTTTTAACACTTTAACAAAAAATTAAACTTTTTTGAACAACAACTTTATTATGGTTATTCATTTTGTACCTAATTTATAATATTAATCAACCACTATATTTTCACTTGATTTTATTTAACATTATTAAAAAATTTGCTGCCACCTTAGTCAATTATTAATTTTATTTAATATATTACTTTAAATAGTACATGTTAACATTTTTAATGTTTTGATTGACCTAAATGTCATTTTCATGTTCTGTACTTCCTTAATCTATTTTTATTTATATAATAAAAAAAAAATCTTTTTATTTTACAATTTATAATTGATGTTTTGATGGAATTCTAGATCCACCCATGAAGTTGTCAACTGCGGAGGAGTTCTAGTTGCTCTTGGAGGCAACGATGGATCCTCTTCTCTTAATTCAGTGGAACTTTATGACATCAACCTGAACAAGTGGACTATAGTCGCTTCAATGATGACGAGGAGGAGTTCAGTCGGAGCTTCCATATTGGAATGTTTCAACTTAGAACTAGCCGTCGCCTCCAGCCAAGTCATGCCGAGGAATATGGTGCTATCCTGAAGTGAGGACTCTCTTAAGGATGTGATCCATCGAAAGACTTTAACTCTAAATAATGTAAAGCGATAAAAGAACTTAGTTTGTTCGATAATAATGTACGTACTGGGCTTTTGAAAGGCAAACATTGAGGAAGTAATATTTGGCTTTCTCTCGAAGCTTCAGCTCGAATAGCTTTCATTTTCCCTTCGCTTTTAGCAGCGCAAGTCAAAATATTTGTTCTCAGAAAATACAATGGCTATTTATAGTAAAATTTTGCACAAATTATTACAATAGAATAGAAACTCTTTTGTAACTTAATTTTTTACCAATGTAGTAATACAAAGAAGTAATTGTAGTTTTTTAAGAATGTAATTATAAAATATGAAAATGAATTAGATCAATAGAGATTTAAATGAAAAAAAACGATAAACAATCGAATTGAAGATAGTTGTTACGACGTATAGATATTATTTTGGCGTAACTCAAATTTTAAGATTGTTTGTAAATATTTGTGATTGACTGAATTCTTAAAACATTTGTGATGAACTATTCTTCCATCATCAACAGACAGGATTTGTATTGGGTTCGACTGCGGGAATTCTATCCTCGCCAACGCATTTTCATCTAATTCTGTTCTATTCATAATTTTCTGTCTCATTCTAAGACTTGATTTCTCGTAGGCTGAGCACAGGAATATCAATTCAAGTCATCGCACTAAAAGACATTGGAAGTGACGAATCTACATTTTTGAGAAAAGAAAGTAGAAAATTAATAAACGGTTTTAAAAGTATGGGCAGAAAAACTTTAGTACATCAATTAAGAGAAGCTTCTAATACTAAAATAAACGAATGACTGGAATTCAAACAAATGAATTTTTTTTCACATATTTTACTTGGGATAAAGCATCACTTTGAAAAATTAATAAAAGTCACTTTAATCCAAGTTTATGGAGAATAACATTTCCTTTCATGGTCAATGTACATTTTGTGATCAAAGAAAAATCCAAGGAAATATATAAATTTTGGATGAAATTTTACAAATGGCCATCTAAACTGACAGTTGTAATAAAAATAACATAAAATATTTATGATATGAAACTGATAGTCATAAAATACTGTATTGTTTGTATAAAAAAAATGTATTGTGATGAACATTCTGTTCTATAAGTTAGTTATAAATATATACTGTAATATTTATATAAGTCATTAGAAATTAAGCTTAAATATGACAAATTTGTAATAAGTTGTTTAAGACATGGCTTTTGATATATTCGTAAAATTGCCCATATGTGTTAATTGTTAAATATGATAAGATCTACTCATAACCATTTATCTGTAGATTTTGTTGTTTTTGTATTTTATACAATTTATGTAATGGTATTAAATGAATATTAGTGAAATTGGTTGGGGCTGCAGTCAAAGTTGAAAGTACACACAGAAAGGCTTTATTTTGTTAGAAGGTAAATCCCTTATTTTGCATTTAGGTAAAGGTAAGATAACAACAACCAATAAGAAAAAAAAATGTTTTTTTCAAAGAAAACATGAAGATAAAATAGTATGATGACGGTAATGATATATCAAATATATACAAAAATGTAACTTTTATGTGTAAGTAATGAAAAAATAAATATATATTGTAAGGTTACGTTCCCTTCGAAAAGTAAACGAAACAGTTTCTTAATCAAATAATATTTATTTTACACAATAATTATTTCTCAGGTTGGGTTGGGCAATAAACACACATCCTCAATTATACAATATAAAAGCATGCATTCATTATTTATACAGCACATTTATGAATTTCTATTGTTTGTCAGGGTCTAATCTTGGCGCGCTTTCGAACTGTCCATTTATATTTCACTCATCCTGTTCTGCAGTGAATCTTCCTCGGTATTGTACCCAACTTCTACAACTTTCTCTTGTTCTATTATTTTCTTGTGTTCGTCTAGTTGCAGACACCCACTACTTGTTAACTAACATTTTCTTCTCACCGATCCTTTTTACTAACCGGCTGGCTACCTTCTCTTCATATATGGCACTCTTCCCCCACCATCTGTCATTCTTTGTCCATTTTTGGCAGTGGTTCGTGGTGTCACTACCTTCGCGCCATTATTCAAAATCACTCTGTAATATTTATATTACAATATATATATTAGCATTTTTATATTTGTTTATATAAATGCTGAGATAAGAATGAAAAAGTATGTTAATGTAAGAAAAATAAAATATATTAGTACTGTTTAATGACAGGTCATAATATTTCAAATATATTATCATCTGTAATATACAATAACCCTAGAACGACACACTTGTGTATACATACATCAACTCATTCTGACATTGGGTTGTGGTACACCCCAAACTTTAAATTATCATAAAATTTAATTGTCATGCTTTGGAAAACTCAAATACTTTTCAGATAAAAGCTAAATGATCAGGAAAACAAATACATTGAAGGTAACTTTAGATAATATATTTTATATGCTCACATAAAGTAAAAGTTAACATCTACATCACTAAAAAATCAAAAAAAGATCAATTTTTTCTATTCAAAATAAGTTAAGTTTATATCAATTAAATATGTATATTTGGAATGTAAAATATATACATTATTAAGAAAAAACATTTTTTTGTACTTTTGGGTCCTCCCCTTCCTCGGCGTTAAGGCTATACGGGGTTTTCCTGGGCCAGGGGGTGAGGGGCAGGGATTTAAAAGACCCCTTGGCACCAGGACGCAAACTCGTAACTATTTTTATAACACATTTATCATATATCAGGTTGCCGGGCAACGGTGGTACTGTGCACAACGCGTTAACGCAACATTTTTTTGTACTTAAAAAAATAATAAAATCTATAGTGAAGGCCATTGCAGATTGGCTCTTACATTAGGGACAAATAATTTTTGTCTTGTTATCTTTTCCTCTCATTTAAAATGAATATTTGGCTTGTTTTCTCAACAGTAGTTTAGTTTTTAATGCCTAAAATTTCATTTATGTTGAGACTCACCGTTCGCGTGGGTGTCTCCACTTGCAGTCTTCCTTTCAAACAAGGCTCAATGAAAGAATAGCGTAATTCAAATGAATAATTTCTCCATTTCATATTTTTTTCTAGTTAACTAAACTGAACAATATCCATGCTGTTTATACCAGCATGGTTCAACATTCCAAAGACAAATTGGAGAGACAGCTTCTTTGTTTTTTTGCTGTTATGTACACATGACACATTTGATCAAAAGTTACTGTGCCGTCTTTATTTAATATGGTTCTTCTATCTTTTCTTCATCTTGTTTCTTCAGGATAAAAAACATTTTTTTTGGTATTTGTCATACTAAAGAAATAGTTTCTATACATTAATGTCTGAATAGAAAACTCCACTAATTAACAAATATAATATTAAAAATCCATATCTGTATTATTATTATTATCATCACGGCGCTACAACTCGGTGACGAGTCTTGGCCTCCTCCTCCACCAGCTTCCTCCAGTCATCTCTGTTCTGTGGGGCCATCATCCAGCTCCTGGCTCCTAGGACATCCCTTGAATCTCTTGCCACATCGTCTGACCATCTTAGTTTTGGTCTCCCTCTTCTTCTTGTGCCGTAAAGAGGTTCTGTCAGGATCATCCTAGGGATTGCTTCATTCTCCATCCTTGCTACATGGCCAGTCCATCTCAATCTTCCAAGCTTCATCATCTGAACGACATCTTGATCATTAAAAGTTGAGCAAATTTCGGGAAATCTGAATTATTAGACTTTTCAAAATAATAAAGAAAACACTGGGATACGAAATTCACAGAACAGATACATAGACAGCACACTGGAGTGAGAGACACCCAGGAGAGTCATGTAAACAACATACTAGGGTGTGGGATATCCCACTATGACTTTCAGTAACTCCCAATATTGATATAAGCCCAACAATGGAGCACTAATGACCGCAATTAGCTTGGCTATGCATGATGTTTACATGAAAAATCTTGACCAAAGAACAACTTATATAAAAGATATGTTGTGGGGTATGTCACAGCCCAGTGTGTCGTTCTAGGGTTAAAAAACTAATATATAATTTTAGTAGACCCATATGAATAATTTGCTTAGTATAATGGTCTAGTGAATAAATGACAACATAATTTGGAAATAAGTATAAATATATTGAATATTTAATAGTTGACCGTTGCATTATAAAGGAAGGAGATGGTCCGGAGTGGCGGTCATAAATAGGCTAAATAGTTTTGCCACTATATAGCGTATTTATGACCGCCACCCCGGACCATCTCCTTCCTTTGTAAATATATCATGCGCGCTAAGTAGCGGTTAGCGCGCTATATTAGTAATGCAAAGATCATAGGATCAAATCCCGGCCCTACTTCTCACTACGGCTGGTCCCCGTGGGAAGTTAGACCTTATCCGCCCTTAATTAGGTGAGGCCTACATGTTGTAAGACTTGTATGAACAGGCTGTAAAAATATATATATATATATATATATATATATATATATATATATATATATATATATATATATATATATATATATATATATTGTAACATCCCCCTTATATTTTAAAATAATACTAATAATATAACCTCAGAAGATCACTTTATACCCTTAGGATACTTCCAAAAGAAATAAGCGGTTGTTAAATAAAAAACGAAATTATAAGAGTAGTAATATATTTATTTATCTCAGGTGTGGGTTACTGACAATCAGATCAACTCAGACAAACTATTATTATTTACACTATTTATATTAAAATTAAACATTGATTTTAAAATAAAGTCAAGTATGAATTGACAAGCTAACCTTTTTTCTACGTACAATGTTTCTTCCTTTGTGGCACTGAACTCATTTGTCTTCACACATTTTCTTATGTTCTGCCAAACACATATCCCAAAATGGTAACACTATTCTTCCGCTCTACTCAAGCTCTGTGGAAAATCTTCTCTCTTGCAATTCCAAACAACTATTCTTCCTGCCTTACAAGATGGTAAAACTATTACTGGGTTTTACCAACTGGAGCCAGGATAGGATATGTTCTCTTAACCTTCACTGCTGTCACAAAACAACTGCTTGCCAAAACAAAAACCTTTGTTCCTTTCCTCTCTGGGATTTTCCTTCTTGGGAAACTACAGAGCAGCCATTTTCTTTTCCCTACACTAGTAGAACTAGATTAGCTTGCCTTTTAATTGTTCAACATTAATTTATTAAAACCTTTTTACTCACTTTCAATAAAGGTGTGCATTACAATATATATAATGAGAGGGTGGAATTGTTTTTTTCTCAGTCTATTATAATTATTGGAGAGCATAGTAGCTCAGTGGGTGAGCACTGACTTCCAGAGCTCAAGGTCCCAGGTTCGAATCCGGCTGATGACTAACGATTTTTCATCAGCTGAGGGTCGGCCCTGGATCTGGGAGACCCTCCTGGGGCAAACCCAGCCTCTATAAAGTGGGTACTCTTATTTAAATAATTAATTAAGGGGAGAAACCTGGTGGTTGAGCTTGACATTGACCCAGCACCTCCCTAAACAATCGTTGGCCTTGTAACAGTACTTGCCACATTGTACTGAACCCAAGACCAGTCATGGGTTGTGTTAGTGGTACAGTTTTATTTATTTTTTAATTATAATTATAATTATTCAAAATACATGTACAAATTACAATTGACTGTATCTTTGCTAATAATGGTCTGATTATATTGTTGTTTTTTTTCTATGGAATTTAGAAACTTTTCAAATTATCATGGGTATATTCAACCACATTTTTTTTTAAATTATGCACAAATAATGTTTCCTATATATGGTGGCTTCAAGAAATATATAAGCCCTTATACTTTCTTTTATTCTACTTCCAACGACGTTTCGAGCAGATTAGCTCATTATCAAATCATCACAAAGCATTTTCATAGATAAAAAAATGTATTTTGATGACTTGATAACGAGCTAATTAGCTCAAAATGTCATTGGAAGTAGAATAAAAAATTTGAAAGTATAATGGCTTATATATTCCTTGAAAATACTATATGTAAGAATATTGAGTGCCCTTGAAAAGTACTACAGTAGTAGCTAAATATAAAAATAAATTTTCCTTTTTTTCCTGAATTTTCTGATAGGTTTGCTAATAACATCAATATTATTTTATTGTCAATAATAATAACTGTTTATTTTTTTCATCTAAAGAAGAAGATAATCTTTAAAATGACGGCTCAATATTTGGATTTATGAAGACATGGCATACAGGAAAAATAAAAAAATTAGAGAGATATAAAATTGGAAGATAATGTACTGGATGATAATACATTTAAATATTTGATGAATTAGACTAACATATGTAAGTAATGAAAAATCATTAAAACAAATTAATAATAAATAAAAAATATGTGATATGTAAGATAAAATTATAGAAAGTTATAAAGCAATAGTAATAAAGTAATAACAATGAAATAACGAAGTAAGGAAATGAAACATTAAGTTATATAAATCAGAATAGAAGGTAGTAAAATAAAATTAATATGATGTAGTGATAAGAATAAGTTTATATTGTAATAACAAATAATTCAGTAGAAATGAAATAAATATAAAATAATAATGAAAACATAAAAAAAAAAAAAAATTATTGAGTTATATAATTTTTTTTTCATTATTTACATATATATATATTTGATTTATATTTAACATTTTATCTCCTTATTTTCTTGTCAATATGATTTTTTTCTCTTTCTAATCAGTTGTTATCTGTCTTTACTTAGGCCTAAAACTTAGGCTGAAACTTGGCCACACAAGAAAATAAAACCTTTTTGTGTGTACTTTCACCTTTGACCGCACATCCAACTTAGTTCTACTAACTGATCTAGACTCAACAATATTTCCATTATGAAAAAATATTTCCTTTATTAAAATAATTTAAGAAATTGTTTACTCTCTTTTTAATTTTATTAATTAAATTAATTAATTTTTTGTGTATTATGTTCCCTCCGTAACCGTCGGCAACATTTAACAAATAATTTAATTTGAATTCTCTAAAGAAATTTCGAATTAAGTTTCTTTAGATTTTTTTTCATATAGCCATAAAAAAAAAACTACAGATTTATGGAAAATCAGATTGTTGTAGTTTGGATTTCCGATTCTCCATTGAAATAGTAAAAGTAGTTTACAAACATGAAATGTTGCTTTTAATACCTTATGTTAATTTTGTATTATTGTATCTACATATTTTTAAGTTGTAATACACAATGCCAAAAATTGTATAATTCTTCAATGAACTTCTTAAGTCATTCCAATTGATTCCTCGACTATTATAGTGTTTTTTATATATATTAAGTTTTTTCTATTTCTCACTGAGTGAGAAAAAAATGAATTCACATTTTATTTAAAAATGCTCATTGATAACACTGCCTATTTTTTTTATAAATGAATTATTTTAAAAAAATAACTTTAAGATAGTTTTTTGATTCGGGTAAAAGTCTTTAATGTATTCTTTTATAAAAATTGTTTTATTGTTAATTTATATTTATTTTTATGAAACATGATAAACCTTGATTCAAATTCAATTGAATTTTATTTTATTATAATGCTTCGTTCAAATAAATCAGCAATGAATCTTCAATTTTGTCCTATACCATTTAATCAAGACAAGACACAAGCATGTTCAAACTCAATTGATTCATTGAAAAATATATGAATCACTCTTTTCATTCCTAAAAGCTACCCAGTAAATATACACTGTGTTATTAACTCAACACAAGGTTCACTTCATTCAATTTAAAGTGTGAAAAAGAAACAAGAAATTCCAGAATATTGTTTTATATACTGTACTTAACTATAAAACATTTTTCATCTTCTTTAAGCTCAAGAATTAAATTTTCTGTTTTGGTCTTCTATCACTTATAAGAATGAGCTCAATATTTATTTTAATCTGAATACTCAAACATCCATTCATAAAATATCATGGTATTTTACTGGTGATCAGAAAAAAATATAGTGAATTTTTTACCAACATCCTTCCATATCTTAGCATCAGTGAAGCACTACTTTGGAGTGTAAATATAACTCTTTCAACTCATTTTTAAAAAAATATTATTTAAGGCTACAAAACATGGAATTGAAGTGCATGTATGCTGTTAATGTTACTAAAATAGCATCGCAATGATTGAAAAATGTGAAAGTTAAGTTTAAAACTTGGATAACAAATTATTAGTTCCAAACTGATATATAATTTCTGAGAATAAAATCAAAGTTGTAGGATTATGTGTGGGTTTTAAGAGGGTTCAGTGTAGAGGCAATTTTTTTTTTTTTTATCTTATAAAATTCAGTTTTCAGACCAAAACAATATGAATATTGATCTAGCTTTAATATCTGTTCCAAAAATATCTTTCAGAAATATCCATTCCTTCAAGTTAGAATTAAGATAACATTGAATTAAAATTGTGAGCTTAAGTTTCATTCATAGATTAAAAAGTTCTCTTTTATTTGCAAATTAAACATATTGCTTAGAATCGTGATAATTCAAGGATATGTTCTACATAAAAAGTATTACTAGCATAACTACACGTTTATCACCGCAATTTTTGTTATTTTTTTAACTTTTGCTTGTATTTGAAGCATTTTATGTTTAAAAAATGCTGATGCTTCAACTAAAAACAATAGCTCATTTATCAAAAAGTTTTCTATATCTGGTACTAGTTCACAACAGTTCCGCACGGATTACGCATGGTTCACAATCACTTCGATCACACTTGCTCATGGAATCCCGAAAACAGCCGAATGTTGTCGTCTATTGTACCTTTTCCTCTTTTTTCATGCATTTTTGAAGAAAAAAAAAACGTATTTCCTTCGTGGAACTTCCTTATTAAAAATGTATTTACTAATTAGTTAATTATTAATTTGCATTATAACGGTCATTACTGTGAAAGAAAAAGAAAACATATATAAAATAATGTTTGAGTCCTTTCTTCAAGGCCTGTAAAAAAAAAAAATGCTTTTAGAAATAAAATTTTTATTGACACGTGCTACATGTAGTGGCTATAAAAAATACGCATATACTGTTGTATATTATCTTTTATAAATTGTATAAAAGAGTTTTTCATCCTTTGGATAATAAATAATCTGAATGGCGATTATTGTAGTCATTCGTAAAATAAAAAAATCGTGTTTATTTTCGAGAAAGGAATTAACGTATTGAGAAAAGAACTGACGAAGAATATCTGATAATTCCGAGATAATGAATAATAGAAATCATAAATAAGAAAAATATTGTGAAATATCATTCAGAGATGTAATAATTAAATGTTTTTATCTATTAATATTCCTTTTTCACAGATATATAATGTATGTACATGTTCGATTCAGATTTCATAATGTGTAGTCTAAATTTCGAATTTAAGTCAATACCTTAAATAACATTAATATAACTGAACATGTTTAAGGTTATAGAAGTACTTAAATGGCGGAAAAGTTAATGGTAATAACTGATTCAAGAGATCGTCGCCTTCGTTCTCTGTCGGATAAACCCGAAGGCATTCCGGATTCCATGAACAAGTGTGACCGAAGTGATTGTGAACCATGAGTAATCCGTGCGGAACTCATGTGAACTAGTACCTAGGCAACCAAGATCACAAGTGTCTCCAATTTGACGAGTGGCCCAAGATCAACGATCATACTATAAATGTGATTCAGGGAATTCTCATTTTCACTGTATAATTGTGTCCATTCTAGGGATTCCCTTTATTGTATGATCATGAGATCATATGCTAATCATCAAAGTGGAGTGACACTTGTATAGTAGTACCCAAGATTTAGGGTAAGCGCACCAGTGATGGACATAGCTAAGGAAATTTCTGTCTTTTTTGGCTAATGCTGCCTTAATTATTATAGTTATAAACTTCTCCGTTTGACATTTAGAATCTCTAGGGTCTCCTTTTTCTATTTATCACTTTAATATTGAAAAAATATTCAGTTATGAAGATATAATCTCCACTTTAAAAAAACATATTTTTGCACTAATGATGGACAACCCAAAATTCAATTGTTCTAGAAATAGACATACTTCAGAAAGATTCTAAAATCTTTATTTAACTATATAATTTAATATTAATGTTAGCAAAACTGTTAGAAGGAAGGCATGAAACACGCTGATCTGAAGAGCATTATAGAAGAAACAATGATAGGTATTTTAAAATTTTCTTTTGGGAACTTTGTTCTTACAATTATAGAGGGCATTGTTCTTTAATCTATAAACAACTGAAACCTTTAAATCAACAAGGAATTTTATTTGTTTATACAATTGAAGTCCAACCTGTCCGTTGTTCATAACTAGTGCGTTCACTCTAATTGATATCCTATTTCTTTTTTCAAAGAATTTTATACCATTGATTATTGTAATTCATTATTTTTAGAACAGTGTATCCATTGAACATTATCCTACAAAGATTAGACAATAGTAATGAACAATCTGTCCTGTTCAAGAGAACTGCTACATTATATTCAGTGAAGAGTAATTCAGATAATTTATTAAGTGGTATGGTACATTTTAAAAAGTAATGTTATATCACATTGATTGAGTTATCTCGATTGCAAATAAAATATGCCTACTTTGCAAGAAAACGTCAATGCATTCTTGACACTTATATGTAAGTAAACTCCCCATCATAACACATCTGTTACTTTTAAAAAATTTCAATGACAAATAATTATAATTTGTGATCTATCATGCCAATGATCTAATAACCTTATCTTGTGAAGAATTTTAATAACTCAAGTGAATCAACAATAACTCATTTAAGACAAGCTTCTTGTCCATCATACCACAGGCAACAGCTGAAGCTCCCATAAATGGTAAAATATAACCATTTCTTATGAAAAAAAATTATCTCCGAAAGTATGATTTATGTAATTAATTTAATAGATCTTAAAGAATCACTTAAACACCTTTTCATAAAGGTAGTTAGTTTCTTTATTTTTGTTTCCAAGTAATTATTGTTATATATATATAAATTAAATCCTTATCATGTTGATTTTGTACTTTTTAATCCTTTGTGTGAGAAGTTAATGAACTATTTCATTGAAATAATTGATTAACTTTCATGCCCTTTTAAAATATTACTCACTCATTTTTTATCAGCTTGGGAGCTTTTACACATAGATCTATTTGATTTATATATTTTTCTTTCAATCATGTATAACATCACAGACCTGTTTCAAATTTTCCCTGAAAACTTAAAAAAAAAAAATTAATATTCTTTAATCACAATACTTTCCCTTATAATATATAACTCATAAATAGAAGAAGGCAAATTTAAGTAAAAAACTTTGCAATACTTGGATGAAGGGATAGTATTCTTAATTTATATCGATGTTTTGAGGATTGAAAGAATAATGAGTACTGTCTACAAGAAGTCTTCAGCTGACTAAACCAAATTAGCCACAGCTTTCTTGATTTATAACATAGGGTTAGGGTTATTAAGGAACTGGTATGAAATATAAAAACATATATCAATACTGAAACAACTTTATTTCCTTTTATTTAAAAAATTAATGAATCAATGAAAATATTTTTTTTTAAATTTATTTTGCTTAAATGCCCTACCACGTAAAAAAAAGTCTTATGTAATAATATAAAGGCGTGTACGATTAACAAATATTCAATACAAAATTATAATACAAGATAACATTATTAAATCCTATAACACTTATATATACGAAATGTAAAAATATAACGAATGATTTAGAAATTGATGTTCCTCTCTGAGCTAACACAAAAGTTCAAATGACCATTACCATCATTTGTCATTGGCAATGTCTCGTCTTCTTCCTGTAAAACACAATGCAATTAAAAAATAATATAAATTAAAAAATATATATAATCATGTAGAAGAGTTATACTCACTGGTGCTGAAAAGAACTGTTCTATTATAGTTGAACACTTCTGGTAGACCTGTTCGTTTTCATGATGTTGCAACATTTCGATCTTTTCAAGACCTCCGCATTCTTCAATCATTAGAGCTACCCTATCGACTTCACCAGTTTTTTCAGCTGCCTGCAATGTCACAAATTAATGAGATGAGTTAACAGTAGTTATTTATAAGCAATGAGTCTAGGGTAGGTCTATGATATTAACATTACGTCCTTTTTACTTTTGACTGACTTCACACATTTTGTATTTATTTTTATTCAATTGTATTGATATTATTAAGATAACTAATTATTATCAAGGAAAGTAAGAATTAATTCTCAACTAGTAGACCCGTGCAAAAAATTTGCACAGCATATTGTTTTCAAATGCCAAATTAATAAGAAAATAAAATAATGCAACATAACAAAAGACAAAGACATCAATTGTTACTTTATCAATAAATATAATCGACAAAGGAAACAAAAATTAATTTAAATCTTCATTAATGTTTGGAAACAACATTTTTACAAATTTTAATAAGTTGTATCTTTGCTAAAAATTGTCCGATTTGGATGATTTTTTTCCTTTTCTAGGGAATTCAGTAATATTTTATATAATGGGCATAACCAAGGGAAAAGTGTGTAATTTTTTTGTTTGTTTGTGTGTAATTTGTTTGTTTGTTTGCTTTCATACCTTATTTGTCTGAATTTTCTGAGTGATTGGACTATTTTGCCCACCTGAAGGAGAAGGAAGCCTTCGAAATTGGTGGCTCAATCTTGAGATTTGGTTTAGAATTAACAATGATATGGCTTGCCAATCAAAAACAAAAACGCCATCGATAAATAATATAAACTCCTGCTCTCTCGATCATAGAGGCCTTAAGTCGATGAAATGAGACATGTATTCAATGACAGTACTACAATTAACGAAAGGTTGTGTGGATGTGAACCCTATGTCTAGCGTTATCTCGAAAATAATACGTTTTTGGGCTTCCGCCCAGGATCTCCATGCAGGATCTGATGCTGTACCCATCAAATTCTTTAAGGTACAATTTGTCGCGCATCGATATACAATCCTACCACCATTCCAGTATTGAGGCCTAGCAAAATGTTGGTATCTACTTTATTTATTTTAGAAAGAAAAACAAAAGTGGAGAATACGATTCGCTAATCCCCCGTGAAATTCTGAATCCAACGGTATCCCATTCATGGTATTTGAGCATGACAGAAGCTTATATTTGGTGCTAAACCGATTTCGAGCCTTACTATAATAATACATGTGGGGATTCTGTCAGGGAAGTTATAAGTTGTTGAATGATTCAGGTGCTTCAAACATTGTTCAGACAAATTTTAAAATTCTTAAATTATTCATTAAAAAAAAAAAGATATAACAATAATAAATAGCAACGATAACCAATAAGAAAATATATAAATATACCTGAAGCAAGTTTGAAAGACCATCGAGGATGACGGTAACAGTTTTCCAGTCTTGGCTGTCCAACAGAGCACACATGGGCGGGATAGCTCCCACTCGAACGACAGTCGCCAGCTGCTCGACGCTCCCACCAGAAGTCAGGTTAGTGATGGCCCAAGCTGCCTCCTTCTGTGATCTATAATCTCCCTGAAATCAAATATACATAAAAAAAAACTATAGTTAGGTTTAATTAAAACAAAATTGTTTATAAAAAAAAATGATAGAAGGCAGTTTGTACACAGATCATAACGTATGTAATGCTAACAAATGTGGTTGAATATCATCAATCATACATAGAAAGATATTGGTCATTAGGGTTTCCACTTAGGTGAAAGAAATAGTCAATTTTTATCAAAGCACAGTTTAATATATTTTTTAAATAATATACGTAAATCTGACAAAATGAGTAGCTACATAAAATATAACATAATATTTAGTATATTTTTGGGTGGAAGGGATTTTTAAGTTCATTATGAAAAAAAAAGGGAGAAATTAAAAAAAAATGGTTGAAAAGCTGCTAGACATTCTGATATACATATATATAGTAGTTTAATCTTTAGTATACTCACACTCACTATTTTAAAAATTGCAATTGTTTGAATTTAGCAATTAAGGTTACTTGAAAAACAACAAATAAATGGCAAAAAATATAGATAAAATCATTACGAAATATTAATAAATTTATACTTTTGTCATCATACATACCTTTCTCAGTACATCAAGTAGAGGTGTTAAAATTCCATTATTGATAACATGTTCTATTTGATCAACATTTCCAGCAGTGATATTCGAAATGGTCCAAGCAGATTCTTTTACTACGTTTGATTTTGTATGTTGCAATAAGAGAGCCAATTGTTGTAGGCCACCAGCAGCGATGATATGATCAGTCTGAAATAATATCAAACGGTTAAGATAATTGAAATAAAAATAATTCTAAAATCATTAATGATGATTACAACACAAACCTGAGAATCGTTTCCAGTGACAATGTTGCCAACTGTCCTTAGAGCGGGCGTTAAAACGGACACTTCACTGCTCATGAGCAGCTGCACTAGACGAGGAACAACACCACTGTCAATCACTGCTTGGATCTTATCGTTAGGTCCGTCGGTCAAATAAGACAGGGCCCAGCAGGTATCAGCTGAAAAACAAAACGAATTGTTATCAGTTCAGAATTGTTGAAGACAAAAACAGTAAGAAAAAATAATAAAAATAAATAATTACTTATGACTTCGTTATCAGAATAACTCAAAAGTTTGCAAAGGTAAGGCAGACAAATTTTCACCATGTGGAATGGAGGGGGAGGATTTTTATTACGGCACAGATTGGACAAGCTCCATACGATGTTTCGGAGAAACGATACCTAAAAGAACATACATATTAATTAGATATGAAGATTTTTTTTCCCCTTTAAATTACAAACAGAAACTTTTGACTCAGTTTTTCTTATCTAAGTCTACATTGATTCACAATAACTTATTTAATAATTTATTTTTTAGAACAAACAGATAAAAATATAATAACAATTCCATTCTTACACTTGTGTCAGGTTTGATCAATTCCAAGAGAGCGGGCATAGCGTTGCACTCTAAGACCAAGTCTCTCGCTTCTGATCCATCACCTGAAAAATTATTTAATTATATTTATGAACATTTATATTATAAAGTAAAAAAAAAAAAATACTGAGAGAAAACAGTTATAACGAACCTGCAATATTTCCAAGAGCCCATACCGCCTGCTCAGCAACGTGTGGGTAAGGAGAAGACAGGAGGGATACCAGTTTTGGAATGGCGCCACCTTTTATTACAGTGAGTGTTTGATTTGAAGTTCCCGAAGCTACATTTGTCAGAGCCCAAGCTGCTTCAAATTGTAACGAAGGGCTAGAGATACAAATAAATAATATAATAATGTGATCATTATATAATTATACAGGATGCACAATGTTTAAATGTTTATTAAATGTAACGGCGTGCTGCTGATGCTAATTAGAATAAAAAAAAGTAGGCTAATCATACATACTCAAATGCTTCCTAGCATATATGCAAGTATTGAAAGGGAATTATTTAAAAAAATAATTTTTGACAAACCAGCAATGAGAACTTCTGATGTAGTTTCAATTTAATGCAGTTTCATCACAGTAACGACAGATTCAGAATTTAATCATTTTGCGGGAAGGAGGAACTTGAAGGTAATTACTATATAAGGAAAACAAACTATTATGGAATTAATGCTCAAGTGGTCCTTAAAGGGTTGTAAATTAATCACAAGAAAATTAATGTTTATGAAAATAAATTTTTTATATATTTTTCTTTATATGCACTTAAATTTAGTAACTATATTTGTGTTATAACTTTTAAAAATTAGCATATTGTGATCAAGTATTAAACTTAGATTACTTATGAATAAAAAGATATTTTTCTGGGAGCTTCAGCCTATAACATTCAATACTTGTATTTCTGTTAAGAAACATTTACCGAGACATGCTAAACTGTTTTCTATGATAAATAGAATTATACCATATATGTTTAATTCTCTGATTATCAAATAAGTTCTGTTGTTATGAACTTCTATTCTTTCTGGTCAAGCTGTTATTTTATAATAATAATAAGGCTTAGCGAACCCGAAGGTTGGATGCCGACACCACCAATCGCTTGTTACACACCTCCCTCCACCGTTCGCCGTCCAAACCCAGTCTCTTCAGATCGGCTTTAATGCAATCTTCCCACCTTCGCTTCGGTCTACCCCTCGGACGCTTACCACTCGGCACAGCAAATATTAACCTTTTAGGAATTCTCTCGTTACTAAGCCCAACAACTTTACAAGCCCATTTGATTCGCCGCGACGAAATTACCTCAATTATATTACCCGGATACAGCTCACGCGATTCGGCGTTGTGTAACCGTCTGAACTCTCCGGTTAACTCATCCTTCTTCGGCCCGAATATTCTACGCAATACTTTATTTTTAAAAACTTTAAGACGCTGCTCATCCCTTAATGTGAGCGGCCAAGTTTCGCATCCACAAGCTGTTATTTTAATGAAAAAATTTCCTTTGAAGGTATGTCCGCAAAAACTTTGTTTAGGAGATATTCATTCACACCTAAAGATTTTCGTTGTTAGGAATTAGTTATGTTATATGAAATACATAAAATCTATTTATTATTTCTGACTTTTTTATTACTTAAATTTAAACATTAACATTTATATTAAATGTTGACCAAAGTGATTTCCTTGAGCATTAAGACAGGCTCAGCATCTTTCTTCAACAGCAGCAGTGGCAGAACGGCACTGGATATGTGTTATTGTTTCACAAGATTCAATTATCCTTCTTTGTAAGGAATTAAGATCATTGACCAGACTTTCATAGACTTTTTGTTTAATGTCACCCCAAACAAACAAATCCAGTGGTGTCAGGTCTGGAGAGCGAGCAAGCCAATCCATTGATTGAGATATGATTGAGCAAGTCTGGTCAATGAACAAATAATTATGTTTTATTTATTTCACATAACATAAATAATTCATAACAAAAATTTTTAGGTATTAATATCTCCTAAACAAAGCGTTTGCGGATATACCTCCAGAGGAAATTTTTTTTCTTGTTTTGAGGTCCTTAAGTTCATTTTTGAAGTTTGGGCACTTATCACTTCAACACAATGTAGATCACATATATAGCCATTTAGTACTTAATATATATTGTATAACTTAATCATTATGTTACTGTATTAAATAACATTATCATTATGTTTCAATTTATTATTTCATTATTATAATTATAATTGAATTATATTGAAAGTGTTAAAAGAAAAAGAAATGTAACCATGTAAAAATTTACTTATTATTAATGGCACTAATGGATAGATGTTGTAAGATCAAATTGTAATTATTAGTTAATAAATTCTAAACCCTCTAAAACCAGAAAAATGCTCGAATAAAGTATGGAACTTTATTCATCAAGAATCTTGAGACATACATAGAAGGTAGATGAATTTCTTACATAAAAAGAATTAAATTAAAAAATGTTCATACTTGTGAGAATATGCTAAGAATTCGATACACCGAGGAACGAGACCAGAATCGATGAGTGTGTCAATTGGCGGATTTTTTTCTCTGCTTAGAGTCTTACGTGCGGACTGAGTAGCAATGAACTGTATTTGTTCATCGTTGCTATGCATACCTACAATGTCAATAATAAATTAATTCTTCAATAAATATAAGATCGGATAAAGTTAAACATATATTTTTTTTTGTCATTTTCTTACCGGCAGTAATTTCTTCTATTGTTGTTAACATCCGGGAATTGTTATCATGAAGAGGGCTGACTGGTTCGTCGATACTTGTTGTTATGTTTCTCCTTTTAAGCAATTGCTCATCTTTTTTAGCTTTTCTAAGTTCGACGCTAACTTCATTCCGCCTCCTTCGCATTTCCTTAAAAATAAATTTTAAACAAAAATTAATAAAAATTTACGCAACATCAACACTAAACAAAATAAACAAGAACATATATTTACTTCTGAATCCTTCCCCTTGTTCTTAAATTTCCTGAAACGGCTTGGAACATCATTTTCTTGAGAAGGCATTTTTGAATATAGGAGCTGAAAACAGTAAAAAAAAAATCAGAAACATTCAATATAATTGTTTATTTTATGGAAAAACGTTTAGGAACACTTTCTTATAATTTAAGTAAAATAAGAATTCATTATTGATAAATTAAATTTGATAGTATTTAAGAAAAGTGTATAATTTAAAAATGATAAATTAATCCAGACTGTAAACATTGCAAAACCTTCTTTAACACACTTGTTGCATGTTTACTTCTCCAAGAACTCATGTTGAACATGGTATCCCAGTAAATGATTTAGTACAAAGTTTATTTATGCAATGGCATTTATATTTCTCTGGATTGCATTTTGTGCCAGAAGTTGAATTTTTTTTTTTTTTCAGGTCACAGAAAAGAAGTCATTGATAAAATAGCCACTGAAATTAATTTATCACAATAGAAACTTTTTCCCTGTTACAATCTTTTAAAAAAAAATACACTTTTATTTTTTCTCTCACCTCTTCCTTAAAACAAAACAACAGTAAAAGTTTTCCTAATCAGTCATTTAGAACATTTAACAAATATAGCTAAGTGTTCATTCCTTGGTCATATATTATCATTTTAAGAGACTTAAGGTTTCATATCTATAATAACCTTATTAAGCCCTTGTCTAAACAAATCTTCAAAATGGCTGAAATAATATCTATGTAAGTTAAAGAACTAATTAAATTGCTGACATTGTTATATTAAACTTGAATATTAATTAAATACAACCAATTAAAAAAAATCAGATAGGCTAAATAAGAGCTTGAGGATGATATAAATAAGAACTCATACAATGAAAATTAAGTTGATCCATTGAACACTGATTAGAACAAAATAATAAATATTAAAATGTACATAAAACAACAATTAATGACTCAGCATATTCTCGTTTTAATCCACCCCCATGTTCCAAAATTCAGGTCAACAACAGAATACTCTGAATATGAATAGACTGATCACACGATTAACTTCATTATATACAACTATACTATTTTTACTTGGTAAAAATAAACAGTAATATTTATCAGCATTAAAGTTAATCACCTTAGGTTGGGGCAATGGAATGAAAATAACTATGAACTTGATAACAATATAAGGCACTACTCTGAATTAAATATAATAATTATTTTAAATATATATCAAAACCAAAATATTTGCAGCATATATTTATATTTAAGGACTCCCTACAACAAAGTGCAATGGACATGTCACTAGGCGCCAAAATACATTTACGATTCAATTGATAATTTATTTTGATGACGTTAAAAACAAATGAACCAAACATTAAATAGTAATCAAATGTAGTTTTATATCATGAAGAATTAGTAGGATACCACTAACGTTTACCTTAAAACAAGTGTTAAATTAATACAGGCACGACTACGACCTGCGGCAACTCCTCTAGAAATGGCCGTTGGAGTTCAAAAAACTGCTGGCTTGTGACCTCTTGTATAAAAAAAATGAAATAAAAAAATATAGTTTCTTTAAATTCCTTAAGAAGAGAATTCAAAGTAAATTATACGAATATGTTACAAAAATATTTCTAAACTGCTTTTCACAAAATCATGGGAGATACTTCTAAATTAAATTATAAGTAGGTTATTGTAAATCTATAAATAAGTATTTGAAAATCAATTGATAAATCTAAAAAAAGAATTGTTATTTTTTAAAGTTAAATTTTACATTAATAAAAAGATATTTCAATTAGTTCATTACTCTTAATAATCGTCATACGTTTTCAAACGGCTTGATCAAGATCTCGAGTTGATTAACGGTTAGGCGCTGAGTGTTTTTGATAAAATGCCCACATATTTGAATTATCATAAAATAATTTAAATTAATTTTCTTAAACGATGATAAGCTGTAATTTTAATTATCATTTAGAATCATTTCATACTGTTTTGAATAATCGAGGACAAGTTGCCATTGATTAATATTGCAGTTAAATTGTTCTTATCTTGAATATTTTTGATCAGTTAATGGTGTCAGTTAACAATGCCTAGAAAAGCATCTACAGAGAAAGCAGCACCCAAACCTAAACCAAGACCAAAGAAGGCCAATGGCTATAAATTTCCTGAAAAACTTCCCACTGGTGAATTACTGAAGGACAGAGCTAAAAAAGAATGGGTGTTAGGACATTCTATCGGACAGGGTGGATTTGGTGAAATATATTGTGGTATGAAATAATCCATTTACTGTCTTTAAATTATATTTTATCTGAACCAGTAATCTTACAAATTTCATAACATAGGACGTTTGTAACCTTGTTCCCTGCTCCCCATCTCTAATGTTGCTTTAACTTGATTGAATTTTGGTTTCATATTGACCTCATAGTATGTTTTTGCATAATGATGATTTATTAGTACTGATTTTAGTTCAGAATTAGCAATGAAGTGACATTTTTCATTAGTTTTTTAAAGTTGTCAGTAATGTGTTTTACTTTTTAATGGTACTGATATGTATGTTTCATAGTGCTATGTAAATTTAGATTGGTTTCATTTTTATTGTAAATGTATTTTTAGATTACATCATATTTATATTTGTTAGTTTCCTCCTAACACTACCGATAATATGGCTGCTGTGGACAATCTCACACGTTAACAGCTTATCTCTGCTACTTTCTTTTAAACTGATTTAATCATAATAGTTGTAATACATTAAACATAAGTAATCGAAATCCACACATTTTTTTTTTTATTTTTTTATGGTTTCTACTCTCTTACGTTGTATACAATGATAATTACCCTTTAATTTTTTCAGATCATTGAGCACAATAACTATGGGTAACGATATTGTCTAAGGGTTGCATTCTATTATATTACTAAGAATTTTAGATATTTTTGGTAAGGTACGAATTTGTGATTTAATTAAAGCAGTAATGATTTTAATAACTGCTAATAATCTCAATTAATTGTGGTAGATTATATATTCAGACATGTATTTGTAACAAGATAAGCCTTTTGTGAATATTTTAATTATTTGTGTGAATTTTCACAAAAACGCTTTTGTACACACCCAGAAATTTTTTTAATTCCATCTACAATGTGATCATATGAGCTTGTATCCACCTGCTATATTGTCAGCCAGGTACTGCTTTTCAAGTGTAGCTCCACTTTGATGGGTGGGCCAAGATCTCATGGTTGCATCATGAAGGGAATTCTAAGAATGGCTGATTATCGATATGTTCATAGTTGGATCTCCTTTTATTTATACCTTTCACTTAGCTTATTCTGCAAATTCATAACTGTAAACTTGTAAATAAAATGGGATATCTGTCATATTGCATATTTATATCATGAATATTATTTTTTAATATACGGGTGCGCTAATATTGTATTTTATTAATACATTAGTTTTCACTACTTTGTCCATTATAAAATAAATATATTTTGTAAAAGTATGATGAATCTTGCGGGCCAGAAAAATATTGGGTACTTCTTCACTAGCAGGCCGCTTTGAAACCTCACTTCTTATCTATCTTATCTAAGGTCACATCACATAACCTCCCTCTTCTTATCCCGCCAAACCTTTGAGTTATTGCATTGTTTAGTTTTCAGTTATTCCCTTATTATGTTCACTTATTAAATTCTTTACTTTTGGCCCGTTTGTGTTTATTTTTAATTTTTGGTCCGTTTGTGTTTATTTTTCATTCTTTTTTAGTTTATGGCCCCTTTATGTTTATTTTTCTTTTTATTTTCGTCATATTATGAATCTTCTTAGAATATGGAATTTATCATCTTCAGAAGAACAGGCAATTCAATATTTTCAAAATGTTGGAATACTTGCAGACGTGAAATTGTTTGAACGAGGTCATCGAATGAAGTTAACCAGGAACGCAAAATGGAGATGCTATCGTAGGACTTGTGACACAAAACTTTCAATAAGGAAAGGAACATGGAGTTTTAGCTCAGCAATGGATGTTTGGTGGTGTTTGCCTAGAAACAGATGAGTGTTTTATCGTCAAAATAAACGACAGAAAAGCAACCATCTTATTACAAGCAATTAAAGACAATATTGAAGAGGGAACGACCATTTATTCAGACTGTTGGGAATGATACAACACCCGACAACTGAACGAAGCAAACTATGACCATTTGCAATTATTTCATGTTGATCTTTTATATGTACATATCTTCTTAAAGTGTCTTTTTATTATTTCATTAATATATGTGTTGTAAAATAAAACTTTTTTTTTTTGTTATTACATTTGTTTTTGTATCTGTTTACACTTTCAATAATACGAAGATAGGAAGTAGGAGAAGGCTTATCACTGCGTTATCGGAATTATCTGTGTTCAAGTTATAAACATTGGCAGATAGCAGTCAGTGCCGGCCTGCTAGTCAAGGAGTACCAAATATTGAATGACCAGGAATCTCCAATCTATGGCCTGCAAGTACTTCCAATCCGACCCATGAAAGTTTCCATGGTAAAGTTTTAAAAAGTGTGAAATTTAATAAATCAAGTTGTTTTTCTTAGAAAGCTCATTTCACAACTGAAGTCATTTATAGAACAAGCCATGGCCCCTTGGGCTTAGTGATGGACTTAATGCAGCCCGCGGGACTTGGACGTGAAGGTCACAATGAGGTCTACTAGCCAAAAAGTTTGGAGACCCCTGATTTATACCATGACTTATGACTTCCATTTTCTCTTCGAACTGGTCCTTTTCAACTTGTATCAGAACCTTAATTATATCACTACATCTACTTCTGCTTGCTCAGAAGGGATAAACATATCCCCCAATAGATCTTTTCTAGTTGATTTCAGAGCCTTACTCGATGTTTCGTTTTCCTCCAACTATTTTTGGACACACTTGACGATTTCCAGCACTAGTGGATCCAGGATTTAATTTTGGGGGGAGGCTTCAGCCTGAAAGATTTTTTTTCATATACATGAAACCATAATTAATTAAAAAAAAAAAGAAAGAAATTAACTAACTATATGAAATGGTGTTTAAGTGCTAATAAATATAATTGCATGTACAAGAATACTTTAAGAGATAGTTTTTAATATTTTTTTCTGTAAAACATGGTTATATTTTACCATTTTGGGGGAAGGGGGCTCCAGCCCTAAAGCCCCTCTCTCTCTCCCCGTAGATCCGCCTGTGATTTCCAGAATGTTATTTGTAGTATGATCATGAGATCTTGTTGTATCCTTCAAGCTACACTTATAAAGTAGTACCATCAGCCATGTTTTCCCTAAATACCCTCCCTTAGTAGAAGTGGGCAAGTTCCTAAACTCAGCGCTGAGTTCATCAATGGCCTAAAGTCTGTCTTTAAACTGATCGGAATAAAGCCATCAATGAGCTCACTGTTAAGTTTAGTATCTTGCCCTGTCTGGGTTTTTTCCAAAAAATAATTGTTAATGTCTTTATTTTATTAAATGTATTTATGTTATTTGTGAGATATATGATTTTTTGTGTTATTTGAGCTGTTTTATTTTTTATTTAATGTTGTTTTAAACCAAAATTATTTTCATTTCATTCAGAGTTTTTCTCTTTCAGCATCCTCAAACACAAGCTCTTGTAATAGTAGCCAGACTCATCCTTATGTTGTGAAAATTGTAAGTTTGAATCTTATTTAAATTATATTTTTACCAACCCTTGATCATTTTTTATTCTATAGTTCTTTTTAAAAAATATATTATTTAATTTAAAAAAAAAAATTAAATACAAATATTATTCTATAGTAGAAGTGATATGTCTTTAAGAAAGATGGACCAAGATCACATGATCACACTTCCTGGAATGCTGAACCTATCATAGCACATCTATCTTTTAATAGATTAGGTTAGTTTACAGTTGCAACACAAACAATGAAACAAATCAAATTTGATAAATTTTTCTGGCCATAAAAATACAATTTATTACAAAATTTAATTATTGAATAATGAAATGTGAACAAATATAGATATATATTTAAAGTATGTGTAATTAATCTGTGTTTTACAGTAAGATAGCACACTGTAGTTTACTGTTAGCGATCTCTTGCAAAATTGTCGGAAATTAAAAAAAGTTTTGCACTTTCATTATCTCAACATCATGACAGTAATTTTACATGATGTACCGACAGTGAATATTATAATGAGAAGTTCTTTCTTTGAAAGCTTCACTTGGTGCTCTCCATTATTAAAAAATAAATAAAGTTTTATGAAGAAAGAGGGGATGGGAGAAGCGGGGATGAAGAAGATGAAGTTTTCACGTAAACTCTTGGGGCTCATCTCCATATTCAGTTTTTTATATTAAAAATGTTATAAGTAGGAGGAATTGAGCAATAACATTCTTCTTGTAGTATTTTTTATCATGAACCCTTACTAATATATTTGTATTAATATATACATTTATATTACTACTTTGATACAACTTAAAACCTAATAATCCTGTATATTATTTCTATAAGGTGTTTCTTTGTCGGTACGCCATAAGTTCGTCAATTCTTCATCAAACCCAATGATTGACCACTCATTTTGAAGATATTCTTCTCCTTCACATGCGAAAAATAGTCCCATCCCCTTGAAATGTCTGGAAAAAAGGTTATGGAGGAAAGGAAACTTTATTTGTGAATAACTCAAAAAGTATGCATTATTTTTGGATTGTACCCATGATAATTAGAAAGATTATTAAATTACCTACAAAACAAAACAAAAAAAAAAATTGGACAATTATTGACAAAGATACAGTCCATTAGTTTTGACATATCTAATGTCTTCCTGTTTAAAGATATTGCATTTAGGAGTAGAATAGTCTACTACATTTTTTTCCTGGCTTTTATATTAACTTTATTATTTCTTAAAGACATTTGATTGTGTTGTTCTTACATTTTATTTTTTCAATAATTTAGAATCCTATGATCGGGGCATTATTTTGTCTTTATTACTTTTATTATCTTCCCAGTCAGCGTTTAAAAATAGCTCCTAGCAAAGCAATTTGTATACACATTTTTATTATGTTGTTATTATATAAATATTGTCTACTATGTTTAATGGACTATTGTAATCGACTAAGGAAAAAATATTAATTCCTTTCTTACATAATACATAGGAATTACTTATTTTCATATTGTTTTGCTATTTCTTTTCTAAACAAAATTGTCTGCGAATTTTTCATACGAGCCAACTAGTATATACTTAATATTCTTTAATTATGTGTTTGTGATATGAAAGTCGGTTATACCAATGAATGTTTGGATAGTTATTAGGATTTTAATAACAATTATCATAAAAAGATATTTACTAATTTCTTTATTTCACATAAGTCAATAAAAATACATGTAGTTCATAGATTTTATTGTTTTTCTGTAATGGTGACCTTATTATTGTTAAAACTTTTATTTAAATTAATTTCATAGTTTCAAAATTATTGTTACATGAAGTTATTGTGCTCTATATTAATAATAAAAAAAATATTGTGTTGATTTCGATATTCAGCATGTAAAATAACCTAATCATTAGCTATTAATCTAATATACTGCAGGATGTTATGATTATTGTCGGTTTGAATTATAAAATTTATGCTTGTTTTGATAGTTGTCATGTAGTATAAAAATTCTTTTTAAGATAGTTAGTTGGTAAAATTCTTTTTAAAAAGTTAGTTAAAAGAACTTATTCATAACATTAATGTTATGAATAAGTTCTTTTAACTAACTTCTTATATTTTATAATTGGAAAATTTGTAGATCAGTCTCCACTGTATACGTGCAGACACAATCTGCTGATTATGGTATTCAATGAACAGTGTGATTGTTGTGATCTTGTCCCACCTTTCTACCAGGCATGACATCTTGCTCAACTTTGTTTTTGTTTTTTTAGGAACCTCATGAAAATGGACCCTTATTTGTCGAGAAGAATTTTTATATTAAAATTGCTAAACCAGATGATAGTGAGTATTTTTATGTTTAATAACTGACTATCTAAGTCTTTAAAATTGAACATTATTATTTTTTTTTATAACAGTTCAAAAGTGGAAAAATGAAAAGGGTTTAAAAATTCTTGGGATTCCTACTTTCTACGGTTCCGGTTCTCATGACTTCAAAAATGAAAAATACAGGTTTTTAGTTATTCAAAGGTATGGAGCTGATCTGTGGAGTCTGTTTTTGAAAAATAAAAGACTATTTCCTGCAGGTGCTGTTTACAGATGCGCCGTTCAGATTGTAAGTATACAATTCTTTACTTTGGTCGCTTATCTTTATATATTATTTCTCAAAGGTGTTTTTTTGTCGCTATGCCATTTCTTTGTCAATTCTTCATCAAATTCAATGATTGAGCCCTCATTTTAAAGATCTTCTTCTCCTTCAGATGGGAATAATAGTCACATTCTCCTGAAATTTCCTGAAAAAAAAATTTATAAAGGAAAAGAAACTTTATTTGTGATTGAAATATCAGAAAGTTTACATTTTTTTTCTGGATTGTACCCATGATTATTTGAAAGATTACTAAATTCCCTACAAAAAAAAAAAAAAAAATCGAAATCAAACAATATAAATCTATAATGTTAAGGAAGAAGATGGTCTGGGGTGGCGGTCATAAATAGGCTAAATAGTGGCAAAACTATTTTATTAAAAGCCAACGTTTCGACCCGACTTGGCAGGTGTTCTTCAGGAAGATATGTTCAACAAGGAGTTTCACTTAGAGCTTAGATGTTCCAAGTGAAACTCCTTGTTGAACACATCTCCCTGAAGAACACCTGCAAAGTCGGGTTGAAACATTGGCTTTTTATAAAATAGTTTTGCCAGTATTTACCATCTCCTTCATTAATAATATAACGATCAACTATTAAGTATTCAATATATATATTTTTTAATTATTATGCTAAATTGAGGCTATTTTCTTCAGTTCCAAGCTTATAAATCATTATTATTTTTTTTATGATATCTCCAGTATTACAGATTAAAATGTTAAATATTTTAATCTGCACTACTGGAGGTGTTATTAAAAAAAAAAATTATGATTTGTAAGTTTATTACCAAACATATATAAAATTTCAAATATTGTACTAGGAGTAGAGCGCTCACTTCCAATGCTCAAGGTCCCTCCCTAGTTTGAATCTGGCTGATGGTAGATAAATTATTTATTCTGTTTCATCAGCTTAGATCGATCCTGGAGTCGGGAGACCCTCGTGGGGCAAACTCAACCTCCATGAATTGGGTACCCTTAATTAATGGGATAAAACTGGTGGTTGAGTATGACCTCGGTCAAATTACCTTCCCTGTACAACCATTGACCAAGAAACTGTACTTCCTTACAAAGGACTGAACCCAAGACCCTTCATGGAGTGTAGTGGTACAGGTTTTTTTTTTTTAAGAGTAAATGATACAAGTTGTATATTGCCAAGGAATATGTTACTAGGCTTTAATAAATAGAAAAGTCTTAATTCCTAATGCATTCAATTTTTTGTTTGAGTTGGTTACTTGCAATTTTATTCTTTTAAAACTCTTTAAATTTACTCCTTCTTTCCTCTATTTTTTTTGTATTATACAGGGTGTCTCAATTCATAATGGAGAAACTCTGAGGCAAGGGTTGCCGATTCTAGACAAAATTCCCTAAAAAAACGTTCATTTGATGTATGGGGGGGGGGAGATTTTGAATGGAAAAGGAGTTGAGAACAATTTTGTGTTTTGTTATTTTAAGCTGATCACGGTTTTTATTAAATAAGAATGATTGCTCAAAAACTTTTCGAGATAATTAAATTCTTAGTATACCATCGTAAAATAGAAAAAATTTTCTTTGAAAAACAGTGATTAAATTTACTAAGTTCAATGATAAAACAGATTTTCAGAAGATCTAATACGGGCGCTATACTACTACAGTTACAGTACCCATGCAGCGTATCTCTGTAATCCCGATTCGTAAAATAATTTAGCATAATTTTAGGCTTTGTATTGTTAAACCTTCTGAAAGTCCCTCTTATCATTGACCCTTGTAAATTTAATCACTGTTTTCTCAAAGATTTTTTGAGCAATTCCTTCTTATTCAATAAATGTCATCACCACAGAAAAACACAAAATTAGTCTTAACTCATTTTCCGTTCGGAATTGGTCCATACATCAAATGAACTTTTTTGTTGGAAATTTTGTCTAGAATCGCTCCCCCCCTCCCTCCCCAGAGTTTGGCATTAAGAACTGAAACACATTATATAGAATATTTCAAATAATCAAATTTGAGGTCATTATGTTTACCATTTCCAAAATATTTTGAATCAGAGTTGTATTTTTTTTTTTTTTTATCTGTTGTTTAGATAATAACCCATTTAAGGAGAATTTATCAATAAATTATATATTTTCCTTTTGTTTTTGTTTTACTCCATATACAGGGTGTTTCAGGGTTAAGTGGCCAAACTGAAAATATGAACTAAGGACCTCAAAACAAGAAAAAAATTTCCTCTAAAGGTATGTCTGCAAAGACTTTGTTTAGGAGATATTAACACATAAAGATTTTCTTTTCTTTTTTTCATAGTTAAAGCAATAATACTTCCAATTTACAATTGTTACCTTCAATAAATTTATTGTGTAACAATAAATAAGAAAAGATGTGTAACACCAAAAAAATTACAAATATTTGAATTTTTGACAAATGGTGCCATATCAAAAAAGCAAGTTTCAGTGAAGATAAGGATTGCTCTGATGATGGGAAAATTGTCCCGAAACGTTAGAGATAATAAATGTGATTAAAGGGATTTGAAGGAAATTGGAAGTATTATTGCCTTAACTATGAAAAAATTTACAGCTTTCTAAAAAAAGAAAAATAAGAAAATAAATATTTTCATTGTTATGAATTATTTACATTATATCAAGTAAATAAAACTTATTTATTTGTTCCAACTACTTTATTAATTAAATGTAAACATTAAATTCATATTAAATGTTGTTCAGAGTTATTTCCTTGAGCATTAAGACAGGCTCGGCACCTTTCTTCTACAGCAGCAGTGGCAGAACGCCACTGGATATGTGTTATTGTTTCAACCGTCGTAGGCATTGCAAAAACGGTATACAAACACCATATCGGCATATTCACCATTAGTATGAATGGAAGGCATAATGATGAGTACTCTGCGAAAGCCTCTTACAAACTGATAAATGTTATTGAGAGTTCTCAATGCTAATTCCAAATAGTATTAATCCTTATGTTGACAATAGTTTTTATACAGTTAGGGATGAAAGGCCATATTAGTATTCTATCTAATCCATCTCCTTAACAAAGCGTTTGCGGACATACCTTCACTTTGAACAACATTTAATATGAATGTTAATGTTTACATTTAATTAATAAAGTAATTAGAACAAGTAAATAAGTTTTATTTATTTCATATAACTTAAATAATTCATAATATGAATATCTCTTAAACAAAGCGTTAGCGGACATACCTTCAAAGGAAATTTTAGGAAGGAAGGTTTAATAATACAAAACCTGCAATTATGCTAACAACAAATAATATTTAGGTCTGAATATCTCCTAAACAAAGTGTTTGCGGACTTACCTTCAAAGGAATTTTTTTTCTTGTTTTAAGGTTCTTAGACTTAAAAATTAGAATCTATAAAACAATTATCTTGCCTACAGTTCTTTATGGATGCGAAACTTGGCCGCTTACATTAAAGGATGAGCAGCGTCTTAAGGTTTTTGAAAATAAAGTATTGCGTAGAATATTCGGACCGAAGAAGGATGAGTTAACCGGAGAGTTCAGATGGTTACACAACGCCGAATTGCGTGAGCTGTATCCGGGTAATATAATTGAGATAATTTCATCGCGGCAAATCAAATGGGCTTGTAAAGTTGTTGGTCTTAGTAACGAGAGAATTCCTAAAAGGTTAATATTTGCTGTGCCGAATGGTAAGCGTCCGAGGGGTAGACCGAAGCGAAGGTGGGAAGATTGCATTAAAGCCGATCTGAAGGGACTGGGTTTGGACGGCGAACGGTGGAGGGAGGTGTGTAACAAGCGATTGGTGGTGTCGGCATCGAACCTTCGGGTTCGCTAAGCCTTATTATTATTATTATTAAGGTTCTTAGTTCATTTTGGCAGTTTTGCCACTTAATCCTGAAACACCATACCCTGTATACAATATTTAACATGATACATTATTTTAACTAAAAGATTAGTGGGTTTAAGTTACAATATGGTGAAGCCATTCACCAAGCTTTAGATGGATGTTAATCATTTGATAAAAAGGTGTCTGTTCTCTGCGGGCTATTATATTTATGTTTTAAAATATATAAAAATTGAAAGGGAAGATACTTCAATAATAGATTAATTGTAATAAGAAAAAAAAACTATGCTCCATAACATTAACAGTAAGGATTTTGGCCACTGAGCGTTGTTTTGTTTCAGCTAATGCTAGTTAGTTATTCGTAAATGGATTTGAAATGATGCTTTGAAAAAGTACCTACTGATGATTTCAATCCTTAGCATAAAAAATGAATGTTTATTAGGAAAAATAAAACAATGGATTTGGTTAGTCAATCACTATGAGGAAATAACATTGTCACTTTATTTTGTAACAGAAATTTTTGATTATATAATCATGTTTTAAAACCACAACTTCACATGAGATATATGATATACATTATTGATAGATAATGATTTTTTATTATCTTTATTTTTTATCATTTATATATTACCATGCGTAGAAAGAACTATCAAGTTGCAAAATTTATTTGTTATATAAAATTGAAGTCATAATATCTTCTTATAATTTTAAAAGTGGTTAATCTCCAACTGTATATAAAGTGATTAATAAATTCTCAATTTAAATAATTATAATCTAGACAGATTTATTAATTATTATTTATAATTTTGTTTTAGATTGATATATTACATTACATTCACGACAATGGTTATGTGCACGGAGATATTAAGGGAGCAAATTTATTATTAGGGTTGGAGAAAGGAACTGAAGATCATATATTTCTTGTCGATTTTGGATTATCTTGTAAATATCATGTTGGAGAGTTTAAGAGAGATCCGAAAAAAGCTCACAATGGTACAATAGAATACACAAGTCAAGATTGGCATTTAGGAGGTAATATTTATTCTAACTTAAGTTTTATTTGAATGTGTTTTGTTTTCACTATCCTCTCATATATTAATACAGTAAGGCTCAAAATCGTTTTGTACCAAATAAAGCTCCTGTCATGCTCAAATGCCATGAATGGGATACCGTTGGATTCAAAATTTTAGAGGTATTAGCGAATTGTACTCTCTACTTTTGTTTTTCTTTCTAAAAATAAAGTCACTACATCATCATTTCACTAGGCTTTAATATTGGAACAGTGGTGAGTCGAACTCAAAAAGTATACACTTTTTTGTCAATAACACCCTTAACGTGAAATAGTATTCAGTGATATAATAATTATAGGTTTATATCTATTACTATGTCTTTTCCACAGCTGGGTAATATAAGTATAAGTTCGATTATGGTTATGTGACGTGATGTAATCTTTTTTTTTTTTTTTTTTTCCTCTTTATTTTTTAATTCACAACTGTCAATGTCCACTGACAACCAGTGAATGAGATAACTGTACAAATAGACTAGGAGAAAGGGCATGATAGGCATGAGGAAGAGAAAAACCCAGTGGTTTATCTTCAGTCATGTTTGAGGCTAATTAAGGAGATCTCTCATCCAACTCTTTTTCAGCCTTCTGCGGATGTTATCGGGCATGTTTTTATTGGCCATGTCTTGGATGAGTCTATTGGGGTGACCATAGAGCTTGTTGTGAAACCTTTTGTAGTAAGTTTGTATATGTTCTGTGACGGTTTGCATGTGTAAGTCTTTGTGGAGAGTTAAGTTACTAACATACCAAGGTGCTTGAGTAATTGTTCTGAAGGTTTTGGCCTGGAATATTTGTAATTTCTGAATGTGAGTTTTTTTGGCAATTCCGTATATTTGTGATGCGTATGTCCAAAGTGGTTTTAGTAAGTAAGTGTAAGTATGACGTAATCTAAATGTGGAAAGTCGACTTATGATCTGTATAACTGTAAATGGATAAGGTAAGACCAGTACTTTAATGGTAGGAAAATTATTAGTAACTAAGTCAAAAGATCGGTCGCCTTTGTACTCTTTCCAATAAAACCTGATGCATTTGGCACTCCATGAACAAGTGTGACCGAAGTGATTGTGAACCACACATAATCGTACCAAAGAATCAACTTTTTTATGATACTCGATTCGAACAAGAGAGAGATCAAGCTTCTGACTTAGCCATAAGTAGAGGGATAGCCCCATATCAGTAGAGGGTGCATTTAAACATTTCACGAACTATGAGAAACAAATATTTAAATGTTTTTTCTCTGTGTTAGTGTTTTTGTTTCTTATTTTTGATGTTTTCCATCTGCTGTCGGTAATAATAGAAATAAACAAAAAGGTTGGGCTTACCACTAATGTTCAGTCCGAATAAGTGAAGGTAAAAAACAAAATATAAGTGATTTCATGCCTAAATCATAGACGGAGGGAAGCCATGATCCTCTGATGAATTCTGACGTATTCAGGACAGAAGTGGCTGGCTACCTTTCTCTTTAATTTTATTTTTTTCTAAATTTTTTAGACCTTTAATTAATTAATTAATTTAATAAATTAATTACTTTAATTAAACCTTATATTTTTCTATATTCTAAATCACATTAATTTTTCTACTTGTTCGAACCTCTTGCCTGTATCACTATCACTGAAATCACCACCATTTCTGTACCTAACTTTAATTTTGTCTTATCTGTATTTATTTCTAATCAAAATTTTGTAACCAGTTTGGTTAAATTCTTAAAAAACATTAACGGAATATTTAAGAAGAACTTCTGAAGCGAGTAAAATAGTTATAATTAACCACGGACTTTTTAAATAAATCTTTCTTTCTAATGTTTAAAACTTTTATACCATAACTTTCTCATCTTATTGGTTGTTATATATATATTTTTTGTTTGTTTTATTCTATCCTCAACAACATTAATTGTTTATTTGTAGTGCCTACTCGACGCGGGGACTTGGAAATTCTTGGTTTCAATTTACTTCAGTGGCTGGGTTCAACTTTACCCTGGGAAAAAGATTTGAAAAATGCTGAAAAAGTTTATGAAAAGAAAAAGGAACTGATGTCTAATGTCAAGAGTTATTTGTCGAAAAATTATCCACAAATTCCTAAAGGTAAATATTATTCAGTTTTTTAGTGTGTGCTCGTATGTTTTTTTTTTTTTCAAAGCTATGACTACCGTTGATTGGTGGTATTCTATCCTCTTTAGTATTTCCTGTGAAAATTTCTTTACTTCATGTAACGTCACAATTTTAATGTTTTTTTATGAGTATAGCTTTTGATGCAGGTCATAATTACATCTTTTATCCTGGTATTAGTTTAAACTAAACTGAGAAATATTGTTTAAGTTTTCTTGTAACCTTAATAAGTAAAGATAAGCAACAACATTCACTGGAATCGACGTTATTAACATAAGAATCAAAAGAAACCGGTGATGGAATTTCTATGACTGCAACTGTATATTTAATGATTAGCAATTTTCACGATTTGAAGAAAAAATAAATTAAATATTTCAAGTTAAATCAGAGTAAAATTTTAAAAGAAGTTCAGTTGGTTAGTGCCGCATATTTGCGGTTTTTTAAAATTAATATTAGTATATTTAACAGGTGAGGAACCTGTGCTCTCGGAGCCGTATGTGGCATCCGTCGGCTAGCTACATTTCCCATTAGTTTTTGAGTTATCTTTATGATTCATATTTAATTATTTAGGTTACAAAAATTTCAAAACCAGTAGAATTAAGTTGAATAAATGTGTTAAGTTTTATTTTACTTCTAAAAAAAAATTTTGCGGCCTCCATTATCAATGTATAACCTTACTGCACGGCTTTTAATGATAAAAAGGTTCCCACTTATGGTATGTTTTTTTTTTTCAAAATAAATTTGAATTAGTTTATCCATCCAAGAACTGTCATATTACATACCTATCCTTCCTCATCCTAATATATTTGGATTATATGTGCACACAATTGGTGAAAGTCGTTACTTTACCTAGTTCTGTCATAAATATTATTACAAGAAAATATGTGCAGATTTCAACAGAAAAATTAAATTTTTCTAAAACTTTATTAGAAAATAACGTGTATAGCAATAAAATAATCTATAGAGAGTAAAACAAAAAAGAAATTACTCAAAATTTCCCCCTTTTGCCTTGATACAGGCATTTAATCTCCTTGGCCAGTCATCAATAGCAGCGTGCAGAACTTCTTGAGGAAAGCGCTCAACTGATCGGATCAGAGATTGTTTGAGGCTTTCCAAGTTAAGGTGTACTCTGTGGCATGCCATCTTCTCCAGTTCGGACCAAAGCCGATAATCTAGTGGGTTGAGATCAGGACTTCCTGAGGGCCTATCCGAGGCAGAGATGAACTCTGGAATGTTCTTTTGCAGCCACTGCTGAGTTGACCTGGCCTTGTGAGGTGGAGCAGAATCCTGCTGGAAAATCTAATAATCTCCAGCAAACAGAGTATCATTTAGAGGATTGACAACAGGTGTCAAAATATCGTCCTGGTAGTTTTTAGCGGCTGTTTAACTCCTTTTTTTTTACAAAAATGTAGCTTTGTGGTGCCATCAAAGCAAACTCCCCACCAAACCATCACTGAGGAAGTGTGATGACCTCTTTCCACTCTTCCAATGACTTTTTGGGCTTCTTTATAGCTGTGTGCGTACACACGATCATTTTGGTGATTAAATTTTTCTTCAATTGTAAAAATTATCTCATCGCTAAACAAAATATTTCGATGAAGATCTTTGATGTAATGGCCAAGGAGCACTTTGCATCTATCCACTCTAATTTTTTTAAGGGAAGTGGTTAGTCTTTGTCCTGTCATTCTTTGAAATGCATTCATCCTAAGGTCACTTTTTATTGTGCGAGACATTGATCTGACAGAGATTTCCATTTGCTGAGACATGATTTGTTGTTTTCGAATGGGATTTCTTCTGATTTGAGCAGCTACTGCTCTCACTACATTTGCCGTTCTCGCAGTTCAGGGACGGCCCCATCGAGGTCTGTCACATACAGATAGGCTCTCATTATATCTATTTATAGTGCTGTACACGAATATACAGCTGATACCCAAAGTTTCAAAGTGTTGAAAATCGCTCCAGAGGGTATAATGAAGTATTTTCTATTGAAGATTAGATATTATCTTTAAGATATAAAATTCTTAATGGCGGTCCTGATATGATAACATTTAGAAATTTGCTTATAATTGTACAAATGTTCATGAACTGCTAACATTTTGTAGCCCATAATAAACTTTCTTTTTGTTTTTGCAGTTATAGCGGAGTATTTGCATTACGTTGGAAAATTGAAATATGATGAAACTCCTGATTACAAATACTGTAAAGAATTGTTTCTTAAAGAGTTAAAATCATTACCAAATTCAAAGGGGAAACTGGATTTTAGTTTAGTAAACGATGAGAACCAAACTCCTAAAAAGGGTAGAGGTAAAAGAAAGACTATAGAGGTAGAGGTAAATGAAAAATCCGAATCAGAAGAAGAAGTATCTGTGCCTAAGAGAGCCCGATCGAAAGCTATCAAAGACAAAACAAATTCATTGGCAGCCGACGATGACGCCAGTCCTAGCAAACCGAAACCGGTCAGAAAAACTAAGAAGGTTAAAGATAGCACGCCTAAACCCAGTTGGAGAGATGCGCCAACGGTACAAGCTAGTAATATCAACAACAAAGCTGGCGAGTATGTTAAGAAAGATGAACCTGTTAAAAGGAAAAGAGCTGCCAAGTGATTGTCAACTACATGTTTTTGGATGTATATGTATATTTACACAGAGAACAATGCATGTTTCTCGATATATGTATATATTTATAAAACAACCTTGTATATAACCTATATTTATATTGTTTTTAGCAATTACCTTCCTCTGTCAGTATTTCTTAACTTTAACCATTTTATGATTGTTTAGCTTTTCATTGTGTTTATAATACACACTTTTCACTTAAATTTAGATATATATTTTTTTAATTTTGTTATAAATCTTAATCATTTTTTGTTATTGTTCTTATTATTAAGACTGATTTGCCTGTTAAAATTCATGTTATCACTTAATATTAATGTTTTCATTCAATTTTAAAATAATTTATTTCATAATACCATTTGTAAAACTTGAAGTTTGTCTGTATTTGAACTATTTTTGTACATGGATTGCTTGTGTATTGAGTCTTTGGATCATATGAAAATTATTATTATTTTAATAATTATCATTATTTTACATTGTAATTTCTTTTTTATTTTGATCTCACCATATGAATATACGGGATATCCAATAAAAATTGGCTAATAGCCTTCTCAAAAGTGGATAATCTAATTGAAAAATGGTAATGGAAAAAGTTAAATTACAGTTCTATGTCTACTGTGTATATTGCTTTTTATAGTGTATGTGCCTCATTTATAGTAATCAAAAAGTTATTTAATAATAAGAAAAATGCATTTTTATATCTTTCAAACTGAAGGCTTTATATTTTAAAATGCTATATTTTTTTTAGTATTATTATATTTTGCATCAATTTAAAGATTTTGAATCTGACCCTGACAAATAATTTAAAAAATGTAAGACCAAAAATATAACAAATAAAATAAATAAATGAGGTGCCTCAAAAAAATTAAAAACTAAAACTATTTCATATTGATGCAATGCCAGTATTGTATACCAGTATGTCAAAACTGCCAAAATTTAGTTTGAAAATATGACATATCAGTTTGTATAGTAGGAGACAAATGAAAGAAAAACATTAACAATATTGTTTTTATTAAAAGTAGCTTTTATTAAATTCAATACATTTTTAAAAATGCATCTAGCTCTCAAATATGCTTATTTGACTACACACCCTGACCATTTTCCATCCTTACAATTTTACAACTATATAATCATCTCAATTTAATAAAAATAATATGGTTAGAATTTGATTTTGTCTCGCATCCTAATAGGGACTGATATTTAATATTTTTAAGCTCAATATTTAAAAAAATAAACAGGATTAAAAGTTAATATTACATTATTGGTAAGCTAACTATTTAATTCAAGTTTAGTTAAATTGGATTCGTTTATAAATATATGAAGTAATTAGTTTGATAAAATTATATGATTTTTTTCTATTTGAGGATTCTGAAAGTTAGGTTCATTTTCTTTTTATTTAATATATGGAAGAGCTACTATGAAAATATAATTATTTTGCACATGGTTAGTGTGAAAGAATAATTAAATCTTTATTTTTACAAGAACAGTTTATTTTAATCTAACCATAATTTTTACAGAAAAACTATGAGATTTCTCCCTTATAAGTACTTAGGGAAAATATAACACATTCTTGGAAAGGTGGAATTATTTAATCATAGTCATAAGTACAAAATAGTATATTTTAAATGATAGTACTTAATTGTTTTACATTTTACTTCCACTAATAATAATACAAATAAAATTTACTTTGATTAAAAAACTATACATAATTTTAACTCCTATTAAAAACAAATAAATGAGAATTGTTGAAATAGTATTTCAAGTAGCATTGTAAACATAGCAGCACAAATCGAGAATCAGAAGAGATAGATTTACTCATTTAAACTATCATCGAACACTTACAAACTTACTAGAAAAGGTTTCACAACCTTTATGGTCACCCCAATGGACTCACCCCATAAGAAAAGGAAGCTTAATAACATCTCAAAAGCTAAAAAAGGAGCTGTATGAATAACCAAGCAAGTAACAGGACCGAAGATTAACTAATTGAGTGGCTTCATATCAAAGACGGACATCTATTATGTTGAAGAAAGATTCAATTTTTGTTTTGTAGGTTCAACTCAATTCTGAAGTGTTTATTTAAGAAAGATTAGGTTGAATTACAAAAAAACAATCATTATAATTGGTTTACAGTGAAGCTATGTTAAAAAAATTAGCTTTTTCTCAACTTCTTAAATATGACATATGTCTCCGTTTGGTATGAAGACACTCAATACTCTTCCTTATGCTTATCACACACTTTATTTATTGTTATCAGTAAGCACTTACAGTTGTGAATCAGAAAATTTACAACTGTGTAAAATAATTACTCATCTTCATTTATTTCTTCACATATAACTAGTGGTTGTAGAGTAAACCTCCTTAAAAAACATGCTAAATGCCAAATTATTTAAATGACCTATAATTTTTTACAATATACACAGCTAAATCATAATTGAATTCATTATTGATATTTACAAATTCTAATAAATCCTTAAGTTAAAAAAGTTAAACAAACAGTTTTAGAATTACTTTATCATAACTAAAGTAAAAATAATGGCAATGTTTTATTTTTATTTTTACATTTTATCTTCACAATTTATTCAGTTAATAAGAACATAATGAAATTTATAACTCATCTATCATAATAAATAATAATTTATAAGACACATTGTGTGATTAAAAAACTATATATAATTTTAACTGCGATGAATAAAACAAAAAGTAATAATAAATCGACTATTTAGAAATAATAATTGAATTCAATACCTAAAGATAGCAGCACCTATCGAGAAAACAGAAAAAAAATAGTAGTTATAGTTAACGCCGTAAGAGGCCAGCACTATACAGACACGTATTCCGAAGAGAAATCCAGCTCGAAAAATTTTATTTTGTATTAGGATAGTGGGAGGTCAAAGGAGCTTAACTAGTAGGTAGGGTTAAGTGCAGGTGCACTTGAGCTTCTAGCGGCTGCCACGAGGCGGCAGCACCATCGGACCATAGCTCCTGTCTCCTGATAGTTGAGCTCCTGTTAGCTGCTGCCCATCCTGGTAGTTAGCTCCTGTGACCTCCCACTGTCCTAATACAAAATAAAAATTTTCGAGCTGGATTTCTCTTCGGAATCGCTGTCTGTATAGTGCTGGCATCTTGCGGCGATAATTACAACTATTAATTTTTTCTGTTTTCTCGATAGGTGCTGCTATCTTTAGCCATTGATTTTAACTATTATTTTTCGATTTAAAGTTATTATTTTTTTGCTTTATTGATCAGAGTAAATATTATGTGTTATTTTTAACGCATTATCTTCAACCAGCAATCACTTTATTTTTATATAATAAATAAATATAAAAGAAATAAGTTTCTTAAAAACTAAATTTAAGGAAATCAGTAAATTATACCCAAAACTTCAAATTACAAAAAATGTAATATGCTGATATATTATTTTTTTCTTCTCTATTGTTTATTAATAAAGATATTTTGCTTGGATAATTGGAATCTTGTTATAAAATAATCTTTATCAACACCAGAGAGCCTACTGATGAATAAAATAAAATAGGCAGATCGATATTACTTGAAATCTTAAGGCGCTCCAAATCAGTTAAGATATTTTCTTGTAAAAAGTTTGCGCACATACAATTTATTAGTATTATTTTATTTATAAGTTAATTATGCTTGATTAGTTAACTTGTATTTATAGGTTAATTAATTATTACTGATTTTATTATCAGGTTTATGTTTGAATTTCTCAGGTTGCAAATTTCTTCAATTAATTATTAACTCAACTTATGCTGTCTCTATTTGAGGATCTTTTTTAGAATTGTGAAATACTCTTATTATGATTCCTTACCATACTCAGCCAGGAATTATCTAGGACTTACTATGTAAATAGAATTAAGATCCATCTTGTGGGGGAGAAAAATCGAACCAGTTTGGGCCAGTATAACTTCCTCACTATTTTTATTAGATTAAATAATTACTTATATTTCAAGGCATATGTAATACTTATAGGTAGAGGTATGGGTATGGTTAAAAAATAAAATCTATGGGTGGAACCGTTTCTGAAACATACTTTCACTTCTCTTATGAACGAAAAGCTTCCCTACCTGCAATAGTGAAGAAGCGAAAATACATTAAAACAGATTTCTTGGGTAAAATGAATAAGTGATAAAAAGTAATTTTAAAAATGTATTTAAATTTTAGTACACATCAAGAAATATAACAGATCTAGATAATAAATAACTTACAAAAATATACATATTTCATAATATAATACATGTTAACATAAACAAAACAAAATTAACTGTATTTAAGGTTTCTTCTGAGATGAATAGTAATAAAATATGACTTATAAAAAGTTAAAAATTAATATCCAAATGGTTTACATAATGAAAAAATATGTTATGGAAACTATTTTCTTTTTGGCATAAATGCAACAATCAGTCTCAATGCAATTAGGTGTTAATTCATAAAATTACTAGTATTAAAACCTAATATCTGACCACATTAATTATGAGTAAAGCTAGAATGATAAATAAAGATTAGTTTTCATATTTTGGGATTATTTTTGGTAATATAACCACTTTTGTGTATCTTTATGACACACAATAAAACATAAGTCTTATATTAAGTGTTGTAATATGTTTTTCTAATTATTTTATTTAAAAAATTGAACTAAAATTGATCAAATTGAAGACTTTACCTAAATAGGTAGATTAAAATATCACTTTCATAAATTTACAATAAGAATATATCAACTTTCATCAGGAACTTTTGAATATTATTTAGAAATTATCTTCTCTTTTGGACAAAAAAAATCATATTTTAAAATATACTTAAGTACTTACAATTTGCACATAATAAATATATTGATTAGAAAAAAAATGAATAAACAATCGTACAACAAAAAGTGATGGAAGCACTCAAAACAACTTGAGATTGGTTTAGCTCATTTGTTCCTTTACTTGTTATCGTATAAAAATAAAACTTAAAAATATTTTTAAAAAAACCTCGGCAGTAAATAGCAAACATATTTTATTTTCAATTTTTAAAAACATCTAACATTCACTACTAAGTGTCTATTGGTCAGTTTAATATATTTTATATTTACTTTTCTATGAATTATTGTTACTGAAATGATATAACTGTCAAGCTTCCACCAACAATCGCCATATGTTTCTGTTGCTATGTTTTTATCTGGATTTATTACATTAGAGGAACAGTAGATTAAAAGCATTTTCTGAAAAATTTACTTTACAACAAAATAAATTAATTTTAAGAAAAAAATCTAAGCCAGAAACGTTTAGATCATCTCACTGAGTAGAACTTTCAATTTTGTTGTTGATTGCAAAGTGCATTTCACCCTAGTTTTTGACCAGATCAAAATGAATTTCAGTTTTTATTATTTAATTAAATATTATATATTATACGATACTTAATCTATTAAATTATTGTGTTACAAATTACTAATAAAACCAGATTCACCATGATCAAGATGAATGGTGAAGGAAAAAAATGACACCTATCCGCGGTGAAATACATTTGTTGCCAAGATATGGATAATATGGTTTAAATTATTCAATATATTGGCTTAATCATAAAATAGCCTATACCAATCCAACATACTAGTTTTGGCAAAAGTTCATATTCTCCATATCTTATCTTCACATCAAGATTATTTGACACAGTTAAATAACCTTTTATATTAAAAATCCAAAATTATTCTTATAATTTGATAGGTTTTTAATTAAATTTGAATATTAAGATATAATTGAAGTTCCTAGAAATTGTAGCGCCATGGCACAGACACATAGGTTTAACTGAATCATACCCTTAAACTGATAAAAGTACCAAAAGAAAATCTGAATAAAATATTTACAATTCAATTTTTAAAAAATCACTCTTTGCAACCCATGTAAATAAAAATTTAAAAACTAATTTCATAAACTGCAAATTAGGACCATATTTCTTACAATTCAGTACAGAAACAACAAAAATACAATATTATTTAAACTATAATTGGTAATTTCATAAGGATATATCTCCTAGAAAAAAATATATACAGTCCATAATGCAAAATTAATACTATTTCATTCATTTGTACATATATAAAACTGATAATTAAATAACATACAACCGGGTTCATCTCAATATTATCACATTTTTATTGCTACATCAATTCATAAACACCCCATCACACATGACTTAAATTCAGTCTGCAGATTCTGAGAAATTCAAAACAAAATATTTTTATTTTTTACATATATTGCAATTTTGTACTTTCATTTATTACTTCATAGTACAATCCTGAAAGTTATACAAACAAAAATTCTTTGTTGTTTTCTAAAATGATTATTAGAACTAACAGATTAAGTAAATATTTGAGTTAGTTCGAATTAATTAAAAACTATACAAATGAATACGTATCATGTAATATTGTGCAACTTCATAACTCTCATCAATTACCTGAACTATCGCATCATCATAAAGAACCATTCTTAACTGATTAAAAATAAATAGTAACAAGTTATAAATTTATCAAAAGTTATGATGGAGTGCAATATTCTTAAAAACTTGATTGCGTATATGAATTAAAAATATTTTATGCGATACAAGACTCGAAAAACTTTTTCACTCCATCTCTCGCATAAGGTATATAAGAAAGAGAATACCAGGTCATTGCGAGCCACTGGAGTATCATGAAGAACAAAGACATCGCCGCTTTATGGAACTAAAATAATAAAAGAAATTAGATTAAATTTTATCAACAATGCAACTTCTTGAGTAAATATATTCCATGTATTACTTACGTATAATGCAGCAAAAAGTGTTAGGCCCATCATCACAAGAACTAAAATAGTAGCAATCAAGCGTGTTTCGGCAAACATTCTTTTAAATTGCTTGATAGGCCCCATGAGAAAACAAGTACTGCAACACATAAATAAACATTCATATTTTTTTTAAATCAATTTTAACTAAAGATTAAATTTGTCTGTTTAATAAAGATAATAAATAATTGAAAAGAAATAATCCAGATTTAATTTGTATTTAGCTGGAGGTATCTCCGTTAAAACTATTTGCAGGAAATAATTTAGCTGTTGTACACGGGCATATCTACGGGAGGGGATTTCAAGCTGAAGCTCCCCCCCCCCTCCTCCCAAATGGTAAAATACAACCATGTTTTATGAAAAAAATTATCTTTTTTATTATTTATTATCTAATTAAAGTATTATTGATTGTCTAATTACAGTTAATAGGACTTCAACAATCACTTAAAGACCATTTTGTACAGGTAGTTAGTTTCTTTCTTACTTCCCAAGTCATTATCCTAATATATTTATAAAAAAAATTAATCTTTCGGGCTGAAGTCACTCCCAAAATTAAATCCTGGATCCGTTAGTACCGTTGTATAATATGCCACTAATGACTTCATTGGGTAGATGCCAAATGTGTCAATAAAATAAATAAAAATTATAGAGACTATTTAAGTAAATTACTCATAAAAAAAGCTGATAATTTCTCAATAATCTATGGATTAATTCAAGGTCGAATCTAATAGTAATCCACATAAAATTTTTATTTAATATTATGAAAAATTTGATGGACTGACAATAATTGTATATTTTATTTATAGCTTGTCTGAGAAATAACAAATTGTAATGAATTATCTGAATTGCCAATGATAGATTTGATTATACGATTAATTTAATGTTAATACAATTTTTTTTTAAAAACACACTAACTTCCTCCTTTTAGGTACTACTTTATAAGGGCCATTAATAAATGGTGACTTGAATAAAATCACATCAATGACATTTCGGATGGAATTCTGAAAGTATCTGAGTAACCACTTCACAAGTGTCACTCCAACATGAGGGAATGGCACAAGATGAGATTCCGAGAATAGTGTTCAGAAGTGTAACCTGCCTTTATTTAGATGGTGATTTATGATTTTCAGATACTTTCCAAGGGTCTGTTTCAGTTAAAATAAGGGTCTTCATTACATTTTGGCTTCCAACTTTCAGTTACTAAAAAAAAAAAATGTAAACAAGTCCCCAACAGTTCCTTTCTAGTTGTGGTACAGACCTTGCTAAAAAGATTCATTCATCTCAGTCTACTTCCAGACACACTTAGCCATTTTCAGAATCCCATAGAAAGCGTGAACATGATATCTTGTCCCCATCCATCCTGGTGGAGTGACACTTGTGAAGTAGTACTCTATACAAGTATTGACAACCATGTTTACTGGAGTAACCTCACTTATCAAAATCTAAGGCTAAATGAGATTATTAAAGCCTTTCCAGTTCAGGATGGACCAAGGGACAAATGTCTACTTTCAGATACATTTAGCTATTTCTGAAATTCATCAACAACATGATCAATGTAATTTTTGCACATCCATCAAACAGACTGGACACTACATTTTTAACGACTTTATTATAACACTTGTATATATAATATTCTTCCACATGACACTTATTTTATTACATTCACAGCTAATATGGACATTGAAAACAATATTTGTAATGATTTTCAGGAGGAAATTTAACATACTATATCTAATAACTTATTCTCTTGAAACTGATCACTTACCTCATCATTGACACTACATTCCCAATTGTGTAAAATATGACAAACAGAGATAGTCCCTTATGCAAAAATAATGATAAACTAGCGAACACTGAAATGATAAGACCTAATATGAAACATACAATAAATCCCTTAATCCTGGTAGACCAACTAAGGGAGTGGCTTTCCAAATCCTAGAAAGAAAAAAAATTCAATAAAATACTGTAATTAAAAAAAAATAACATCTGTAATAATAAATTAAACAAAACTTACTGGAAAAATACCAGTAGTACTGTCATCATCCCTTTCATTGCCATTTAAAAATCTCTTCAACTTATCCATAATTGAAAAAAATACTTCATCAAAATGATTTCCAATAAGTTATGGACTTCCAATTATGACAATACTGATCAACAGGTCAAAACAACATGGTTCACAGGTGTTTCAACTTGGCAATATCCAACTTTACTTTCGCTAAAACTTTAGAAACAATTTTTTGAAAACATCAAAATAATAATAATTGTAAATTATTTGCTCTGAGGCAATCCTAATATCTTGCAATGAAACGAAACTTATAATCCGTTATACGTGACACTTTTCACAGACAATAGAAAAGGTTACATAAGGTTTGTTTACTTGGAGGTTATGTATTAGTAGGTTATATTAAGCTCTAGGTGAGCAGGTTTTAAATCTAGGTTTAAGTTAAATTAACTTATTTTTGCCTGTAGTATTGTTTTATTATGATGTGGTATTAATTGTTTCTTCTTATATCAATATAAATCAAAAACTCAAATGGAGAATCCAATTAATAGTTTGAAAGCTCTAGTGCCTGTGGAAGAATTAGCAGAAGAGATATTGAGAGATAAATCAGAAGTGGTGGCTATTGATCGAAGAAGAAATGAGAATAGGGAAGGCATCAGAGCGTTGTTGAAGATGAAAGAAGAAAAAGTTTGGATGGCTGTCGGTCCGTTACTGGTTAGATTACCCAAAGAGAAAGCGAAGACTATGCTCAATGAAGATCAGAATGTTCTTGATGTTGAAGTGAATAAAATAAGAAGTGAACTTAAAGTGAAAGTTAATAAACTGAGGGACTTAGAATTTGAAGAGCCAGTTCCTGGACTTCACTTAAAACCTCTTACTAAAGATGAATTTGCTGCAGTTGGGCAAGTTTTAGGGTACCATGCATGATTTATTATTTGTGATAATGTTTATAGTAACGTTCAATTTATTTATTTGTATTTAGTACTGTAAATATTAATGTTTTATAAAATATAATACTTTTTTTACAATTTTCATTCTTATTTCCATCTTATTTAGAAAATTAAATACATATTCAAACTTTAAATAACTGAAAAGTTATATACTAAAAACAGGTGAATTTTTTTTTTTTAATGTTTTATGTGTTAATAAATCTTACTGACTGAAAAGGAGTAAACATTTTATTGAAATTTTTAAAAACTAGAAAAAAAGTTGTTTAAACATCTTTTTATATAAATATTCTCTTGCTGCATGCAAGTACTTTAATATATCAAAGAAATTATTATACTATTTAGAAACAGTGCGTAATGTTTAAAATATTATTCAACTTGATAAAATATGTTGTTCATTCAACATTCAAATGTAACTTATAATATACTGTGCTCTATTATTGAAAGCTTGTGTAACTGCCTTAACTTAAAAAGCAGTTTTATTTTATCTTGAGAAACTTTTAAGCATGTTTTTGTGATTTTAAATTTTATTTATTGATACAGTAAATGCACCAGAGTGACTCAAATCTCATTAGATATTAAAAATAGTTAAATAATTGAACAATGTTCTGATTTCACATGGAGAAAATTCAAGTAGTTAGTTACTTAATTTCATAAAAGTTTCCTTAAAGACTTTTTGCAAGAAACTAATGATATGTACTATTTAGAGCAGATTGCCATATTTCAGAAGGACCAAATAATTTTGAGGATTTCATTCTTTGAAATTGATTAGAATATGTTTGAAGGTCACTGTTACATTTACATCTCGTAATTATTTTTACTGGTTTAATGCAGAGATAAATATGATATATACACTAACTTTGAATCTTGAGGTTTCAAATTTATTAACAAACAGAAGCCACTTCCACTTATTAATTGATTTTAACATCTCAAACTCTTTTATACATTTCCATATATATTGATTTTTTTTTTTTATTGTTCTTCTGTTTAATAAAATATTACCAACCTTGATCTAACACGTTTAACTCTCTTACTTTTCAAATTCTTCTACTTTTATTTTCTTTAACTTGTTCAATTCCTAATCTGTCAAATTGGTAAATTAAAGAAAAAAATGTTAGAAAAAGGAGAATAAAGAACAGTCTAATTTTTATCAATCTCTTATCTTTTATTTGTGTATGGGCTTATCTATGCTATTTATATTTCTTTCATTTTTTTTTTCAAATTTAAATATTTTAAATTTTGTATAAATTTGATGTTCCTACTTAAAAAAAAATAAATCCAAGATTTTTATCAAATTTATTTCAACACTCATGAAGGGATCATGATAAAAATCTTGAAAAATTTGTTGAAAAATATATACCACAATTATGATTGGTACTTTAATAGCTGCCTGCTTCAATTTAAAATTGAATTAACTAAAAACATAGCAAAGGACGACATCGAAGACAGCATTGCAGAAATCCTGAATGACATATTCCCTTTGGTTTTGTTCAGACTATTTTTTTTTTTTACAAGACATGCATACATATAATAAAAGAAATAAATGAACTAGAAAAAATACATGTCGACAAGAAAGAAGTGCCCAACTATTTTATATGACTGTGCAGGAGACACAAAAAAACTAAGTTACTATTTATAGGCCTACGAAATATTTCCAGAGGAGCTAGAAGGAAAACATGAGGAACAAATGAGAAAATTAAAATTTTACAAAAATTTAAAGAATCTGTATCTCGATTGTACGTATACAGTAGGCATAAAATACCTGCCATTATAGACAGATATTGGTTATAATGACAGTGTTCACTTAACCAATACGCTTTTATGAAGACGATCATCTTATGGGCAATGGAATTTAGTTGTTCAATTCAATGTCGTTACAAACGATGGTACTTATTTAGTAGCAGGTAGCGTCAAAACCTCCCTTCTTATCTAATCTCATTTCACATAACCTCCCTTATCTCATCTAACTTAAGTTATTCCCGTGTTTATTTTTTGTTTCTTGTGTTAGCTGTGAGTTAGTGTTATATAATTATGGATGTTCTCACATTGTGAGAATTGCCGTTTTCAGAAGAAGAGGCTATAAAATATTTTCAAGACGCCGGGATATTTGCAAAGGTCAAATATTGTGATGAAGGTCATAAAATGAAGTTCGACGGGAAGATTAAATGGAAATGCTTTCATAGTTGTAACAAAACCGTTTCTATAAGGAAAGAAACGTGGTTAGAGGGGTCGAGGATTTCTTTTTTGTCTATTTTTATTATTTCATTTATTTTGATATATATGTTGCAATATTTTTTAATTATATATTTATAATATTTTGGTGTATTTTAATATATATGTTGTAAAATAAAAGTTTTTTTTTTATTATTACATTTGTTTCTGTTTTTGTTCACAATTTCAATAATATCAATACAATACAATAATTATGAATACGAAGATATAATAATATGAATATAATACAATAAAAATGAATACTAAGAGCTTATCAGTGTTAAGGTTATAAACATTGGCAGATAGCAGTCGGACGCTACCCGCTACTAAATAAGTACCTAAACGATATCCAGTGCATATAAATTTTTTTTAAACCTGTACCACTAACAACCCATGAAGGGTCTTGGGTCCAGTACAATGTGAGCAAGTACTGTTATAAGGCCAACGGTTGTATAGGGAGGTGATGGGTCAATGTCAAGCTCAACCGCCAGATTTTCCCCCTTAATTAATTATTTAATTAAGAGTACCCACTTTATAGAGGCTGGGTTTGCCCCAGGAGGGTTGACCCACTGCTGATGAAAAATGACTACTCATCAGCCGGATTCGAACCTGGGACCTGGAAGTCTGAGCTACCCCACTCCTCTAAAACTTTTTTTTTATATTAAAAAAAATGTATGGGTAATAGATATATAGGACGCAGTCAGTTTTTAAGATTTTGACTGTTTTGTTTCAACTAAAGTTTGTGAATCATCATCAGGGATGAAAAATTTATAACATCAGAGGTATAATATTATATAACAGATAATATTTAATAATAATAAATAATGTAGAATGATGAAATATCTCATATTGTATTTATTGCATTTGGCTATCTAATCATGTATTCACATCATTTATTATATTAGTATTATTACTCATAGTTCACTATTATCATTATTAACTATTATCTGTAATATCATATTATATCTCTGATGTTATACATTTTTCAGCCCTGATGCAGAAGCATGAATTGAAACATTGCCAATAAAAATCTTAAAAACTGACTGCCATGACTATCATCTATCTTCCATATGTAGAACATAATTTCCTCTAATAAAAATTTTGCATTCAATATTTATTCAGTTTACATTTTTATAATCTTTAAAGAAATAATACATACCTTAAGAAATTTTGTTAGTAAAAGGCCTTCAACAGACATCCATACCAATTCTTTATGCCTTTATGTGTTAATTGTGGTAGATATAAAACATTTGAACTGTGAATACAAGATAACTCGCGGTAGAGACCTTCCAGATAACTACAAACCAAAAGTTATCTTGTGGTTTAAAATCAGCATGTAAAGGAAATTTACAACTTAGGGCACAGAAATATATTTTATTTCATTTTTTTAAAACATACAATATTGTTAAGACTTATTGAACATATTATATCACAAAAATGTTTCGTATGTTATAGATGATATCTTAAGGCTAAAAGTACTGCATTGAAATATGCTCAGAATCAGACTTTCCATTCGTCGTTACTTCTTCAACTTCATTAATGAAATAATAATGAAGGTGTTTAGAAAACAGCAAATTTTTCTGGAGATGAAGCAATTATTTAAAAAATTATAATTTTTAAAAATAAACTTAAATCAAACAATAAAAAATAAAGTCAAAATATCTATTATACAACCTTGACGATAATATAAAAGAATAAATCTTTCCTAAATATAAAACTTAACTAGAAAATTACAAACATCTTCAATTATACATATAATTAATCACAGTATAACATAAAAAAAAATGTCTTATCCACACAAATATATTTTTTACAATTTACAATTCTATATTCAATATAAGGCACTATTATTACTTGGAATCTTTATACAAATCTTAAAAACTATTATTTAAAAAAAAAGTACATATTCGTTATTTTATTTTAATGAGGAATAAAATAGATCAGATCACAGTCGAGAGATAGCGCTACCGGTTGATCTTATATTAATGCTATCTACAATGAAACAATTTAAAACATATAAAATTTGATTTTTTTAATATCCATTATTTTAGTCAATATCATTGGTCACAGGTAATTAACCGGCGTAATATTCCAAAATACTGCTCCTGGCAACTCAACTCCAATAATGGCTGAAGATAACATGTCGACCGTCCTCTACGGTTTATCTCTTGATTTGTTAACATGTTCTCGTATGATATGAATAAATTAATTTGGAATCCCCAAAAGTACGGTGACAATCGACAGGCTATAAGCTATAACAGCTTCATCAAAACTTAGATATTTTGATAATATTACAGTAGAGTGTCAAGTATTCAATTTTCAATAAACTGGATTGTCGATGATACAGTCAAAATTTTATTTAACAAAGTTGGGAATCAGTTTAAAATATTTTCCTGAGATGTCAAATTAAACCAGATAAACTAAAACTTATGGTACATCGATGGTGCAAACAGACCTGGGCAAGAAATTATTTTAAAATACCAAGTATTTTATGTTTCCAAAATACAATTGTAATTTAAATTGTTTACAGGAAAAATATATTTAATTGAAATTTAAATAATAGGTAAATTAAATACAAGGTGATTAAAATTGTATTTTAGAAAAATAAAATATTTTGGTGATTTGGCGATTCACTTTAAGAGAATTTTTTAACATTAATGTGAATCACAACTTAAGTTCTGACGATGGGTCTTTGCAAATGGATTTAATTGTCAGCAAATTTAGACTTTCATAGATTTTATTTTCTCAACAGTCAATTAGTTAATTATTCATGGAGAACTTAAAACAATCGGACCCAGTAATAGACACTCAGGTTGAGGTTTTTCATATAATTAAAAATAAACAAAATAAATTCTACACAGCTTTAAATTAAGAAATGGCAAACTAAAGATGAATTTCAAACTTATCTCCTAAAGGAAAGTGATAAAGAAACCTCCCTGAAACAAATACCCAGCCTTGCTCCTTAAAAAATCTATATATATATTTACCTGCAAAATTATTGTTTCTTATAATATTTTAAATAGAAAATATCCGTGTCATGATGGAAAGAAGATGAAAAAAACATTATTTTAGAATTGAGAATGTATCACTAATTTTAAATTTATTACTTATTAGTTAATATGATTATTTCAGTAACAAATATCATATATTTGTAATGAAATCATAGCAGACAATATTTTACTGTTTTATCAATAGGTAACCAGTAAATCAGCATTTTAATTATAAAAGACAAATTTATTTTTCAATATTTATGTATTTATCTCATATTACCTTTGGATTTAGGTATATTTGAATTCCTCTGTAAAATACTTTTCGTATTATAAATAATCTTGTTACTTCAACCTTAAAAAAATAATTTACTATACCTTTGTTTAAATTTTAAACGTTTTTTTCATTTAACTTTGTTTAGCTTAAAGAAAGAAAAAAAGGAAATGAAAGGTATCAAGATCACTGTCGTACTGCCAACAGCTTCACTGCTTCGGGAACGGTCAGAAAGGAGCAGAGCAGTATAGGTATGACATACCTAGATTGCCGAGCAGTACCAACGAAATAGGTTCCATCTATTCCACTAAAGCAGTGCTTAACTGTTTAACAGTTAACTAGCAGTTGGCGCAGTGGGCAATACCAGCGAAATAGTACCTATACACAGTTAATATTATCAAATATATTGCAACAATTATATTGACATATAACATGTTCAATAATATTGACTGTGTATGGTGGGCTTAAGGGGAAGATGTAAATTATTTTTATTATACTTATTATTCATCACTTGTTTTCATTGTTTATATCACATGTTCACTTATTGTCATTATTTGCATTGAGTGTAATTAAATTTGTAAGTCAGGAAAACTTATTGTTCTAGAAGAATGATGAAATTAGTTTTATTATTTAATTGCGTGTAATTTAAATATTCTGAAAGAATAATTAAATCATTTGCAAATGACTTACTCAATTATACAACTTACACTCAAATAATTAAAATTGTAACAGAACATATGATATAAACATGTGATGAACAACAAAGATAATACAAATTTACATGTTTTCGGTCCAGGTCTGGTGACAAGTCTCAACCGTTATTACAGGAAACTCTTATTGAAAATGATGATCGTTCTTGAATGTAAAAATTCAAATTTGAAGTGAAGAGAAAATAATATTGAGTTTGAAGAACTGCTTAGGAAACGACAAGAAAATAAAGAAAAGGAACGGCAAAATTATGAAGTAGCATCTTCACACAGAAAACAGTAATCAAATGGGCACAAAATCAAGAAGGGATTATATCCAGTGAAAAATATTTCTGTTCCAAAAATAAGAAAAAAAAAAGTAGAAAAATCCTGAAAATTAATAATTACTTACTTTAAAAAAAATTGGATATTCTTCTTTTTTTTTTTTTACAATTTTTGAAGTATAATTATCTACAATGAAGAATTTGTGTCCTCCAAGATTTGAAATAACCAGTTGTTTTATATTTTGAAACTCATTCAGCTCAAATAGAAACACGAAAGAATCTCACACAACCTGGAGAAACAGTTTAATAATGTTTCTAATTGCATCATCATTTATAATAAGTTGTGTTGCTGGATATTTGTTTTAACAAAATCAAGACCTAAATCATTAAAATTATGAATTTACACGTTTAAATTTTGTTAAGAATTTTAATTTAGTCAATAGCAATAATATGAGCTATCTATTCCAATGAAGGTAAAGCGAATACTTTAAATTACAATTATCAAATTATTTCTGTTATATTTTTAATAGATTTTGAATTATATACAAGAGGCCGAGATAATGGTGATGATAATTGTATCAGATATCTCAAATAATAACTTTTATTGATTAGTCCAGATAATTGACACTCTATGAACCAGCCTTCTTTCAGATGGACATTTTCACAAATGCTCTACTATAATAAAAAAAAAGAAAAGTAGCACTACAACTGACGATAGTCCAATCCTTGATGATGAAGTAAATTAATAAAATATCAAAGTATCTTTTGTAATAAGGTGAAAAACATATCAATTAGCCATTTTAAGTTAAAGTACATAAGCCAGGAGTTGTATCAAGAAGTATTACCGCAATAAGATTACATAGATAGAAATAAACTGCAGATAAACAGTGTTAAGTATCCAAGTATTCGTTCACTTTTGGCACTGTTAACAAAAAATTACACAAAAAAAGCGTAAAGTTTTTCTATGTCTTTATACACTAAACTATAAATAAATAAAACATATAAACATAATTATGGCATAGCTCGATGACGAATGTACATTGGATTTAGAAAACATTGAACGGATGCCTTCCAATAAGACAATACACACAAATACTAACTTAATATTTACAAAAAATGAGATTAGTTCACCATAATCATATAAGTTCTGATACAAATTCTGGTTGACCATCTTTGTTCACACGTAGCTCGGATCTAGCTCTGAACAAATCGGGGTTTTCTGGGACTTGAAACGTCGAACCTTGGAAGCCAAGAGCTGCTTCGAACATCTATAAAAAAAAATAAGTAATACTTAATATTTCAAAATAGTGGATTAATATTTGACTGTCATGAATATATTGAAAAGGAGTTGGTTAGGGTGAGCAATCACAAGTAATAAACTAAAAATAAATAATGGGCGATAAATATTCAGGACAGTCATTATAAAGTTTTTATTGCTGCCGATGTTTCAACCCAAACATGTTGGTCATCAACAGGGCGTGTTTCAAGCACTGAAGGTACTCAAGTACTGACCTGCTTACTTAATACCTTCAGAGCTCAAAACAAGCCCTAATGATGTCCCACATGTTTCGGATGAAACATCGGCACCAATAAAAACTTTATAATGACTGTATCCTGAATATTTATGACACATGATATGTAGAACAGTCGACTAACTTCCTTCAATAATTCATTAAAAAAAATAAATTATATTGTATGTATCGTTGTTATAGTAAAGAAGGTTCTATTGATAGTAATTAAGAACAATATTAGACCAAAAAAATGTAAAACTAAAGCAGATAAAATCATAAAACAATAACATTTCAATATTAATTTTAAGCCTCTTGTGGAACCTCAAGTATTAAGATAAAACAGCAAAATTTTGTAGTGTTTTCGAAGACATAAAAAGGCACCTTTTGAAAGCTATTCGAAATTTGTCTGCCGAAAAAAGTTTAATTTTTTTTAAAAGATTGTTTGCCTTGTTTTGCATATAATTATAAAAAAAATTATAATTTGCTGTGTAATAATTTCAGGAAAAAACAATTTAACCCTAGGTTTATTCGGCAAATTTGACTTTCTTTATAAATTATTTTATTACCTTAATAAGAAATTTCATGTTGATTTTTCAGGAAATTAGGCAGGTACATAACAATGGATACCTACTTTATTGACACTTTTCTAATATATCAAAATAGTAATGCGATACATCAAAAATTGAGTCTTGACATTTTTAATATTTGAAAATAGTAGAAATATAAATATTGAATAATATTAAAAAAATTGTATCAATATTTATTAAAAATGTATAAGTATAAAACGTTTACCTGTTGACTATGCGAGCTGACGTTGTCTAGTGGTAGGACAGAACCACCCAACGTTGCATAATCGCCAGCCCCCAGCGACAGCATTGTGTTTAATGAACTTCTTCTATTCGGGTGCTGAATCGTAGCATAAGTATTGTCAACCTAAAATTTACAAATATGAAGTTACAAACTATCCTGAAAAGCTTATTAGAATATGATGTGAAAATTCAACATACAATTTAATTTAACTATAGAAAAACTCATACTTACCACCGACATATCTACAGAGTCTCTCCTTTCCATAGGCGGGGGAATTTGATTGTTTTCAGGTTCGCAGAAGACTTGCATTGTCAATTCTTGCTCTTCATACAGCTTCAATTTTCTAAATAACATTTGAAATTAATAAATTTAATTACAAATAAAAGATACTCATTAGCCATGGTAATGCTATTTAATTCTTACTGCTCAATCCAAAGTGGATTTTCAGTGGTGTTCAGATCGTCCATGACAGTTTTCTTAATTAGCATGTCTGATTGCTTCATGTCAACAGGTTCTGAGACTATCCTAGATAAATTAAAAAAAAAATACATTAAAATATGAAATAAATCATAATAATTGAAGAAAAAAAAATGTGGTGAAGTAGCTACGAACCAATGCCTGAAGCAACAGCATACAACAATAACTGAGACACATCCGACAAACAGAACGATGAGAAGAGCAATCAAAGCAGCAAGAGCTGGTTCGAAAGTTTCTTCTTTTGCTCCGACGTAGGCAGGCTAAGAAAACAGAAATATTAAATTAGGCAAGATTAATCATTTCATTGCTTAGTTTAGAAATATTTTTTCTCATAATATATCCATTTGGAAGCACGCTTATCCTTCATCACCCAAGTAAAAATTTTAATTAAATAATTTAGAAAAAAAGAAGTGAAAAGCTGCTTTCCCACTCCTAGTAGTGTCACAACATAGTAAGCTGCATATTTTGAACAAATAGGGCTATTGAGAAAGAATTTCAGGGCTTATGTCAATGTTCAGGTGAAGAAAAAAGTTTAGATTCTCATTTTCAAGGAAATTTTAAAAAGCTACTGGTAAATAATTTTTGTTGGACCTTATAAAAACGAGAGCCTTTTAAAGAAGAAAGTTATTTTGCCATTTTAGTACTTAAAATAATAATATGAGAAGGAGTTGATCAGGGGGTGCGGTCAAATTAATAATAAATTAAACAAGTAGAATTATTTAATTTTTGCCAAAATTTAGTGTTTCAACTGCCTCCCGCAGTGCTACATTCTACACCCTGATGAAGAATTGCAAAGTGGGTCGAAACGTTGGCAAAAATTAAATAATTCTACTAGTTTAATTTATTATTAATTTGACTGCAACCCCCGATCAACTCCTCATATTATATCAACGGTCAACCATCTCTGCCTCACTAAAATAGTAATATTTTTCTAATTAGAGAATCACTTGGACATAAAAGATATAACTCAAAACTTTCTGTCCATAATTAGAATGAAACATTTATGAATGCATCGAATTATAATTTATTAATATTTCTTATTAAATTATTTTTACTTACCACAACATTTTCAATTGCAAATCCAGCATAATAATCTTTCAAGAAATCGTAATGAGAATCTATCAACTTGAGGACATCTGGGATGGTAGATATCATTTGGGTTTTCTTGTCGACAACATGAAGGTACATATCACACCTGGAGTAAAATACATTGTAAACATTTATTCAATATAAATTATTAGTAACAGGTATTATTAAGTCCATCTTTTATCAATAAAACAGGAGCTATGTCAAAAAAGTTCTGGCGGCTAATTATTTTTTATTACCCAATGAAAATTTAAAATCAGCTATTTTCATTTTAGAAAAGGAAAATAATGATTTTTTTTATTTTTATTGGTTTGTGTTATTTGTGAACTATTAAATAATAATTGTAATATGTTAAATTTTGTACAATAATGGTTTCATGTACATCAAAAGTAATAAAACTAAGAAGGTTCTAGACGGGACACTATTGACTGGGGGAGGGGGAGGGAAAGGTTCTTAATTAAAAATGTGGTTCATCAACTCCAAAGAATAGTTCAAATTTGTTGTTATAATATATTTTATTGGCCGACAACACACGTTGTTCGGCAACCAGATGATTGATAAACTGAAGTTTATAATAAATAAAGGTACTTTTTGTCTAAGCGGCCGCTACTGACTGCTATCTGTCAATGTTTATAACCTGAACACTGATAACTCCCATAACGCAGTGATAAGCCTTCTCCTACTTCACCTCTTCGTATTATAATATTAAATTCGTATTATTGAAAGTGTACACAGATACAAAAACAAATGTAATAACAACAAAAATACTTTTATTTGACGACAAATATATTAATGAAATAATAAAAAGACACTTTAAGAAGATATGTACATATAAAACATCAAAATGAAATTAAAAGAAACAAATTTAAAAGAACATATTTACATAGAAAAGAAAAAATATCAACACTATAAACAACGTAAATCCCATATTCTAAGAATATCCATAAAATGACGAAAATAAACACCAAGGGGTCACAAACTAAAAAAAATGTAAAATAAACACAAACGGGCCAAAAACTAAAAATAAACACAAATGGGCCAAAAGTAAAGAATTTAATAAGTGAACGTAACAAGGGAATAACTGAAAACTAAACAATGCAATAACTCAAAAGTTTGGCAGGATAAGAAGAGGGAGGTTATGTGACATGTTGACATGATGTTAGATAAGACAGATAAGAAGTGAGGTTTCAAAACGGCCTCTTAGACAAAAAGTACCTAAATAAAATAATTAAGAGTTTGTGTCCAAGTTCCGGGAGGCTTTTAACTCTGAGGCATTAATCCCGCGTCCACTTTCCTGACCATGGAAAATCCCCGTATAATCTGAAAGGAGAGGAAAGAGTGGACAAAACAAAAAAAATAATAATCTGGAGCAAATATTTGATTCCGTGATTGTAGATTGTATTCCTCTAAAAACCAGTCAGCTCCTTGTAACCTCCCTTGTATTCCCCCAATTCGACTACGGCTGGTTGGTGTATGGAGGGCTATCTGCCAGGCTGGAAATGAGACTAAGGAGACTCATGAATTGTTTCATAAGATAAGTCCTGATCCCCAGACGTTCCCATGTTTCACTCTGGTACACCGAGTTGAAGTGGCTTTATCCTACTTTCCTCCTTGGTGTTTTACTTTTCCAAGTCTTCAGAACCAAAAACTCTCCCTACATCCTGGAACTCCTTACTCTGCGCTCCTCTATCCACTCTCTCAATACTAGGTCTCAACCTATAGACTTATATACTCCCTCCCATAAAACTTCCTCCTTCAGCAAATCCTTCGTCATTCGTGCTGCTTCCTTATGGAACTCACTTCCTACCTCCATGCGTCAATCCTCGTCCCCAAATTCTTTCAAACAACTCCTGTTCCAACATCTACTCCACATTCAAACTTTCCCGAACATGTAAAATTACTTGCATCTATACAATGTTTAATTTCAATCCATTGCACAATTGAAATAACAATTAACAGTAAATTAGTTGGTATTTTTATTATGTCAGGCTAAGATACATAAATTTGTAACTCTGTTATTATTCTTAGGGGACAGTAGTCCCAGAATAAAATTATTTTTTCATTTCATTTCATTTTCAAATATTAATCAGGTGACGTAATATTCTGCTGAAATACGGTTGAGAATTTAGTTCTAAAGGCGTATTATTGAGAGCGAATAATTTGATGATTTATACGTGCCTGCAATTCTTACAGAATCAAGCAGCTCTTTTTAAAATGCTAAAAACTTATTGAAGGTGACAACATTTTGGCAATCAAAGTAGTAAATGGAGTTAAATTTACTTATGATCAAGATTTCATTTTTTCCTTATCATTAAATATTTTTAACAACGACACCTCGTTAAAAAAATAATTTTTGGGTTGTTTATTATTATTAAGTTCATACAACGGTGGTCGAATTCTAACAACTGATCAACAATAACTTTACTAAGCAGTTATCGATAGTCAGTTATTAATAATTAATTATTATTAAAAATAATATAAAACTCATATCCTGGCAAAATAGGTACATGGCTGACGAAAACTGTATATTATTTTATCGCTACTTAGTTTGTTGTTCATTCTTTCTGAAAACTGGGACTTCTTGAATATGCTGCGGGACAAGGAAAAAATTGTTAAGTATCGGGACTAACCACCAAAAGCGGAACATATGGTCACCATATTCAAGATGATTAACAAATGAAATCTGAGATGTTGGTATAGTAGAGCCGAATCTTCTATAGGCTATAAAAAAACTTTGCCAAGCCTAGGAGATAGGAGATGTAGATGTAGTCCATTATCCATATGTAGTTCATTTCAGTTAATAAGCTATTTTTTAGAGAGCTTAAGGTGAATCAGTTAGTAGTGAATTCTTTATGAATAGGGCTGTTATAATATATTGTTGTATCAAGAGTAAGTTATATTTGTTTTGAGTATATAAGCCCTCCATTTTTGTTTTTTGAAATTGCCTTAAAAAAACGTATAATCATATTTGTCAATTCTCCTTCTCCTATTTCTTGAAACAAAACTTATTTCTTCATTCCTTTCATAATCAAACTATGGCACTTAAAGAAGCAATATCAATTAATATAAAAATTACTATAAGATATTTTTAAGTGAATTTTACGATTATTTTTTGAGGACTTGTACCAGAATAAAATTATTTTTTCATTTCACAATCACTGTATTTTCACTATTACTTAAGTGATTATAATGGTGTTAACTTAAGTTATACAATAAATTAGCTAAGAAAATATAACATTGGATACAAATTATATCTGTGTATATCGTTGTAAAGTACTTACCATTCTTGCTGAACCTGACCCTGCGGATCAATATGATATTTAATCTCGTCGATGACGACGAGGCTCTTGGTAACGTTACTCAGCTCCATCGTTATTTGTTCCTTTTCTCTGTGAACCTCTTCTGGGGGGCGAGAGAGGATGACTCTTATCAGCTGTTGCTGCTCATAAATCCATATCTGTAATTGTTCAATTCCAAAATTAGATAAAATTTTCTTAAATTAAATAAAGTTTTGGCTCTTTATTACAAAAAAAAAAAAATATTATACTAGTTCTGAATCACTACACTAAATAGTATGTAGATTTAAAATCTCTTCAAGCCCACTTTAGGTGAAATCCCGAAACAATCTCAGTATATGGAAAGTATACAAAGACAACAGATCTCAGCAACACTTTGTGGTAAATTGTTTATGTTTGCTTATGTTAAGTCAGCTTAAGTACAATTTTATAGGTACAACCCCTCTCCTTCACTTCTGAGTTTAAGTTAACTTATTTTTATATAAATAACAGAATGAAGAGAAATCAAGAAAGCGAGATTGAATATAAATAATAGCTCTATTTATAAATTATAAATAATAGCTCATTATAAAGATGAAGACATGCTGAACATTTCCCTTACTTACGATATCAAAATGTTTATTAGCTTCATGTTCATTTAAACTTCAACTACTACTTAGGAAATAAACATTTTTATGATTTTAACTAATAATAATCAGCATCCACTGTACACTTTCAACAGATGCTAGGAAATCAAAATTAAATTTATATTTCAAATGCATTTCTCCATATCCTAAATCATGTAATTAATAAATAACACAATAACTTTATTTATTAGCTATAACCGAATATGCTATCATTCGTTGAGTTAGTCATCATGAGTTTTAGGCAAGAATGTCATTAAATATGTTTGTCATTTGTAAATGAATTGAATTATCAGAAATTTATTCTATTAAAGGCAAAATTATAAAAAAATCTTGTGTTGTTTGCACAATTTCAGAATTAAGAATCAACCCTTTTCGTTGACGGGCTCATCAATTAATTAATACTTATTTTTTGTTAAAATATACAATATATTTAAATGAAAACCTCATTGCACAGCATGAGGACATTTAAAATAATTGCAAGTTACCATGATGATTCTGACACAAGGTTGAAGGGTTCCCAACAATAGAGAATAATTCAATATTGTTTACTATGTAAAGATAATGAATAAGCCTAGTTAAAACTTACATTAACGATAGCCTTAGCTTCTCTGTAGGGTGGAGCCTTTTCTTTGGCAATTACTTCCAATTTAAATCTTTCTTGATTGTATTCTGCGACAAGTGCCGCAGTCGTTAGCTTTCCAGTCTCGCTGATGGTGAATGGACTGGGAATGACGGAACCTGACGAAACATTTGAACCAGCCCTGAAGAGGTGAGACGTCAGGATCAAGTAGGATAGAGAACCGTTAGCTCCTGCGTCTTTATCGGTAGCCGTCAGCTGAGCTACAAACTCTCCTCCATGAGCGCTCACTAAAACTCCTATATAAATAAAAAAATATAAAGTATTTAATTTATACAATGATTACATAATAAAAATTACATAAGCATTCTATATTAAGCAAATAAAATAGAAACAATTTTATTTATTTATTTTATCTTATCTTGATTTATTCTTCACTGTTTATAGAAACATATACTAGTTAAAATTAAAACAATAAAATATAAATATATTATCATACCTGCATTATATTCAGTACTGTAGAAGAAGGGCTCATTATCATTTTCATCCATTACAGAAATTTTTATGTGAGCGATTGTCTTAGAAGCTTTTAGATTCTTCATATCCAATTTTTCCTATAAAACAAAATTATGTAAAATATTTAAAAAAATTAGTAAGAAGGCGTGAAAGATGAAGTAAAATATAGTATTATTTATGATCAGTTGTCTGATATTCAAGTTTCATTTGTTTTCATTTATTAATTGTAAGTTAATATGTAATCAAGAGCGCTGTGTGGGCATAAGGTTTATAAATATTGCTACTGTTAATGTAAAATGTTGAATATAAAAATTGTTTTGTTTTTTTTACAGAAGAAAAACTGATTGTTTCTTCATGATTTATTAGTATAATTTCATATTTTATTTCCTCCTACTATTTTCCATAGTAGCAGATTAATTATTGTAGTTACAGACTACATAATTTCATTTCATTTACCAGAAATAGAATAAACATGGAAAATTGTTACATACGACCTTTTGTACTAACAGTAGAGATATATATAAATATATATATTTTTGGACAACAGAATACATCATTAAAGTGAATATTAGAATTGAATATTTAATAAATAAAAATAATTATATAAAGAGTAGTTTTTGTTTATATGGCATCGAGAGGTAGAAACGAGACTCCAGATACCTAGTATAGTACAGTCACAGATCCAAGAAAAAAAAAAGGTATAGAGCCAATATTAGGAATTTTTCAGAGATTAGTATTTTAAATATCTAAGTTAAAAGAAAAAAAAAATCACAAATTTTTACACCTACACAATACAAAATGAACTCCAAAGAAACAAAACATGGAAAACAGAAAATAATAATTTTAAATGGAAACTTTTAAATTTATTTTTATTAATTTGTTTACTTCAAGTTGATAATAAAACAATTGTGTAAAAATTAAACTAATTATTATTCAAAGACATTCCATAAATACTAAATCAATCCAACTTCTTTTTTTTTTTATGTAAAGATAATTTTCCTCTAAAAAAATTATTTTATGTTTCTACTATAAATTTTGTTGTATAAATCAGTTTTTTTATTAAATAAATTCATATGAGTAACTTTTTTTTATAATGAATACCTAATCTTAGATATTAAAAAAAAGTATGTAATTTTAATTTTTTTATACAAATTAAATTTTTAAATGATAAATACAAATCTTTACGATGAATTTTATACGAAGGATTGTATTTTAAAATAATACCTTAGATACATAGTAATCAGGATCATTAGTAGCCTTGACATAGATATCATAGCTATCTTTCTCTTCCCTGTCTAATGTAACACTACAAATTATTGTCCCATTAAGTTTATCGACTACGAATGATTTCGACTCATCTTTAACAATATAATAATAAACTTTGGAATTTTCGCCTTCATCTCTGTCGTTAGCTTCAATGACTCCTGTAAAATTATAATATTATTATAAACTAATTATTATAACTCAAATATTGTAAATTTAAACAATGACTTTTTTCTATTTTATACTTACCGATTTTAGAACGAGGTGGAGCATTTTCTTTGATATGAAAAACATAAGGTTCTAAAGTACTGAATTCTGGAACATTGTCGTCAACGTCTAACAGTTCAATAGTGAGAGATCTCAAGGCTTCGTACCATGTGGGAGAGCCATGGTCTCGAGCGACAAGAACAAGCTGAAAACAATAATATATTGTATAATATTATGTACTGATATATATATATATATATATATATATATATATATATATATATTATCTATATATATATATGTATATATATATATATATGTTGTAAGGTTAAGTTCCCTTTGAAAAGTAAACAAACAGTTTCTGAATCAAATAATACTTACTTTACACAATAATTATTTCTCAGTTTGGGTTGAGACAACAAACACACATCCTCAATTATACAATATAAAAAAGCGTACATTAATTGTATGGATTTCCATTCATTTATCTGGGTCTAATCTGGTACGCTTTCGAACTGTCTATTTGTCTTGCGGTTTAGACTCATTAAAATTACTTGATCACTTCACAATATACGCAAAATTAATTATTTGGACGCAATAATACTATAGAACATATAAATGTTGACAACTGACTTTCTTCATAAACAACTTTTTTCAAAAAGAAATAACTTCATACCTAAACCAGACTCAACTCGCTACGAGCTTACTGACATTTCCTTGTCTGTGCGATCTCAATAGTCCAGTCAAATTAAGTTCAAATAGGGTATGAAGTGGAATATTCTATTATCTTATTCTTTCCAGCGACTATATATTATTTGATGTTATGAACATGAATCTGAACTTGCTCGGTAAATACGAACTTATAGTTTACACGCACAATAGGAACTACACAATAGAACTCAATACCGTCCCGAAATATTCTGAAATCATTAATTACACTGAATTTATATGGTTAAATATTACATATATATTTTTTAATTGTCTTACAAAACCATCTACCTTTAAAATTTTTTGGCAGCCAGATAAACGTAATTTAATTATAGTCTTGATTTTTTTTTTAATATATTGATATATAAAAACAGGTATTTAAATAGCAGAAACAAAAAAAGACTATATTGATTGTGTATTAATAACATAACATCGAAGTATTTATCATTTTTAAAATGAAGTTGTGAAAAATTTTAAAAATGGATTTGGCTGGTCTTTTGTTTCGACATGAATTAATAGATTATGTACAATTTTAGAAGCACTTATATACTAATCTATGTACTAGTTATATTAACTTATTAATTAATATCATATATAATAATACATACATGATATAATGATTTGGTCTCTCGGTCTAAGCTCGACTTGGCTCTCACTTCCCCGGAGTCAGCATTGATTGTGAAATCCTCAGTTTCTTGGACGTTTTCATTTCTGACTTTAAAATGGTAGGTCACGCGCCCGTTTTCACCGCTATCGCCATCGACTGCTTTAACTGTCAGTACGACTGCTCCCACTTCGTTGTCATTCTGTCATTAAAATAAAAATATGTATATACGCATAAAATATATATAAATAAATAAATAATAAAAATATGTATACATGCATAAAATATATTTTAATGAAAAGATACTGGATTTTTAAATAAAATAAAAACCTAAATGTTTACAAATATATGTAAATATTTTCTCAACTATGAGAAAAATCTAATAAATCTTGAATGTTGTTGAAAATAAAAAAACTAAAAATAAATCACAATAAATTATTATAATACGTTAACCTCAAATTGCCAATGTTTTATATTGCTTTTTTTTTCACAGCTATTGCTAAACAAAACATCACTATTTCAGAAAAAAATTTTAAATGTATAGTTTTAGTTTTAGTATTTTACATATTAAACAAAATAAATACGCTATGACTACATATAATTTGATAAATTCTGAATAGCAAAAATAAAATAAAATAAAATAAAATCACATTTTGAATAGTGTGGGCATTCCTGGTGATGGAAAAATATATAAAATAAAACAGAGGATTCCAGGTAGATAACAGATGGTAGCTGAATTCCAAGAACCGTATAAGATCAGTACAAGTCCATGTATAGAAAAAGACTTTGAAGAAACAATAAGTTATATATCTTTACGTTTCAACAAAAAAATATGACGAAAAGAAGAACTTTGAATGAAAAATAGTAGTTAATAATTTTTAATTAGAACTTTTTTTTTAATATTAATATAATCTGCCACATAAAGGGCAATAAGTATTAGGCCTGCAAGTGTTCATTCGTACAATCTATACATACAAAAGGAAAGTATATGTAAATAATTAAAATGTTAAAAAATAGATTGAAATTGAGTAAATTTAAATTTGTCCAGGAGACTCCGAGTCAAGCATTGTCCTCCATCCAAATGTGGAAGGCAAAGCAGAACTCCAGGAAATCACAGTGCTGTTCTCCCAGTTGCGTCACTGGTAATTAGAACTTGTAATTTTTCATTTATTGTTTATTTTTAGGAATAAAATAATACAAAAATTATGTATAAAATTAAAATTCCACAAAAACTAAATCGATTCATCATTTTTTTTTTCTTTTTAACACAGAATTTCTTTTTATAAATCAATAACATACTTAATTAATTATGCTTTTTGAGTGAAATTCTTTGATTTTATTTTAATACAAAGTAACCTAAAAAATATGAATTTATTAATACTGTTTATTTATTATAATTACAATATCATAAATGAAAAATAAAATAATTTAAAAATCTTTAACTCATCATTGGATTATAACAAAGGGCAATTTCAAAATGTCAGCACTAATTCCATCGATGAAATCCAACAATCAATTAATCACACAGCAATGGGGAGTGATTTACCCTGAGTTTACAGATGACCGACTGAATTCAATCAGAAGTTGGACATTACTGGTAATAAATCACATGAAAAATATTAAATGAAATACAGGGTGGCTACCAGACAGTTAAGTAAAATTCCCTCACTTTTCCCTATTTAATGATAGTTTATCCTGACCAATATGTCTGGGGACACAAATATTAAAAATGTGTAATTTATAACTAAATTTATTTCTTATACATGGAAGAAAATTGACTACAAAATGACTGAGTAAAAAAAACAGTCTTTTAAATAACAAATATAATGTTTTAGAGGAAGCATTTTATAAGCTTGATTAGGATTTATTTATTTTAGAAAACTAAACTTTTAGTAATTTATTTTTATCGCTTTTATTTTATTTTCATAAACTGAGAGGACGTAAAGGTTGATACTTGACATATAAAGCTCTGATTTTCTCTATTATAAAATAAAGTGAGCTATGGGGGATCCTGATATTAATTTAGTTTCTCATAAGTAATTTAGTTTCTGTATGACTATACACAGAATAATAATTATCCATATTACACACTAACATTTCTTGTAAATAAATGCTCTTTTAAGGAGCACCACGGGTTGAATGAATGAGTGATTGCCAGCTAAATACAATTGTATATAACACAAATAGTAAAAAGAATTGGTGTGTTTTTCTTTTCAAAAAGCACAGCTTTAATTCCATTTTGTTTAAATTTTATTCATTATCCTAGTTTGATTTCAATCTCACGACCAGAACCGTTATTGACTGTCAAAGATAGATGAATATAGTGACCGTGTTGTTCATAAAGACGAAGTTTACCCTTCCAAGGTCATTATAAACTATATCCACTGTATTTATATCCAATTTGAAAAAAAAATTTATGCACTAAAAAAATTCCCTGACTTTTCTAATTTTTCTAGGTCAGTTGCCACCCTGAAATACCTATCTACTGAATAGTTGAATTTAAACAGAAATAAATATAGATAGAAAGTAAACTGAATATAAATCTATAAAGTAAATTTAGAAATAACAATTTACTGATTGAGTATATCAAATCCAACAGCTGATGGAACGGATGAGTTTAAAAATACCATCAAGATTTAAGATGCCATCGAGGGGCCGAGTACTGAATTTAGAAACTTGTATTTAGAAACAAGGATTTTCTCTAACCTCTTTTATGAAGACAGTTGAATTGCTATTTGAAGGGAAGGTAAAAACCGGTTGGTTCTGATTAATCGCTTGGACGTTGATATCTATACGTGCTTCGTCGACGTGTACTCCATCGCTCACTTGTACGAGTAACGTGTAATAAGGTAACTGATTTTTTAATGAGATCCTTGGGTACATTATTCCAGTAATACTATCCAACATGAACACATCTGCAAGAAGATTAAAAATTATTAAATTAGTACGAAAGTAAATAATTTAAAACTAATAGTAAGCATTCCTTAATAATAATTACCTCCAGTGTTTCCAGAAACTATTGAGTATTCCAGACGACTTGAAGAATCTCTATCTTCTGCTCTCAGTTGAAGTATCGGAGCTGGAGGGGAAAGAGGAATACTTTCGACAATGTTTATTTTGTACTCATGTTGAGAAAAGACAGGAGCATTATCGTTGACATCTTTGATTTTGATATGAACCTGAAAAAAAAAAATTGATTAAAATATAAATTCAAATCAACAGCTAAACAAAACTGATATTTTTAGTAAGCTAAGTAGTTGTTTTAATATGTGATAACCTATAACCTATTGAAGATACAAGTAAAAGATACAGATTCTAAAGATTTTTTTAATAATGTAGAGATGGTTGACCGTGATATAACTTACATACTATATTCTCCTTTGTTTTCTATTTTTATTCATACTTATTTTCTATTTTTATTTTTATCTTCTATATATATAATACTTGATATTTTAACCACATTGTCACCCACTACATCTCTGATATCATCTTATTATTTCTTTATCAGACACCTTTCTCTTATCAATATCTACTTATTATTCATTTTATTTTCACCATTTACCTTTTATATTTTGTATCTTTTGTAGCCATGATGAAGACATGCAAGGTGGGTCGAAATGTCGGCATAATAATTAAATAATACTATTTCTATAATTTAGTATTTATTTGACCGCACCCCCCGATCAACTCCTTCTCATAAAGATTTTTTTTGAAAATTAGATTTTTGAAGTGAAAACTTCTTTAGGCCTGCTTAGAATTTTTTTTTGTGGGTGGTGAATGAGGCTGAGCCATAAAGCTCAGCTATGTATTGTTCATTCGAGTAAAGTCTCCTTGAGTCGACTAATTTTTGCATTTGGATAGAAGTATCTTAAAAACTAAAAATCGGACCAGCATGCAGTAAGTTAGGGAAATTTTCAGCATTTCATCCTCTTAATAATGAGCTATAATTCAAAATTTTATTTTGATGTGATGCCGAAAAAGAAAGAGGAAAAATGGGCCACAGTGGTCGAGCGAGTTAAGGCGCCTGCAAGTTTTATATCAAGTGTTTAAATCCCGTTCGCAGGAATTAATAATACAAAAAAAATTAATAAAAATAATTAAGTGCAGACAGATTCCCTACTTGAATAATTAGACCACTACATTGCGGGTTCGATTCCTTGGAGATGGTAACGTCCCCACCCTGCGATTCATAGGGAGGTGAGCGACCCCTATGTCCTATACCATATCTTCTGATTCTCAAGGTTGAGGGTTGGGTATAGGGCTGAACTGGAAGGAAGATTTAAGTAAAAGATTGCCAATCATCCTGCAGGAAAGTTCCTGATAAAGAGGGAGTGAAATGTGATCATGTCTGGTAAGTAAACCACTTGTTCTCTGGATATCTTGAAGTAGAGAGAACAAAACGATCAATACTGTCGCCTACAACAGCCCCTAACTGCTGAAGAAGATTCATGACTTAAAAAGTCGAAGTCAAGAGGTTTAGGAAAAAAAAAATTATTTTATACACAATTATAATTGTATGCATTGTAAATGTCATTACTTTGTGAATATAGAACATTTACAAAAAAAAATTATATTATTAATCCCGCATCGTTGATGTTTTCACTTCTATCTTATGGTCTTAAACACACATTGTAGTTTTAATTGCGTAAAAGTGGTAGCAAATCAATCATAACTGAAGAACTTACAGGTACTATGGAAGATCGTGCGTCGTCGCCAATTGCCCCATCTGTCGCAATCACCTGGATTGTCATTTCCTCCCTCGCCTCACGGTCCAATTTGGAATTATTTAAAACCAATATTTCACCAGAATTCTTGTCGATAGAGAAATCTCCAAAGCTTTGCTCTGAAAGGCTGTAGGTAACTTGTCCTGCTTCTCCTGCGTCGCCGTCCGATGCAGATACGTTTCCAATAACTGTACCAGACTCAGCGTTCTCATCTACCCAAAACGTATATTCTCTCTAAAAATAATTAAACATTCTCAGATATATAGTGATGTAAATAAATTCCAAATTATTATTAATTACACTAAAATAGTGTAGACCATGATATGATTAGGCACAAGCATGAATGGGTCCTTTATACTTAAGTATCGCCAGTTAGTTTTTTGACACTTATTTAGAATGGTTACAGAGTTTCAAATACACATGATTTAATAAATTATTACAATTGTACTAATGAAGTTATAACTTAAATCATAAACGTATTGTTTATTGAGAAAGTAAATTATAATAAAATTAAATAACATTCTTTCATCACAAATGAATGGTATCAAAATGATGATGAAGAAAGGAATATTACACAGAAAAAAGGACATTTTATGAAATATTACAGGCATTGAGAAACATTTGGCCTCTTGAAGATTACTATTTAGAATATATGTTATTCTCAAAGCTAACCTATTTTGTGTTTATTTATTGTTTAGTAATTACTTTTCAATAAAACATTGATTCTTTCATGACATATGATTTATAAATAATAACTGTCGTTTTACAAGAAGGGACTGCTGCTAAAAGTGACTGGCGTTATTTAAGTAAAAAAGATCTGTATGAATTTTTAATTTCTATTCATTGATGAGGATTTGGTTATAACAATAAAAAAAAGTCCAAAATTTTTCATATGCATATTTGCTAAGATAATTAGTGTTAAAGAAAACTTCAGCGGTCTCCTGAGTTCAAATAACCAAGTCCCGCAAAATGGTCTGTATCTGTGTGTATGTATGTTATCAGCCTAGCTCAAAAATGAAAAATCGTATGAAAGTGAAATTGTATATTTAAGGTCTTTATAAGCTTTCGATGTTACAGTTTATCGGCAAACCGGAAGTGGTACTTTATATAATCGATTTAACAAATCTTTACAATTTTCTCAAAAACCGCTCTAATGATTTTGATTAAACTCAGTATATCAGTGTATTATTAATCAATTTTTAATATAATGTAGGTTTTATTCTCATTGATGTTCTCTATCAGGGCTTAAATGGATAATTCTCAATATTGGCTTCCTCCAAAGTGCCTTTATTTTTTTTCATTTGAAATAATTAACCATTTCACATTAATCCTTGATATCAAAAATAATTAAATATATAATATGAAATAATTTAACAATTAACTAAAGGAGAAATAAGGGATCGTAACGAATAATAGTTGTAATAGAGGAATCAAAGGAATACGAGCTTATTCGAGCTCGTCCGAAAGATAACAACAGGCTTCCATACGTAACATGAGCTTCATATAATACGGACTCCGACAATATTATGTTCATATACATATGCTGTTTTCATAAATGCTATCGTTGGTATTATTTAATATTTAATTGTATAGAATACAGAGATTTAAAAATTAAAATTTGTATATATAAGGATATTTAAACAAATAAAAATACCCACAATGAATAGTAAATAAATATAGTGTCAATAATTTTACTTTCACTTCCCCTTGTTCTGAAAATACTTATTTCTGCTAAGAAGAGGGTGGTAAGTGAAAATCATGTGATACGCGCACCACTTTTTTTTCTCATCTTGTCATATTTAAATAGAAAGATTTATTTAAAAATTGAATATATTAGTTAATGTATATCAATGTAGCAGGGCTAAGAGATGCTTGACGTCATTGTGTTTGTTAGCTTTATACATCATGTCATTGTGGACTTAAGGCTCACTACACCTCCCAGATGCACTATTATTTCAAGATTTTAGCTAAATATGAAGTTTTATTTATATTTTAACACTGCAATCTTCATCTTATATAACTTCTTCATCACTTGAATTTAATTTCAGCTCATATTATGTGATTTTATTTTTTTTCATGCAAATAGCTAATTGTTGTAGGTTAAATATAATCAAAAGTTTTTTTTTCATTTACCTGGTTGAAAATTGGATTCATATCATTTATATTGACAACATTAACTGAAATGTGAGCAGTGGATGACAACGGAGGTATTCCAGAATCGTAGGCGACGATACTGAATTGTAATGAAGGACTTTTTTCATAATCCAGTCGAATCTTCGTCTTCACTGCACCTATTATTAAAAAAAATCATAAAAACATTTGTAAGAGGACTTTACTTCATCTTTCTGCGAGAGATAAAATTAAATACCTGTGATATTATTTATTTCGAAGTATTCACTCGGTGGTTCTATATCGTACCAGATATTATTCGAGTCTTGGTCAATTGCTGTGAATGTACCGACCATCGTGCCTGGGGGTTGTTCTTCCAGTACTTCAACGGAATACCTAGGGTTAGAAATCGACCAAGGTTTCAAGAACTCCGGTGCATAATCATTTACATCAATAATGGTGATAATAAGAGTTCCTAAGAGAAAACAATCATAATTATATTATTATATTGGTAAAATATAAATCAAAAAGAGAATTAGTGTTGTTTAATACCTGTCCCCTGCTGCTTGGTAGATGCTGTTATGTCGGTAACTAATACTGTAATTCTCACAATAGCTGCGATTTCTCGCTCAAGAGGTCTTGCGACTGCTACTACTCCCGTTGCTTGATTTACACTGAAGAAGTCCTTGAACCATTGCATTAATTAAATAAATGTTTATTTTATTTATTTATTTTTTTTAGTATAAATTCTTCAAACATACTTTGAAAGCATCTCCTTCAACTTCTTTCCCGTTCTTATCAACAGCTGTTATTGGCTCGGTTACGTCAAAGTTTAAGGCATCTGTTGAATTGACGTCTAAATCTTGGGCGATGAGGTGATGGACTACTTCTCCAACTTTTGCATCCTCTTTGACCTAAAAAGGAAATTATGTTAATAAAAAATTTTGAATAATGATAATTATATCTCCAATAATTAACAAATATATCAATGATCTATTACCTCTGCCCTCTGGGTTGCGGGTGAGAAAAAGGGAATTTTGTCATTGGTATTGGCGACGGCGATGCTTAAAGTAGTAGTTCCAGTTAAAGCTGGTGTCCCTGTCGGAAACAAAATAAACTTTTAATAAAAAAAACCTCTTACAAGTAAATCACTATAGCTTGCGCAACATTTTTATAGGCTACATAAAAACTTCAATGACTATAATAAACTTCGTAATTACTACAATTTTATATAAAAGTGAATAGAATAATCCAATAAAAACATGTCAAAGGAATCACATTAAGTTTAAAAACAAATATAAACTCCCATTTCACAGCCATTATATTTTTAACAATTACATTATAATTATTAATTGAAAATTGAAGAAACTGCTACAAGACTACTTGTAAATTATTTTATAAATTTCCTCCAACTTGGGCCAGATTATTTCAACTTTACTCAGATTATTCTCAATATTTAAGCCCTCAATGTCTTGAAGATGGTATGATTCAATATAATGTGCTCAGCTATTATATGATGCTGTCATGAATTATCTTTGAGACTACTGGACTGATTTTTATTTTACATGAATTGGTTCAAAACACAATGTTAATCCCGTCCAAGTGTAGTATAGACACTTCGAATTTCGGTTTATTATTTTCAATAATGAACCATTGTAATCGTTCAAACAATTTTAAAACTTAACTACCCTTCTAAATTTGAGATTTTAGATGATAGGATACAGAGAACTCGAAATTGAATAAAAAAACTTTGTCCGCCCGCATATTTTCTCCGAGACTACTGAACCGATTTTTTTTCAAATCTAGAATCAAAGTCAGAGGTCACCCATGGATGATCCTCCTACATCGTAATTACTATCAGCCCATTCCTTTCAATATGGCGGATGAAAAAATTGTTTGAATAGACTGAAGCGCTTAAAGGAATGTACTAATTTCAATGAAATCTTCTTCTCGATGTCTTTTAAATATATGTATAGAACATACTTCACCGAAAAGTATTTCCTTTCAAGATGGCAGCCAAAAGACCTGTAGTATAGACTGAATGGATATACTGATATTAATAAAACTAGGGTAAAGTATTCTCCTCGATGCCCTTTGAATTTATTTATATAACATAATTCAACAAAAAGAAACTGAAAAAAAGTTATGAGGGTAGGTAAAATTAGATTCCTTAATAAATCTTAAAGTATATACTTTTTTGGGATTTTTATAATTTGATGTTTCAAAGGTATATAAATTTCCTAAAAAGGAAACAAGTTTCATTGAAATCAGAGTACTATTAATAAATATATCATGGTTTTAAAATAATGAACCATTGTAATCAATCGTTCAAAAAATTTAACCCTCCTTAACTTTTTTTTTTAATGCAATAAAAGTTTTAGGTACAAAATTGAAGAAAATCATTGCATGAAATAAACTATCCCAAAGTTTTTCTTATGTTTCCATAGTATAATTTTTAAAATTTCTTTCTTTAATATTACGCCGATATATACCTACTAAAACAAGTTGGAAGCATATACAAATTATTTAATGAAAATTATTTGTTGGATTACCTCCATCAACAGCAATTATATGAATAAGGTAACTATTCCTTCTGTCGTAATCCAACTTAGAAATCACATTGACTACTCCAGTTCTGTTGTCGATGCCAAAATCATCAAACCCTCCTTTTTCTATTCTATAGAGCAATTTAGCATTTATTCCGGTATCGGCATCGTGGGCAACTACAGTTTCAACACTTGTACCTAGAACAGTAACATAGAATTATGCTTCATCTAAAACTTCTGTGCTACCGTCAGCAGTAGTGATTAATACTCACCAGTCGGAGAATCTTCTGGCACGGTTATGGTATACTCAGACTGTTCGAAAATGGGATGATTATTGTTGACATCGAGTACTGTAATGTCGGCCGAGCAGTTGACTTTAAACACACCATCAAAAGCCTGAAATCAAAACAATTTTGGTTTACTATTTTTGATATGAAACCATTGTAATTGATCAAGAAAAAACTCAACAAACTTAAATAAATTTAAACACAAAGACTGAAGTAAAATGATTCAACCTCATAATAATAGCAACTTATAGATTAAAAAGTTGAATGTAGATAAGAGGTAAGGACTAAAAAATATTCTACAAAAGTTATTTTTCTCAGATTTTTGCAATTCTATAATGAAAACAGATGTGCAATACTATTATTACAATCATAGACATGATTGCGATATTCAGGCAATTTAATTGATAATTTATTAATGTGTATAATAACTACTCATAAGGGTGGAGTTTAACACTTTGACAAACACAGTGGGCCTGTATGGCCGCTTACTGATTTACTCAAGAAACCACAGCGGACGTATATGCATTGAAATCCACAAACAAGATAACTTGTTTAAATTTCCAAAAATAATCGAAATATAATTATATGCACGTAAGAAATAACTAAGGATAAAAATAGTAAATACAAATTTTAAAAAACAACTGTAATATCCCTATGGACAATTGCGAGCTTATACGCCCTCTCTGTTTCTTATAACTTATTGCAATTTAATTATTTTTTAAAACTAAAAAAAAAAAAAAGAACAATTGGTCCATGAAGAAAGTTTCAATTGAATGACTTGGTTGTTAAAGTGTTAATATAAATAACAGCTGAGCGTTTTAATAGCAAGTTTTGATAATAGGGATACAGCCATGAAATATTAACAAGTAGCAATGTTAACAAAATTACAAAAAAAATTGTTAACCCTCTCTCACATTTGAGCTAGTATTTTTCTAGAAAGACTGAACCCCCCCAAAAAAATCCATATGGCTCTTGTTTGATACACCAATATCATAGGTCACCCTCAAGATAATCCCCAAAAGTTATAATAACTTTAGTGGTGTAGAAATATTTGACTGTGATTATGATTTGAGAAGAAGTGGATCGATGGTTCGGTTAATATATAAAATTATAATAGTATTTTATTGTAATGCTGACATTTCGACCTACATTGTAGGTCTTCAGGGCTAAAAAAAAGATAGACTATAACTATTAATTGGTACAAGATAAAAAATAAATAATTATAATATCATCTGGTATCAACAACTTTTACAGGTTATCAGATAAAGAAATTGAAGAACTTATAAGATAACATAAGTGATGTAATGAGTTATAGTATCGTTAGAATACAATATATATATAAAATAGAGTAAACAAAATTCACTTTTATTTTTTGTATAATCCATTACAATACTTTGTATTCTAATGATACTATATCTCACTACATCACTTATGTTATCTTATTAATTCTTCAATTTCTTTATTTGGTAACCTGTACTAGTTTAATATCAGCTGATATTTTATTTTGTATCAATTAATATTTATAGTTTATAAATATTTTTTTAGTCCTGATGAAGACCAACAACATAGGTCGAAATGTTGGCAAATCCAATAAAATACTATAATAATATATAGTATTATATATTGATTGCATCCTTGACAAACTTCTTCTTAAAAATATAATAACTTTGATATAACAATAAAAATAATAATTTTAATTCAATAATATAATAACAGTTTTAATTCAGATAAAACAATAATTTAATTTTTTTATTCATAACAATAATTAATAAATACATAAAATTTAGTTTTGGTTGTAACAAACTTAACTCCTTTCCTCAAAATTTCCTAAATATATTATCTTTAAGGGAAGAGTCCTTACTTGAATGACAAGGTGAATCATATCCGAAGATACATTCGTCATATCCAGTCCATTTCTGTCAGTAACGGTAACTTCACCTGAAAGCGGATCTATGGAAAACAGATTGTTAACATTGCCATCGACGATTGAGTAAATTACTTCAGAAGTTTTGTCTACATCCCGAGCCTAAAAAATAAAATAAAATAAAATGCCAAATATTAATTTTAAAAAACAGATATAATTGAAGGAAAATAAATATATTTCATTCATTTATAAAATATCTTACCTGAACGAAAAGAGGAGGTTCAAACTTGTCTGATCCCTCATCTATGATTGCCTTGTAAGAGTCTGATGTAAAAGTTGGAGGATTGTCGTTATTGTCGTTTAAAGATATCTGGAGCGGAACTACCTTTGTTTGTCCCTCACCTTCGTTGTCAGTGGCCTATGAAGAGATAATAATTATTATACAACCTATTATAAAAAAAAAAACAAATATGAAGGGTATTCAAGCAAGTGACGCTAAGTATTTGAAAACTCATAAATGTGTTAAAGTCGAGAAATGTATTTCAAATTTGAATACTTGATGGTTAACCGTTGTATTTTTTTGAGGAAGGAGATGGTCTAAGGTGGCAGTCATAAAAAAACTAAAATAGTGAAAAAACTATTTTATTTCAAGCCATAATAAATTTAAATAGGCTTGAAATAAACTATTTTTTTCACTATTGTATCCTTTTTATGACAATCTCCTTCCTCAAAGTATTTTAAATTTGTACATTAAATATAGCTGCTAGCAGATTCAAAATTAAAACTGGGGTTAATTTCTTAAATTCGTTGGAAGTTATTATGAGGTTTTTTAAATTTCTTGTAAATTTATGAATGCTACATTTCAGGTAATAAAGTGATAAAAATAAATGAAAAATAAGCTCTTAAATATTATAATCAAGTGCAACCGAAGTAAGCGCAAGAGAAAGTTTTAATTTATTTTAGCTAATAACACTTTAGCAGGTTAGCACAGAGGAATCTTCACCCAAGATTCAAGCTAACTGTTTAGCAACTAAACTATGACAAGTTTAGAAAATACTGTTATATTATGTTTCCATAAAGTTGAAGTTAAAAGGTAAAATAATAAAATGTGTTTAGAAAATTTAACATTTATTATACTAAACTTTAACACGATCATTTAATTTGCAAAGATGCAAGAAATTTTGATAGCTTATAAATATTTAGAAATATAATAAAAATTTCAAGTAATCAGACAAACTTGTGGTTTTTATATATAGTTGGTTAATACTTGTACAACATTGGTTCATCTTTCTTGTCTAGACTACAATGATGGTCCAATAAAATATATAAAACAAAATTAATAATAACAATAAGGCGTCTCGAACCTGAAGGTTCGATGACGATATTAACAATTGATGTCAACATTCTTTCATCCACCAGGCGGCGTCCAAACCACTCACCCACTAGATCAGCCTTAACGCAATCTTCCCACCTTCACTTCGGCCTATCCCTCAGATGCTTACCAGTCGGCACAGCATGTGCTAACTTTGTAGCAATTCTTTCCTTACTAAGCCCAGCAATTTTAGGAGCAGTTTTACAGAAATTTTATCCGGAATTGAACTAGTCCCCATTTATGTCTCCAGGTAAGGACTGCTTTATTGGATTCATGGTGCAAGATAAAATAAGATTAACTAAAAGTAAACTTATTTAATAATTATAATACTACAAAGTAATGATATTAGATTAAAATTATGATATGTTATATTATATAATGTTATAATAACATTATAACTTACTTGTAAATTGAGATAATATACAGGTTTGGTTTCGAAGTCTAAACACTGAGGTGAACCAGGCATCACGCATGGTGCCACTGTTATGAGTCCAGTTTTCTTATTAACGTTAAATCTAAAGAGAACATTAAAAATAATGAAATAGTAATAATAATCAATTTTTTTAAAAATACATCAATATTAATTTTTAATTTTTACCTTTATTTTTAGAGAAACAATAGGAAATAAAACTTGACAAATTTATTCATATTAGGGTGGTTAGATTAAACAATATATTATTAATTTATCATCATTATCGTAAATGAATATATACACAAATAAGTGTATATATTAATTCAATCAAATTCCTATGGGACCACATAGGTGTATACAATTGCTATTGGTATATAGAAAACAACCTGTTCTAGGAATTGACACACAGTTAAAAAATAAAGTTACATGTTTAGAATGATAGTTATATAGGTTACTTCTACTGTAATGAAAATTCTAGGATATTTGTTTGAAGTTAGAAAAATTAATCATAGTTTTAAAAATTAAATATCCTTAAAAATGCTTGGCCACCATGGCTTCCAATCGTAATAAATTATATTGTCAAACAGAAAGTTAATTTTAAGATTAAAAATTAATAAAGATGATAAATTACTTCTCGGCACCATGCCCGACGAGATTGTACACAATTCCTTTCGTGCCGAAGGAACCAGTATCTACATCGGAAGCGGTGATAGTAGTCACTGGATCGCCTGGGATTGCAGTCTCGTCAACCGAAGCACTGTATGCCTCACTATCGAATTCCGGTACGTTGTCATTAGCATCAGTAATTTCAATGGTAACCGTAGCAGTAGATGAGAGTTTTTGAGGAGTTTCTGTCTCTTCAGCTATGACCTGAATTGAGATTCACAAAATAGAATTAAATTTTTTTTTAAAAAATAACATTGATAATAATTTAATTTATTATCAAATTATTATTATTTATTATTAAATTTTAATACAATTATACCTAAAATTTATTTTATATTTCAATAGAAAAAATTCCTTACCAGCAAAATGAACTTCCTATTATTAGGATTTTCATAATCTAAGGGGCCATTTACTACGCGAATGCTAACTGCTGTCGAACCAGACCCCGTTGAAGGCTCAACATCGAATGCCCCAGAAACATCAGATAGACTTAACTTGAATCTAGAATTAATACCCTAAAACAACAAATTAAGTAATGAATGAAATTTATATTGATGAATAAAAAAAAAAATATTTGTGAAGTTTTAATATTTTTTGTAAATTAATACAAAATTTATACTTACAACATCTGGATCGGTAATGGTCATGTTTAAGTTTGGGAGTGGTGTTCCTAAAGGAGTGTTTTCCGATAGTTTAACATGATATTCCTTTTGATTAAACTGAGGAGGTTCGTCATTCACATCCTTAATCGTTACAGATGCCATGGTCGTGGTCGATGTCAAGGAATCATTACCTGGTACCCCATCGACGATTTCTCTGGCCTATAGTAATACAAATATAACATTTATTATTAATAATTTTATGTCTAATAAACATGAGCAGTGTTATGGTGAGACCTACTGTAACATGACAACCATTGATATGATACATTTATTTACTCTATGCCAATTTATTAAACCTATGTTTATCACATAGTTTTTTTTTTTTTCTCGCATTAAGGACTTTGTTTCTAGATGCTCTAACGTGGGAACTATGTCTATTGAGGCTTATTTTATGATTATGAATGCCTAAGAAATGCAAGCAGAAGGTTTCGTAAGGAAAAACTCTTATCATATTCACAATATCATGCCAGTGAGACATCTTTTCTTGTTAAGACTCACTATTATTTATTAAAGATATCAATTTAATTCTTTTTAGTTTCTTCGATATTCAGGTATATAATTGGATTTTTCCTGAATCTTGTTGGCTATTCTTGAATCTTCTAGTCAGTAGAGAGTCATACATTTTATATATAGCCAAAATAAAACCGAAAAATACTACTTATTTGTCTCTGCAGGTAAACTAAGTGTGTATAAATAAAACTAACAATATATTAACCATCATTGTTAATTGATTGATTCAATAAGGCTTCACTTAACATAATGAAAGTGAAACTGTTGATCAATCAATTAAGCTAAGTGACATTTTAAAATTATTTAGTGTGATTAGAACATGACTAACCCACTTGGTAGTGGGTTCAACTAAAAGGTTATCATCATCATCATCATCATAATCATGCTCCTCTTTACTGCTTATGCAGTGTGAGGATAAAAGATTATTATAACAAATTAAATTTATAAATTAATATATTTTTATTTTCCTACCTATACTAGGCAAGGAAAATATTGCGATCGGGTCAAATTTCTGATGAGCGGTTTTCGACGGATCTATACCTTTCATAGCCTCCTGAATCCGAAAAGTTGTTTTGAAAGGTGATGAAATTTCCTACAAAACTATATCTCAAAAATCTTTTTTTTCAGACAACTAATAACAAAGTTACAACTATTCAATTCCGTATGTATGATTATAAGTTCAAATGCCGGTGCCAGAAAGGAGTGAACGAGAAACAAAGAAAAGTAATTGAAAGTAAAAAAAAAATCTGGCATAACACAAGTTTCACTATTTCGTCTATTTTAACAGAAATTATTGTCTGACAAAATTGGGCTGTGCCAAAAAGTTTTTGGCAATTATTAGAGAGCAATATTAGAGTGTTTTGATTTTTTTATGCTGATCTTCCACCTGTCGATTTAGACTGCTTTAATTTATCAAAGAAATCGTACTCAAATCTTTTCTTTGACCAATTTTAATTATTTCAAGGAAAATAAATCTAATTCATTTTTTTTTTTTTTTTTTTTTTGTATTGGACATATTTAAAGATATAAAAACTTTTTTGAAATATGTAAGAAAGCCGTGTGAGTGGACACACCAGATTTTTTTTTTATATCAATGTGATATTTCAGTAGGTTTCTGTATAACTTTTCTTAAATAAGTATGTTGCCATTATACCCTTATCAGAAGTGTTAAAACACCAGTGGATTCCAATAATGCTTCACGATCCAGTGGCTTGGCAGTTCTTAGTTCTCCTGTATCAGGATCCAGAAGAAAGTAATCCTGTGGATCTGAAGAATGAAAAGAAAAAAATTAAATTTGTATTTGAAATATACTGTAACATTCTTAAATATAAAGCCAATCTCTGTACATTATACTTCCATAAATAAAAAATCTCTATATACGTTAAACTTTAGTAGGAATTTCAAATTATTATTATTATTATTTACATACAAATAAAAAATCTCTTTAAAAAATATATAATTAAATTGTCATAAAAAAGCCCCTTGGTTCACCTTCATTATTACTTGATTCATATAATTCAGAGCCATCTAGATTATTTTTTAATACATTATTATATTAAATGTTATCAAATCACAAAAATTTGAGTTCAGTAAATTTTTATTATTGCGTTAAAATAAATGTTACAAATAATTTTCAGTAAATATAAGTAGAATCATTACAAAATTAAGAGAGATATTCTCTTTTACAAAAAGAAAATTTAAAGTATGAATAATAAAATAGCAACTGATTCAATTAACTTATCAATTAAGATTGTATTTATCACATAATCAATCATTTAATAAGGAAAATAAATTTCTTACTCGTCAATAGATCATATACGATTTTCCGAGGAACACCTTTGTCTCCATCTTTGGCATGCACTGTCATAACAAGCGTTCCTATTGGATCGTCTTCCTTAATGACACCGGTCAAAGAACCTTGAAATAATGGCGGAGTGTCTTGAATGTCCAGTACTTTGATTTCTAAACTAGATGTTGTATTAAATGTTCCATCCTGCAATAATAAAGGTAAAACGTGACAAATAACTTGTTTAAAAATTAAATGAGATAAAAAAAAAAATCAAATGATACTCACTGTTGCAATTAATAGAAGCTGATACAACTGTCGTTCAGAATAATTTAGCTTTTCTTTTAGAATGACCCCACCATGAAAGCTTTGCTGGCTCGAATTAAAAGTGGTTATCTCAAATTTTTCACATGTACCAGGAAACTATGAAGAATAAATAAAAAGATTAAAAAAACATACATACATGAAATTTGCAAATTTTTTAATTGTAAATAAAATGGATTCTATTTTAGAAAAACATTTTTTCATTGCATCAATAACATTTTAGCCATTATCTTGCAATTTTAAAATTTGAGAACATTTATTTACCATAACAAAAGCACTTCAACTATTTAAAAATTTTTAAATTGTTTGAACAAAAAATAAATAAATAGCCTATTAGATTACCTATTTTCATTTCTATTTATTCATCTCTATGTTTAAATAATAGTGATAAAAATCATGTAAAAATATACCTCTATTTAAAAATTAATAAATGAATATGTGAATATGAAAGTGACTAATGTATATATAATTAATATTTTTATTTGAACTAAAATTGCCAAAATGTAAAAAAAAAACTAAGGTGTGTGCTGTAGACCACACAATAGAAGTGAAAACATCAACAAAGCGAGATTATAATATGAAATATAAATTATAAATAATAGCTCATTATAAAGAGGATGAAATCCTGAACAATACCCTTGCTTATAGTATACAGGTCCAATTTTTAGTTTATAAGATATTTTAATCCATATCTTCTATAAAACTCATTATTATTTGGTTTTCAACACTAATTTTTCCTTTTCGCCTCTCCAACACGTCACGTTAAGATACAATATTGAATAATAGCCCATTACAGAGAGGATGAAATGCTAAACAATTCCCTCGATTACAATATGCAGGTACAATTTTTAATGTCTGAGATATTTTAATCTAGCCAACTATACCCGAGCGTTAACACTTGGAAAAAAATGACGGATTGATCTAATTCACTCTCCACAAAAAAGTATAAAACCCGCCTAAAGAAGTTTTTACTTAAAAAAAAAAATCACAGACTTAAAAATGGATCCAGTTTAGCCAAAATATCTTCAAAATTCAAAAATAAAAGTGAAAATTGTTCAACCAATGGCCTATTTCTTAAAAAACAACATAATTAAAGACGACTGACTGTAGGAATTAAGGAAAAATTAAATTAATTTTTATTTTGTAGTGTTTAAAATAGTTTAAAAATTAATTAATACAGGCAAACAACTAAAGAGAGACTTTTAGGCTTAAAACCTCAGTGAAGCTTAAACTAGAAGATTACACTCTTAGAGGCAATGTGACAGTGAAAACAACGCCCATCTCAATTATTTTTATTTTAAATAATGTATTTTGGTTTTAAAGAAATATTTATTCGAATGACAAAATGTTTCTCATGCATAATCATGATCATGAGATGGTTCAAAAAGTTTTTTAATTATATATAATATATAGCAACTACCAGAATAAATTGTCCTTGAAGATTGGTCAGAAATCCAAAATGTCAGACTATGGTATTATATATAAATATTTACAAATGGAAGAGCTGCCTTCAATCATAAAAACCTAAGAGTGAAATTTACCATCTTGAATTTTTTAAAAAAATATTTTGATTATTTTACATTCTTTATATTGTATTCAGTTATTCTTAAGCTCGCTGATATTTTAATAACAAAAACGTTTCATACACATTCAAATGATCTCCCCTAAGTTGTTAACCTTTACAAATTGTGTATTTAAAGTTAATATTCCCAATATCAATTGACCCACATTACTTAACACAAACTGAAATAAGTTATTAGTTCTCGTTTCTTTTTTCTGTAAAGTTTTTTCTTACATAGATTTAAAGTAGCGAAGTTAACATGCTTAAAATATTATGTAATTCCTTACAAGATAAACAAATAATAACAATAAAATAATATTTATAGAGAACAAACCATTTCATGATCTTTGCAAAAAACTTCTAATATTTCTCCAGAAAGATCATAATCTTCTAACATTATTCCAGAGAATATTAAAGTTTCTATGTCAGTACTCTCCGTTACAGATACTTCGTAAGGTTCCTAAAATAATTATGCAATTAGTACGTAGTTATGGATTAAAATAAATATCACAGGTGATATTACCAATACCAACGTTTTTAAATGCAGGTGGGTTGTCGTTGACATCTATAATTATAACGGAGACTGGTGTTTGTACCAAATTGTTTACATCATCTTCAATAGTTACAAAAAATCTAAGCGTATCATTCACCTGTAAAAATAAAAAATAAATTATATTTCAAACATTTTTTTTGTTTAGAAAAAATTTGATTAATATAACATTGATTAATATTGAAAACATGATTAGTTATTAAATTTGAATATCATAAGAGAAAAAAATTATTTATAGTTTAGGACAGAGGTCTCCCTCAAAACCAGAGCCAATGAAAGTTTCTTTGATTGCATGGTTCAATTATTAAAATTGTTTAAAGAACATGCAATTTAGTAAATCATGCTAACTCCAGGTACTGCAATTATACTCTTCTATTAATATTTTATAAATTCTTTTTCTCTTAGAAAGCCCATTTCAAATTATAAAAATTATTGATAAATCGATACATAAACTATCGATAATGGATTGATTGTCGACTGTCGTAGATATATTGAAGAGAAATTGATTGTGGTTTGCAGTCAATCAAAAGATAAAGTAAAAATAAATAAATTATATTTATTTTTATTTCCTTGTGCCGATGGTTTGGTCTGAGTTTCAGGTCTTCATCAGGACTGATCTCAGGGAAGGTGATGATAGATCCTTGAAGAGCAATTAGTGAGGGGCAGTGAGGAGAGAGGTGTTCATTCAAAGAATGGACAAAGTAGGGATGGGTGATAGTCGATAGTTTTCTACTATCGATAGTTCGCTAGTATCGTTAAGAAATTATCGATAATATCGATAGTTTAGTTACTTCCTGACACAGGCATAAAAAGGATTTATTTTTTAGTTATTTACTTGAAAATTCTGCATAATCTTTATAATAATTAACATTTATATTGGAAAAAATTATTTATAAGAAAATACATTTATATAAATAAAATAATTGCATTTATTTCTCTGATTGTTGAATTTAAACAAGAAACATCAACAACATATAGGTAGTATCATGAGTACAATCAAGAGAAAAATGCATACTTTTTGAGTTATTCGCAAATAAAGTTTCTTTTCTTCCATAACTTTTTTCCAGAAATTTCGGGGAATAGGACTATTTTTCGCCTGAGAAGGAGCAGAATATCTTCAAAATGAGTGGTCAATGATTGGATTTGATGAAGAATTGACGAAGTTATGGCGTACCGACAAAAAAACACCTTTTAGAAATAATATATAGGATTATATACTGACCGCAACCCTGACCAACTTCTTTTTAAATTATAATTATGGTCAATTTTCTCCATACCGTTAAAAATTTCTTATTAATAACACAAATAAACATTTAATAATATGAAACATACCTCTCTGTCTAGAGGGCGAATCAAGGTAACTTCACCTGTAACTGGATTCACACTGAACTTGTCCGTTCCTGATATCCCGAAACGAACGGGTGAGCCTTCTGGATCCGTACCTTTCAGCACTTCTACCACACTGCCGACTTGAGCATTCTCCGACAGGACTGTATTGTCCATATCTTGGGTCAGAATAGGAGACTCGTTTCCTCGAACATCTTAATAGAAAAAAAAAATAATGAGCTCTTATATGCATTAGAAAATTAGTTTTAGCCTAATTAATTAAATAAATATTAGTGATAAGATAACTGGTAATAGCATATAAAATATCATAACTGGTAAATGATCGACTGTCGTGAATAATGAAGAGAAGAATAGTTGGGGTGATCAGTCAAATAAGAAGGCAAAAATAAATGATACTATTTATTTTGACATTAGCCGACGTTTCAACCTGAAGTTCAGGCCATCATCAGGGCTAAGAAAAGAACCAGATAACAAGGTATGAGAAACATAAGTAGTGTAGGTAAAAAAATTAAAGTAAAATTCAGTTGTTAGAATAATGACAATAGTAAGAACAAAGAGATAAATGATAATAAGCGGTACAAAGTGTGAAATGGTGGAATGATGAAGTAAACATAATAAAAAAAGAAAAAGGTGACACAAGTATTAAAATGGGAATCTTAGAATAAAATGTAAAAACAGAAAAATATGAAGTTCTATAAGAAATGGAAATAAACATTAAAATTAAGATATTGTGAATAGAATAGTTAGATAGAAAATTGAGATGTTGTAAAGGATATCAAGATGTATAGACAACATATAATATAACACAGAGTTTATCTCTTTGCTCTTACTATCGGTCATTATTCTAACAACTGAATTTTACTTTAATTTTTTTTTACCTACACTACTTATGTTTCTCATACCTTGTTATCTGGTTCTTTTCTTAGCCCTGATGATGGCCTGAACTTCAGGTCGAAACGTCGCCAAATGTCCAAACAAATAGTATAATTTATTTTTGCCTTCTTATTTGACTGATCACCCCAACTATTCTTCTTTTCATATTAAATATCAATTGGTGATAAATAAACTTAGTAAAATATGAATGTATTTTTCCCTCTGAAGCAGATTTTGAGCAAAATAATTTAACTTAATTAAATAATACAATATTAGGTATGGAAATTTGTTAATTTTTAATTTACCTGCTAGCAGCGAAGCAAGAAAAAGCAGTATTGAAGCTAACACTCTCCACCCCATTCTGCATCTCCTGGAAATTAATAAAATTTATTTAAAAGCTGTTAATGATTTAATTTAATATTTTATTGATCAAGGTTTAAGTTGACAATAAAATTGTAAAATTCATTCCACAACTTGAGTGCAAAATGTGTAACATTATGGAAAAAGAGACACTTTATCATGTATTATTTATGAGAAGGAGTTGATCAGGGGTGTGGTAAAAAAAATTACGTTTTTTTTTTTTTTTACAGCTCCCCCAATCAACTCCTCATAATATATCTACGGTCAACCATCTCTACATCATCATGTATTATTTATATGCCCAATAGTTTAAGAATAAGAATTTACCGGGGTATGGGAAATTTTAATGGGATGGAAATATTTGAAACAAACAATAAAGAAGATATGAGAATATTATATTTTTTTCATCTCTAATATATCAAAATAAAGAGAATCGGTGAGGTAATCTGGAATATTGTCCCTTGAATATTATTACAAAATATAGTCTGTTCAGATTTTATTTGTTGTTTGTTTTCTTTGTTCAAGGGAGTAATCTTTTAATTGAATTTTAAAATGTAGTTTATTATTAATATTTAAAAAAGAAAATGTATTTATTGTTTTTATTGATATTGTGAATGTTTTTTGATGAGAGTTTTAGATTTTATATAATTGTTAACAATTAGTGTTATTTTAAATGTCTGACTTTTTACCGAATATGTTTTTTAAGTGATTTTTGTAATTTTTGTAATACCATAAGAGTAATAATGTTTGTTATACAAAGATAGATTCTATTTGTAGGGAATTCTTCCCTGAATAAAAATAAAAATAAAATAAAAAAATATTTTATTGATTTTTTTGCTATTTTATCCAGTCTTTAAAATAACCTTACAAATATGTAAAAATAAATACAATAGAATTGTATAATAGATACTAGGTTGAAATATATTATGTATATTTTGAAATAGTACTTAGCTCATTTATTTAAACCCTTAATCAATTATAATCAACAATTAGATTTACAGGTACTCTATTTAGTAGTCTACTCAAAATTTAGTTCAGTGCCGCCAACCACACATTCACAACTCAATCCATTATCAAGACATAATTACTTTCACTTACCTACACTAGCAGTACCATGATTTAATTTTTTTTTTTGGGGGGGAGGGGCTTCAGCACGAAAGATTTTTTTTATATATATAACGATAATTAATTTGAAAAAAAAAAGAAAGAAATGAACTACCTATATGAAATGGTGTTAAAATGATTCTTGAAGTCCTATTAAATTACACGAACAATAATACTTTAAAAGATAGTTTTTAATATTTTTTTCTATAAAACATAGTTATATTTTACTGTTTTGGGGCCCTTCCCCCATCCGTAAATCCGCCTGCGCTTAGCTATATAACAAATATATAGTAAAGGAAAGTATTGCGATCGAGAAAATTTTTGAATCTTAGTTTTCAACAAAAATACACGTTTTGAGATCCCCTAGGTCCAAAGAACCAAGTCCAGCAAAATGGTGGGTGTGTGTGTGTTAACAGTCTAGCTCAAAAACTAAAAGTCTTATGAAAGTAAAATTGCATATTTAAGGTTTTTATATGATGTTACAGCAACTTTTTCGACAAAATCGGCTAACATGGCACTTTATATAATGGACTAAACACTTTTTTACGATTTTCTCGAAAACGGCTATACCGATTTTGATTAAATTCCTTATATCAGTGTAAAATTAAGCAGTTTTAAATAAAATATAGATTTTATTCTGATTTATGTTTTCTAACAGGGCTTAAATGGCTAATTTTCAATATTAGCTTCCTCTAAAGTACCTTTACTTTTTTTTATTTGAAACAACTGACCATTTCACATTAATCTGTAATATAAAAGATAGCTAAATATAAAGTATGAAAGAATTTGATAATTAACTAAAGGAAAAATAAGAGATCGTGACGGAGAATAGTTGTAATTGGGGACACAGGCGGATCTAGGGGGAAAGGAAGAGGGGGCTTTCGGGTTGAAGCCCCTCCCCCCAAAATGGTAAAATATAACCATGTTTTACAGAAAAAAAAATATTAAACTATCTCTTAAAGTATTCATATTCGTGTAATTACATTTAATAGGACTTCAAGAACCACTTAAACACCATTCTATGAAGGTAGTTAATTTCTTTCTTTTTTTTCTAATTAGTTATTGTTATATGTATATGGAAAAATAAACTTTCGGGCTGAAGCCCCCCCAAAAAAAATTAATTCCTGGATCCGCTAGTGACTGGGGAACCTACAGAATACGAGCACACCCGAACATTTGTCATTATCATTTGTTCACTGACTACCATTCTTTGCGAATTATTCGCAAAGGCCCAACTAGATAACTTAAAAAAAATAATAATTTCAACAGAAAGTTAGACATGGTGAGTGAAAGTTGTGCGATAAACCACACCAGATTTTTCTTATATTTTCAAGGAATTCCTTATCAGATAAACTTTGTAATTCTAAAAAAAAAAATTTTTTGCAAATGTGGTTCGCTAAATTTTGAAAACATCGAAAGTAAAAACTCTCGTCTAAGAAGATGGATGCCTCTTCTTATCAAATTCCTCTTCGGTAGACCGCTATCAGACACTTCCGCCGCACAATTCGATAAGAACTCCTCATTCAGTTGCTACTCATTTTTACATTTCCCTCAACGAGCCTCCATTGCTGTCCATTGTGTTGGGAAGGCCAACGGTAAACTGACTATTTCCTAATAACATCTTCCATATTGAGCAGTATTAGAATATTTTAGCACGATTAATAATATCTATTGAGTATGTTTGTATCGATTGTATCGATCGATCAAGATGATTGGAGTATAGTCAGAAATTTAACACACGGTTCTGAAATATGTCGTTAACGTGTGGCGAAGTTTCGACCTTAAGTTCCAGGGCTTCATCAAGGATTTGGAAAATAAGATAAGATGATAAAATAAATGAAGAGAATAAATATAGTGGTGTTTGAGGAGAGTATGAAAAATCGATTATATAAAAAGGTCTTACAGTAAAAGTACGAGTAGCCAGTAGCGGATCCAGGATTTAATTTTTTTTTTTTTTGGGATGGAGGGGCTTCATCCCGAAAGATTTTTTTTTCAATATATACAACAATAATTAATTTGAAAAAAAAGAAAGAAATTAACTACATATATGAAATGGTTTTTAATTCCTACTAAATATAATTATTCGAACAATAATACTTTAAGAGATAGTTTTTAATATCTTTTTCTATAAAACATGGTTATATTTTATCGTTTTGAGGGGACTTGACATCATCTTAAAAATGACAATAATAAGATTTCAGAACTTTCTAGATCTCTATTTTATAAATTTTTGGTATAAATATTTGCCTGCTTTGCATTATTCTTGTTGAAAACAGTAACCGAAATAATGAGTGGAAGGAACAACCATCTATAGGTAAGGGAATTATATTTCAGGTTTGTCTTTTTTTTATCCCATAATTTTTGTTTTATTTTTTCTTAAAGTGTTTTAGATTAAAACATAATCTAAAAAAAAACTCTAAGAAAAATACATCTGCTTTTTTAAATTGATTTTGATCAAGGAATTGGAAATTTAATGGGTGTCAACTACTGCAGTCTTAAGCCCACCTTACACGGCCAATATTATTGAATTAATAATATTGAAGCAATATTCTTGAACGTTGTATTCATAGTACAAATATCAATTCAATTGTTACAATATATCCCTCAGACAATCAATGCATTCGATATTAACTCAAAAATATTGATAGTTTAAGGTGAGCTTTATATTGAGCCTTTTGTCTGTAGTTGACATGGCTATACACGCATAAATTCATAGAGATATAATTAATATGACTGCTTTTAAAAACGAGACCATCCACAACTCTCTCATTAAAAAAATAATAGTGATGTGGATTGAATACAAAGCAGAATAAAGTTTTCCTATAGCCGAAAACAGGTTCTTGATAGTGTGATAGCATTCACCGAAAAATTTAAGTTAACGCAAGAAGTTAGTTTAACAAATTTATTTATTTTTTATTATTTCTTAATGATATTTACAACTGTATTAAAGAAATACATTTACTAAATTTGAACATAATGGATATAATGACGTGAAAACATTTGTTGAGTAACTACCCAATGGTAGCACTCTAATGATATGTCTAAATTAGAGGGCCATAGCGATCACGGGGCCATGTTCTTTTCAGACGCCTCGGAGGGTTATCAGGAGTTGAAGAGGAAGCAAGGTTAGAAACGAGAGGGTTGGGATGATTCTGAAGTTATTATGGAAGGATAGGTATCTGGATTGGGCCAGATCTGGAACATAAGACACATTAAGGTAATTATGGTTGGTTTTATTTGAGACGAAATAGGGAGCATTGAGGATTTTACGAAGGATTTTGGATTGCAAGGATTGGATACGAGAGGAATTCGATGGTTTAGTGGAGCCCCATAGCTCAACTCCGTAAGTCCAAATAGGCCTTATTATGGTCATATATATGAATCTTTTGTAATTAATTGGAAGTTTAGAGCGTTTGTCTAGTAAGTGCTGAAGTAATCGAAAACGTCGAGCGGTTTCTTGTCGTTTCAGTCTGGTATGAGGAACAAAAAGCTAAATACAATTTCTGTTAATATCCATTTTAAAATAAAAAATATAAAATTACAACACTTCTTTTCGCATAATTACATCCTTGTTATCATGCCTGAAAGCTATAGCAACATTCAAAACTGTCCACTAAATTTACAATTATTTGTAATTTAGGAAAATGATTCAAGGATTTCAAATGTGTCAAGATGAGAAGTGGTTCTATAAGATGAATACAAGAAAAAGGTAATGTAAACATTTAAGTTTTTACACCTTAAGTTCAAAAGAAATTTCCATAATCATGTCAGCAATTGGTCCATTCACCCTAATGTTACTTAATTATTTGAGGAGAAATATAAACTATGTTATTTATTCCTTACTTTAGTATTTAATAGTGTTACCCAAATGCGAGACCGAGACGAGTCTTGGTCCTGCGCAAGAGT